TTTGTACATAAATATAATTCATAAATCGGCCAGCAACACCACCCACGGCCAACAGCCACATTTCGAGAATCGCTAACCGTTATTTTGTGCTGCGTGGCTTTATTTTCGTCTTCTTCTCTTCTTCGCCTCTCTTCTTCTTCTTCTTCTTCTTCTGTACATTCTTCATTTTCATCTTTCCTATTCCTCATTCTTCTTCTTTGTCCTTGCTTTCTTTTCGTGTGTCGTTTGCATTTTCGCTTATCTGTTTTGCGTTGTGTTTTTTTTTGTCATTTTTTTTTATTATATTTTTTTTTATTCTTATCTTATTTTTATCCGTTGTTCGGTTCTGTTATTTGGCTAAGCCCTCATGACGCGCCAAATGCTACACTTGTCACATCCACTACACTTGCCCCACCCACCCAGCCACCACCCCTTGCTTCCTTTGTGCGCCCATCAGGCTTTATAATGAAATTCCTTCGTTAATGCGTGTCCTTCTGTGACATCCTCTCAATACTTTCACAACTGTGTATCGCTTACAGTTTTTGTTTTTTTTTTGTTGTTGTTGTTGTTTTTGTTTCCTTTTCTTGTCTGTTGTCTTCTTTTTATTTTTTTTTGCTATTTGTGAAACGTAAGCGATGATTATCATCTATCTATCCATCGTATGCGTTGCTACAACACATAAACAGGACATGTGGGCATATCCTTTGGGTTACACAGAAGAAAGGCAACGAAAACAAAAAGAAACAAAAACTATGCGATTTTATAAAGGGAAAACAACAACAACGCATTTTGTATAAAATGTCTGCTATTGGTGTAATTCAGTACAAGTTTCCAAATATATACATATATATATATATATATAAATATACATATATATTCATATACATATATATATATATAGCTATATTGATTGAATGATGTCCATTTATTAATCTAATATTATGGAACTAATAAGATATTTGGTGTTTATATACTATAATAAAAAACAACAACCTAAATTAATCGATTGCATTTCCCTTCTTTTATCATTAGATTAATGATTGACCATTTATTATCATAATGTCTAAATGTTGTCATTTGTTTTTTTTTTTTTTGTAACTTTACTGTAGAAGATTTTGCCAAATTTTTCAAATACTCAATTCCTACTATCCAAAATAATTTCGTATTCAATCTGCATATAAACCGATCTCAAAATTTTGATACCTATAGAATTCGAAACAGTTTCAGTTTGTTAGGGTTATCACTTAACATGGTAAATGGAATAAATATCTTTATTAGAAGCTTAAAAAAAAAAACAGATATTTTTCTGAACAGCTAACCGAACTACCGACAAGTTTCTGGTTTTCTCATATTTATCAAAATTAAGAGATATATGAAGTTCTTATGCATACATAAAACTAGCGTTGTAACTTTCTCTCAAAAATGTAATTTCTCAGAGATTTTGGAAACTATAATCTATTGAAAATTGATGTAATTATAATTCGACATAAATATTTTGTTTAAATTAATGTTTTATGTTTACTGAAAACAACACATTCAATACCAAGTAATGTGAGTGTGTGTTACTCAAATACCAAAAAGCATTTAATCTGTGTATGTATGTATGTATGTGTACATGTATTTATATATGTATATACATATATATATGTATATGTATTTATCGAAATTTAATTCCATATGTGTTTCGAATGTGTCTGTGTGATATTTAAGTAAACATATTTGATATTTTTTGAAAACAAAGCGTAGCATTTGCTCTGGGAACTAAATCGCATGCTTTTTGTTAAACCGAACTACTTTGCTACATGCAAAGACACAACGTCAACGATAACGATAACGATACCAATTAAAACCCCTTGTACACATGAACTTAACGAGACCAAGATTGTATGAAGAAGAAGAAGCAGAAGCAGAGGCAGATGATGAGAAAGAGGCATAAGGAGAAGGAGATGAAGAGCAGGACTAACAAACTAAATGAACAGCAGCTTGAGGCAAAGTGGCGTTCAGTTCTTTTTCTTTTGTTTGTTTGAGGGCCATCAAAGAGATATTTTTGACATTTACTTGCCACACGCCATACAGACACACACACACACACACACACAGACACAGACACACAAGCTCACACAGAGAGAAAGACATGAAACGTGTGCTGCTGTGTTTTGCTGTTTTGCGTTTACCAACACTACGCAAGGAGATACTAGCCGAGAGCACAACATATATACATATATATAGTTAGTTATCATTTTATTTGCTCATCAGCTTGTCAGCTTCATTAGCTTGCCTCACACATGAACGTATTACCCAACCCCCAACCGCTTCCCCCATCCCCCTTCCAGCCCTTTGCACACTCACCCCTTCATTCCCTACATAAGGGGTACGTACAACCCTCGTCTTGTTGGGCAATGCCACTCAAGCGGTGCTTGAGCTGCCACAATAGCCGCCAGCATTTAACAATTATGTTTAGCTCAGGTGCAATACGTTCAGTGTTGCGCCATTTTGCTTTTCACTTTGAGGTTAGGTTAACTTTGTGTGTGTGCGTGTGTGTGTGTGTGTGTGTGTGTGTGTGTGTGTGTGTGTGTGTGTATTTAACGGGTCATCTTTCATCTAATTGATGCTCTTTCGAGACTCACATGCATGTATGTTCTTATCCAGTCAGTCAGTCACTCAGTTAGTTAGTCATCCAGTTTGTCAGTCAGTTTGTTGATTTTTTGTTGTTGTATCCCTTTTTCTTTAGGGGGAGGGGTGGGGAGGGGGTGGCAGGGGGGATTAGGGACACGTACACAACAGTTCATAGTGCATATTTTCAGCTTGTGCAGAGCTTAAGCCTTATAACCTATAACTTACTTACTTAACCCTTCTTAATAATAATAATAATAATAACTCGTGTCATTGTATATTTTATATAATTATATATATATATACGTATATATTCGTACCCGGTTATCCTGTTCTATTCAGGACTTGGTTCCTTTCTACTATATTTATTAGTTGTATTTATCTCGTTTCGTTTTATTTTGTTCTTTCTTTTTGTGTATTCTTTTTTTTTGTGATTTGGTATTTGTTTTACATTCGTAATTTGATTTGATAATTATGTAATATATCTATAGTTTTAATTCTTTTTTGGATTTATGTAATACTGACTTTCTTATGTGTATTTTTGATACAAATACAAAAGTCCAAAATCAAAAAAAAAGCAATATATTTGACAAAATAATCGAAAGAAATGATTAAAAAAAATTGTACCATTTGTTATTTGTTTTTACTTTTCGAAAATGACAACAACCAAAAATGTTCACATAATTTCACATCTGTTTATTTGTTTACTCCACTTCTCACCCTTCTTCTGTATCCACAAATTGCAAAATGAAATTGAATCTAAAAACAAAAATACCAAAAAAAAAAATTCTTTATCAACTTGAATACGCATCCGAATACCGAATACTGAAAATACCGATACCGATATTAAAAAATATATGAATTTCTGAATACTGATATCATCATATATATGATATACTCGCAATGGCAAAACAAAAAAATTTAAAACAAAATAAATATTTAAATAATACAAAACAAAAAACATCAACAACTACAAACAAAAAAAACCAACAAAAAACGCATATTATCGATATATATGTGTTTATATATGTGAATATATATATAAATATATAATATATATATATATTATTGCACGAATGTTTTTACGATACCAACTGAACTAAACCCCGAATCCGCAACCGATACGTAATCGATAACAAAAATTTGAAAACGATTTCAAAAAATCGAAATGTGGAAAAATGTAAACATGAAACATGAAACTTGAAACTCGAAGGTTCCACGATGAGGAGCACGCGAATTTGCTAAACACCATGTGGCTAACGGCAATCACATTTCTGTGTGTCGGTTATGGCGACATTGTGCCAAACACTTACTGTGGACGCGGTATAACGCTCACCTGCGGCATGGTGGTAAGTATACAACTAGAAAAACCAAAAACCAATTTAACTATGATATCTACCCAAAAAAAAAAAAACAAAAAAACTTAAAAAATAAAAATACAAAAAAGAAATATATATATATAAAAATTAAATATATAACGAAATGAACATATCATAACCAATAAACAGAACAGTAACAGGAACAAATAACAGTAACAGGAACAAATAACAGTAACAGTAACAGTAGCAGAACAGACAAATGTTGCCAAAGCAAAAGTTAACATATGTAATGATTAAGCCGTAACAGAAACAAAGTACTACAACAACAACAACAACAACAACATCTACAACTACGTTACGTATACGTTACGTTACACATGCATACGATATTTCATACCAAAAGTAAAGCCAAAAACACAGACCAAATATATTCATGTCAAATGGAAACAACTTTCCCAAAAATGCTGCGATGTGTTCAGTAATGCATAGATGGTTAACATAAATAGTCCCACACACTCACACACGTATGTATGTGTGTGTGTGTGTGTGCGTGTGTATGCGTGTATTGGCCAAATGCCAAAAGCAGGATTCGGCGCGCGATTTGTAGCCGGTTCTTAGCTGATTAGCTTTCATTTTTATATTTTTTTTTTTGTGTTTTTGCAGGGCATTGCGCGCGTTTAGTTCATTCCATATATCTATCTATCTATATATGTACGTATATATGTATATGATAAAAACACACACAAACACACACATTTCTGCCCAGGATACTGCTGTAAATCATTACATATTAAAAGCAGCCAGCCAAAAACTCAAAAAAAAAAAACAACAAAAAACAAAATAAGAAAGAAAGAAATAAAAATAAATATATAAACTCCAAGAACACCACCACAAAAACCACCAACAACAGCAAACAAGTCATGCATAAATCGTATTTTGTGTCTCGCTGTATTACAAAAACATATTCATACATTACTTCTATATAATCGTACTTATGTACATATATATAAACACAGACACACACGCATACATACATCTATGTTTAAACACAACCACACTCACACATACGCATAAGCATTTTAATGTATATATATGTATATGTATTTATCACTATTTTGTTATAGCTACGTCTCTGATTAAATGTACGTGTGTGTGTGTGTGTGTGTGTGCGCGTGTGTGAATGTGTGTGAATCTGTGTGCGTGTGTGTGTGTTGAAGCAACCGCTAACTGAGCCAGACTTTTGTTTTGTAACAATTGTGAGTTTCCGTTACCATAAATAGGCAACAAATCCTTGTTGACAGCTCATTTATATGTATATATCTATATGTATATAAATATATTTATATATATATATATATATATATATACTTACGTATGTATGCGTTTTTATCTGTATGATTGTGCGTAAGGCTGTATGTGCTTTGTGTGTATGCGTGGACAATACAAAGTCCAACCTAAATAGTCACCTTCAAATTTATTGTGCACTAGCAAATAATTCTTCTTAAAAAAGATTAAAAATATATATACATATATTTAATAAACCAACATCTTAGCTTAACGACTGATTTCCCTCGTTTTACGTCGCTGTCCATTAAATTAAAAAAAAAAAAAAAAAAAAAAAAAAAAAAAACTTTTTTTCTTGCATAATGTTATCTAACCTAAGTTATTTGAACTGTATGTGTGTCTTCACGGTTCTTAAAAATACCAAAACTCTTTCAAGTTGCATTTTTCTACCATTTCTCTTTAATGCCTGTCATAAGTTAAAGTTTAACTAACCCTCAGTTTCTATATATGATTTAACTGTTCTTAATTTTTCTTCTTTTTTTTTATATTATTAATGCTTGGTTGATTTTGTTTCTAGACTTGAGCCTAACCATTTTTATGTTCTTTTGTTTGTTCTTTTTTGATATCTTGACAAATAATTTTGATTAATAATTTTGAAGAATATATATACATATATATTTTTTATACTTATTATATGTTTGTTTTTGTGTATATTAAGCCAAAACAATACGATATTTTTCTCTATCTCTCTTTCCCTTTCATTTAATACTGAATAATACGCTCCGCGTGCTCGTGTACTCGTAATAAATACGTGTATTATTTGCCCCTGAACAATGAATATGAATATGCGATTACCAAATATCAAAAAACAAAATACCGAAAATACTGAAAATATTCTGAAAAATATACCGAAAAATAAAACGATAAACTATATATATATTTATATATATATAAATATATTGCGAACTCTCTACATATGGATACATAATGCAACAGATTTCATGACGAAGAGCATGCGAATCTTTTAAATGCAATGTGGCTGATAGCGATAACATTTTTGAGTGTTGGTTTCGGTGATATTGTTCCGAATACGTACTGTGGACGTGGTATCGCTGTCAGTACAGGAATAATGGTGAGTTTTTAACTACAAAACAAACAAAAACCCAAAAAAAAAAAAAACATTTTAGAAAATTTATAAACAAAAAAAAAATACTTAGATACAAAATGTACAATTGCACACACATCAAAATCGAATCGAATACAATAAAATGATCGTCTCAAACTACAATTACTTTAACCGAACGTATTTTCATTTTAACTCAACTCGAGCTTGATATTCATATGTAAATAATTGCATTTATCGCATACAAAAAAATATATAAAAATAAATAAAAATAAAACAAAAAAAGTACCCAACAATTAATTAAAATGCCCAACTCACTCAAAACTCGCAATGTAATCCTCCCCCTCCTTCTAGTTTAGTACACTACTTATATAAGTACTTATGCCATGTACTATGTCATATATTACTGCATACAAACAACAAAATACAATGTATATCAATATCATAAATCGAATGTGCTCTTGCGAACTGATCTCTAGTCCATTCGGTGTTTCAATCAATCCGTCAACATTTTGCTCATCTGTCATGCCGCGATCCCTGAAAGTAGGCAACACAAAATAATATGCATGCCGATTGTTGAACATTTATCGATATGTTATCCAATCAAGGCAGATTTATAGACCCTTAGACACATAGACACATACACACACGCCTTTTCTGCTAATACTCTAGCTCAGCCTCTATCCCAATCAATTAAATTTCTTGCCTCGCTTTCGCTCTATCTATTCTCTGTCTCTGTCTGACTCCTCTTCTCTCTCTGTCTCTCTCGCCCTCTATCACTCTCTCTCTCTCTATATATATATATATATCTTTCCCTCTTTATTACTCTATAGTTCTAACTATCTTTAAATCGTTCTATCAATTTATTGCGTGTCTTCCGACTACCGTTCTTACATGCATATTGATCATGTCGTAGTCATTGAATTTGAAAATTGCCATACAAAAACAATAACCGAATTATTAAAAACTAACCTCTGAATTGTGCCTTATCATTTTCCAACTTGTTCTCTCTAGCCTTATCGTATGTGTGAAACTTTATATTTGCAAATATATGTATATATATATATATATATCTAAATATATATATATATATATATATATTTATATACAACAAAATACATATCTAATACAAATTCCCACTCTAACTGTTGTAATACATTAGATAAACTCGTACAAACTTGAGATCGTATTCTGATTCTGATTAACATAATTCTAGTTACCCAATAAATTCTTCTTGCTACGTTATCATAATTAAAATAATAATAACAATTATTTGCATACTTACATCGCCCATAACATACATATATATATATATATTTCCAACTAACGTGCGACATCATTTTGGAGTAACCCACAAAAATTGCACTCACTCAGTCATTACTTCAATCAACTGCTCATCAATTCACTCATTCATTCATTTAGACGTTTCTTCTCTATTTCTTTTATGTGAAATAAAAATATATATATAAAAAATTTTTTTTAAAAAAACGAACAACAAATCTTAGGCGAAAGGCGACAAGACAATAAAAAATTACTCAAGAAAAGATAAAAAAAAAAAAAAATTAAAAAAAGGTTATGAATAACAACAAATATTGAAAGCAACAAGTTCTGGACTTTTAACTGTCATTTGAATGTAACAATTAACTGGCATTATAACAAATCCCAAAACAAAAACAGTATCCAGCTGAATGATTGAACAATCATGATTGATTAATTGCCGATCTGCCCAAGCGACACAGACTCATACGAATATCAAATTACAACAAAGTACTGTGATTTCTCGTCATTTGATCTGTGTTAGCTGCAGAATGTGCATTCAATCCAGATTACAGATTTCATACCCAATCATTACTAATGATTGTCATGTATTATCGTTTACAGGGTGCTGGCTGTACGGCGCTACTTGTTGCTGTCGTATCTCGCAAACTGGAGCTGACCCGTGCCGAGAAGCATGTGCACAACTTTATGATGGACACGCAATTAACAAAAAGGGTATAGATCGTATCCATAGCAGCACATTGCAATGAACAAAACTAAAAAAAAAAAAAATAAATAAATAAACAACACTCACACATACACCCTGCAAACTCTATAGAGTACAGTTACACACTTACACGCGCACAAACACTCAATCTGAAAATAACATATTATTGCTGGGACAAATCATCGAGTTAAGGCCAATCGAACAACTTTCTCAGACTCTAACCGAACATGGACAGATTTGAGCATTACCGAGACTCTATCTATCTATCTATCTATCTGTTAAAATAAATGCTTTTTTTTTGATTCTTCTTCTATTTACATTTCAATCGGTTGACCTTTCGCGCGTTTCGATAAAATGTTAATAGTACTGTATACTGCATATAATTGTAAAGTTCGAATTTTGGTCGATTGTTGATATGTACAAATACAACTCGTAGAACACCGTTACTGCCCACACAAAAACAAATGCCACAACTCTAATAACTTTGTATTCATTTCTTCTCATAAAAATTTAGCTGAAAAATGCTGCGGCGAATGTTCTTCGTGAAACTTGGCTCATTTACAAACATACAAGACTAGTAAAACGGGTTAATCCCGGCCGTGTAAGAACCCACCAAAGAAAGTTCCTTCTAGCTATATATGCGTGAGTATTTTTAGAGATCTATCAACAAACATCAACTAACTGTCAGAACCACAAATAAAATAAAAACCAAAAAAAAAAATCCAAATAAAACGTAACGAAATCCCCAACAATAAATCTTTAATAAACAAAAAAAAAAAAAAAAAACAACATTAACAAAAAAATTGTTAACTGAAAACGAAATCGAAATTTGATAACAGAATCAAGCAATATATGACAACAATAATATGCATCGTATATATATATATTTATATAGTTATACGCTCAACAGTTAATAGATCTGTTGTACAATACAACCATATAGCCTGAACGAAACCCAAGCTGCAAACCAAAAGCTCAGATCGTCTGAAGCAAATCGCAAAATCGCATTCATGAAATCACATTCAATAATAACAACTTTTCATTCTTGTTCTTGTCTCTGTACTGTCCATAAATGTGTGCGTTTCTTTCATCAAAATAGTGCCCAACAATTGCTTTTAACAATGTATGTGTATATGTGCGTGTGTGTGTGAGCGTGTGTGCGTGTGTGTGCGTGTGTGTGCGTGTGTGTGTGCGTGTGTGTGGGTGAATGTGTGACACAATTTGACAGCTTTTTGTGGCGAACCATGGAAGCCTTCTTCACATCCCAAAGAATAGTCAATAAAACACATACGAGAAACCTGCAAGACAGTTGGCGAAAAAGTCTGTTCTAAATTCAAGTACAACCGGAATTGAATACCTATAATTGCGTTATTGAATATTTACATTCTTTGATACGTAAGCTTTCTCAAAAAGGTCGCACAGCGTTGACTAAAAAACATTCTAAATTTGTAATTGAATAAAAAAAATATTCTGTAATTGGAATTTTCAAGCATTGGACAACTTTTGAACGTGTATCATGCAAATGATTTCTTACATTTCCACTGCATTTTTTGAGGCGCAGATGTATTCCGTATTCCGTATCCTTATTTGCATTACAAATGCTCATCAGTCATATGAAATGTGCTTTTCTATACGTTCTCTCACAAATTTGTTTCGTACTTCGTAAATGGGAACTTTTCAATAAATTCGAATGAGTTTAGCACACACTGAACACAGATTGAGGTCCATGTGAAATGTGAATGTGAAACGCCCGCTTAATAATACTATTTGTACGTAGCATTACAGAACTAACGATAAACATAAATACATAATAATAAATTAGTGCAATAACCAACTAAAAAGTGAAATGAAAAGAAAAAAGAAAAAGCAAAAATGAAATCTACATAATTTAAATGATTGAACTCGTTTTACTAGCCTGTAAATAGGTTGTAAAGCCCTGTTTTTACGTTATGATAATACCGAAAACTAGCCACAAATACCTAGCATGCAGCGTTAATATTTTAGAATTTCATATCTGAAAATATCAGCAGCTTTTTACCACACCACTCAAAATACTAGATGCTAGTTACTAGATACTGTATAATTGAAACAAAAAAAACACAAACCAACAAATTAGTAACTCTCATGCATATCATCTAATCACGGAACAACCAATCCATATGCCAAAGCTTTGTAGCTGTCACAATCATAGCTGTTTACAGCTTATCGAAAGCCTCACGAGCTCTTGTGCATAGTTTATAGTAAAACCCATTTGAATTAGAGAGTAGTTCCATTATTATCTATGTACATACGTAACGCACACAAAATGAAAACAAAATGATGTAAAAATTTCCCTGTCGATATTTTCGGTGTGATTTTCTGCAATCTTAACGCTAAAAAAAAAAAGAAAAAAGAACAATACAACAAAATGAAAAAAAAAAGAAAAAATATATATAAATAATTATTCGATAAACACATTATATAACCGCACAACAAAAATGTTAAACACTCAACACATTTCCAGAGGCAATTTTGTCAAATTTTTGCACATTAATCTTTTTTAATTTGATTCCAATTTACCCATAATGGGTTTTGTGGTCTGATATTTATAGCAATTATACATATATAGATATATTCGGCACAAACATTTTATGCTGCTGAGATTTCCATTTCACATTTATGCTTGGTTTACTCAAGCAGATAATGTAATCCTCAGTTCGTAATATGTGGTTAACTATATATATCTCCATAATAAAAGAAATGAAAATAAAAAATTGCTTTCTGTAAAAAAAAAAAACAAAAAAAAAAAACAAATCAAGTGCTACACGATTTCCACAACTTTGCTTATAAACTTGATGATTCTTCCACCTCCTGCCCACTAGGTTGCGAAAAGTTAAAATGGATCAGCGCAAACTAATGGATAACGCAAACACAATAACCGATATGGCCAAGGTAACTAGCAAACCATCATTTCTACAGATTGTACACACACAATCTTAAAATCAACTTAAAATCTAACATTATTCACAGACACAAAATACGGTTTATGAAATCATTTCGGACATGTCGAGCCGTCAAGATGCCATCGAGGAGCGTCTTACGAATCTAGAGGACAAAATGCAAAGCCTACAAGTGAGTAATTAATACCATTATTTCCATTACAACATATTTATCCAAAGAGTTTTGGAATTTTTTTGAATATATCCATCCCAAAGTATGGCTGAACTAGTAGTTTTCAAATGTTGACAACATTTAATATCCAATGAAAATTTGATTGAAATGTGTTGTAGAGGAAATTGAGATATATGAAATAGAATTGTAAACACTATTTATATAATATATAATACTACAGGAGCACATGGAGAGCCTTCCCGATCTATTATCGCGCTGTCTGACCCAGCATCAGGAGCGCATCGAGCAACGACGTAACTTTCTACATCCGGATACAGCAGCAGCTGCCATACAGCCCATACAGCCACCCACTCCCCAATCCATGTTCAATGCGGCTCCAATGCTGTTCCCCCATTCGAGGTAAGCGATTGAAAGCATAGCTAATAAGCAATTGCATCACAAACATCATCAACAGCGACATCACATCAATGTCACATTTACCACATACATATCATATATCACATATCCCATTTCTTGCTAACACATTTGAATTCCACTGAATGATGACATCTCAGATATGTATGTATGTCTTAAAAGTTTACTAAAACAATATGAAATTATATATATATATATATATATATCGATTGGTATTTGCAATTGAGAATGTTGTTCAGTGGTGTTCAACTATCAAATCATTTGTGTGTATGCTGTGTGAGCCATTGGGCTAAGTATGTTGTAAGAACTTCAGTAGGACTTAGGACCCAACACGTAAAATCCGAAAAGCCCGTTATTACAATTTGTGGACATCTTCTTCTATGCAAGATTCATGTGAATATTTTTTGATGATGAATGATGTCTGTGAGTGCTATCAATTTGCATTTTGTATTTTTGAAAAAAAAAAAATATATATAAATATATATATAGAGATATATGTATACTTATATATGTATATATAAAAGATTTGCGAGATTTTTTTTTGTTGATTTCATTGGCTTAAAATGCATACCATGGCTTTTATCTCATATCATTAAGTATTCCAAATGATTTTTTTGGCATTTTGATCGAGCTCACACACATTAACACATTGACAAACCATAATAATAATAATAATTACAATAATAATTTGAAAATTAATTGAATTAATTAATAAATGCAATCTGTTTCGATGGTCGCAAAATGATCTAATTGAGAATTAACATACTGCTTTTTGCATAGAAGTGTACCCTCATCCAATAACGCCGCTGCTACTTACCATTGGCCAACAAGCCCTATTTTGCCACCTATATCTAGTAGAACACCACATTTAGTGCCTGATACTCACATGCCATCAAATGGATCTGCAGTTAATAGCTACGCATCTTCCAACAAATACGGCAGCTGAATATCAGAAAGAGAGCGCTCCAACTCCGTGATTAACATCGAGATGCATACAATAAGGCCAACTACGTCAACTACAATAACAACAGCTACTACAATATCCGCATTCGCATCCACATTCGCATCCACATCCGCAAGCACATTTACGTCAATACCAATACCCATGTCGAGGTCCTTGTCGCCAACTCTGATGGAGACAGCACTGAGGCATCGTTTGCATTCACCATCGTCGTCTCTGGAACCGGAACAGCTCTTTGAACTGACAGATTTTCATCAGCCGTACTCGTATCTACAGTCACATCCGCATCCGCATTCGCATCCGCATTCGCATCAGCATCCGCATTATCGCATCGTTGAGAATATACCAGCTATATTGGAGGATGCCGAGTCCGCAATGATTATGAACAGGAACAGTTCAAGAATTCAAGCGATAACAGCGGATATTTCAATGACGGAATCGATAACAACAAACATCGATAGCGATGCCACCGCGACAACGACAACGACGACGACGACGACGACGGCGACGAATGCCCCAAAAAAGATTACAGAGAATAAGTTTACTAGGAAAAGAGAACGTGTATGCAATAATAGTAGTAATAGTAATAATAATACAAGTAATAGTAATATTAGTAATTCTACAAGTCTAATTTCGAAATCGGCCTTTTGTAAATAAGCCTCTTCGAAATGAGAAAAACAAAAGTCAGACGTTAGCATATATACATGTGTATATATTTATATATATGTGTACATATATATGTATATACATATATATATATATATATGTATATACATATATAAATATATATATATAGATATATGCACATAGTTGTCTCTGTATATATATACAAGAAGGTATATTTTTTTTTCTAAGCATAGGATATTAATGGTAATTTTCAAAAAACTATCTAGTGTAATTGAAATTAAACTACAAAGCATAGCAAATAACATTTGTGTGTGTGTGTGACTCGATGAATGATTAAATCAATAGATCCTCTCCCATTCAACTATCCTAGGATAGAGCAACAACAATACAGTTACACATAGCAATTAGGTTGAGTGCTTGTTTCATAGAGAGCAAAATTCCCAACAACAAAATAAATACAAATACCAAGTCTACAAACCTTCAAGTACAAGTTCAAGTTTAGCAATTGAGAAATAGGCATATCCGATCTTTGGAAGTACATAATACACACTATATCTTTTTTTTGTATAGTATAAACAGGTAAATCCATGTCCTTTGTCCGTGTATTTTTGTGAGCCTGGAGACGGCAAATTTTTGGGTATGTGGGCTCTCATACTAAGTAGTAAACGAATATTAGGCATATCAACAGAAAAAGCTGCTGCCTCCATAGCTCCGAAAATAATTCCTATCCTCAACCTTATAGACATATAATATTTCATATGGAATAGTACAGATAGTTTAGTAACTCTATAAAACTTTCACCTGGTTTGCAGACTTGGTATTCACATAGTCCCCAAAAGTCCCAAGAGTTTGCTTATGTGTGTGTGTGTGTGTGTGTGTGTGTGTGTGTGTGTGTGTGTGTGTGTGTGTGTGTGTGTATGTGTGTGTGTATGCTTATAGGTAAACAGCAAAAATATGTTTATACGAGTATTCAAATTGTTGCATGTATGTTACAAACCCAAAGGAATCATGTTGTTGTCTATAAACAAAAACTAATACTGTACCACATATACATACATACTAAATACTAGTCCTGGCTTTAACGTATAACATTTTATAAAATGAAAATATACCAAAAAAAAAAGAAGAGATTTAAAATGTAAACGCAAAAGAACTAAAAACCAAGAATAATAAACTCAATTAAGAACCTGACTAGCTTTTGAGAGAGGTACGAGATAAATAAAACTAAAGAAAAACAAACAAAAAAAACCCCTAAAAGAACAATTTTAATTGAATTTTGTAATATATTTAAATACCCAAATAAAAAACAAAACTAATTCACTTAAATATACAAAGATTAGTTGTAATATAAACAAAAAGAAACCAAAAAAAAAAAGAAATTAATAATAATTGTAGTTAATAGCAGAGTGGCCGAGCTACGTAAGTTTTCTAAAGATTCTAAAAGGAAATGCATAGACATACTATATATAAAGTATTAACTGAGAGCATCGAAGTTAATTTTTTTTTAATAGGTAAACGAGATATAAATAAAATGAGAAACAAAAATGTATAAAACGCATAGCTGCAAAAAGTTTTTAGGCATGTCGTAAATCAAAACAAAACAAAACAAAAAAAAAAAAAAAACAGAGAAAAACCAACAAAAAAATCCAAGTTCAACAAAGTTATACAACTGAATTCCCCAATCGAACATGCCAAGTTGCCGCCGCACAAGCAGGGAACCCGAAATGATTAACAGAATGTGACAACCAAAGCAAAGCACATTGCAACCAAGCTACTCAAAATGCATCAATTCGATCTCCATATGTTTGACACAAGTCGCAAGCGCGTCAATTATAACCCTCACACACTTTTGGTAGTGAAAACATTCCAATTAGTAACCACTCCGATTATAGCTGTGTTCCCTATTCGTTGCAATCCCCTCACAACGTTCCAAGTAACGTTCATGCTGTCTTTAATCCAATCATCTCTTAGTTCATCGATCTGGCCGCACTAAAAAATATCGTACGCTTCTGAACATTTAAAAAACGCTCATGAAATTCGCATAGCATATAAAGTTTTAATGCCAGTTAACGCGAATAATTCCCCAGAGCCGCAACCCATTTTTTCGATCTGTGTCAAAGTATCTAAACTTCAGCGACATTACAAGCCCAAGTTCCCCTGTCTGTAGATTGATATATGTACTACTACTTAAATAATTAGCTGACATTTAATGCGAATTCTAAACCAAAATTAAATATATTCTCAATTGCAGTGAGTCCACAGATAGCATCATCAATGATTCGGAAATATAGAAAATACAAAATAATACCTAGAAATACCAAACTAAGAAAGAAAAGCCTAAAAAATACCTTAAAAATGTATACCTATTTATATAATATTGAATATTTAAATTGAAATGAACGTTCAAGACTGCTGTCAAAATAGCTTTATCACAATAAAAAAAAACACACACACACATACATACATACATACATCAAACGAACACGGTGGACAAAGAACACAAAATCGATGTAAAAAAAAAAAAAAAAACATCAAAAAAAAAACAAAGAAAATTGAAATGAGGAACTCTATATATGAAATTCGCCCAGCTTTAATGTTATGTACTAAAATGCATATTTGGGTTTCAACACTCCAACAAAACTACAACAAGAACAACAACAAGAACAAAACAGAACAGAACTTATACATATATGATACCAAGAAAAATTTTTGCCGTTTGAACTGGTTTCCTTAACACAATACCTAAAACTAGAAAGAAGAAAAACCAAAAACCAAAAAAAAAAGACAAAAACAAAAACAAAAAGAAAACTTTGATATGAGGGACCGAAATTAAAAGACAGGTCTTAATTATACACAACCAAAAATAAAATCCTTTAACTGATGCCTAAATCAAAATCGAAACCATTTAACAATATTTACATGGCTGCTACTACAATTAGTTGATGACATCAAGTGTCGTAAGCTGAATAGAATCCCACAATTTTGTTAGGCCCACAGTAGTGTGTACAGTGGTTCAAAGGCATCGGAAAATGTGTACATTAAAATCAAAGTAAAATATTCAAAATCTTCAATAGAAACACTTTTAGAGATATATATTTAGACTTACTTAAATATTTATAGTGCCGGCTTTTTCTTTGTACTGAGGCAGTCTTTTTAACAAAATCAATTTTGGTTTTTATTTATATACATATATATATATATTATTTTCTGGGGACCACTGTGCACAGTGCATTTCATTGAATATGTATGTATTGAGGATGTGTTCCATATGTGTATTCTACTTGTATTGTATGTGTGTGTGTGTGTGTAAGTGTTCTTCTGAACAGCGAAACGTAATACTACACATAAGGTACTACGAAAATCACAAAGTGTTGCACAGCTTCAGTTTGCACACATTTCTAGCTAACTGAGTTCATCAAAATAACGCAAAGAAAGTGAAAACCCAAATTACAGCAACCGATTAGATACTGAACAAGAACAACCAGAAACTAGCAAGAAAAAACAAACAACAGATTTTGGTATATGTATTTACACTGTACAGTTAATGGTTAAACAGCGACAGCTTACAAAAGATGTTTAAAACTAAAATAGAAATCCGGCCTTGACGGAATAGTTAACGGCATAGTATAGTAAACACCATTAAATGAGAAAACAAAACAAAGAAAACTATAACATGGGTTACACATACTATATACAATATATACATGTAAAGGCGGTCTAACAACAACAACATAAACAACAACAACATACTATATACTATACATATACTATACTATATACCAACCAAAAAAAAATGATAAGAAATACACTACAAGATCATATTTGACTTTACATGTATTATAGTAATGTATTCAGTAGTTGAACGGAAGCCGAAGCAAAGACCAATTTATTAAGCATAAACAATTATGTTAAACTAAACAATAAAAACAAAAAACAAAAAAAAAAACGGATAAATAATAAATTGAAGAAATGCGAAACAATTTTTATTATACCATAACGAAAAGCAAGCAGATTAAGTAAATAAAGATGAAACAAAAATTAACTAATCCAAACTTTAAACAAAAAAATAAGTTAAAAGCTAAAAATAAAAAATAATGAATAAGAAAGCAAAAACCCAAAAGTTTCTAAAAGAAATGAAAGCAAAATATATATAAAAAAAAATTATGTAATTTACATACAATTCAGTGGCTAAAAAAAAATAGTTTATTTTGAATTAACGGTATAGTATATTTAAATTAATATTGTTATATATCTTATCGAGGAACCGTGTTTTGCAAAAGCTTTAATATTTAGGGTGCCTACATTTGCTAAATTAGTATTTTACGGTTTAAAAAAAAATTAAATAAAAACAAACACAACAATACAAAATACACACACTTTCACAACGGATACACATACACACACACACAGACAAACAGACTACAATTACAAATTAACAAGAATTTTAAAATGTAGTCCTTAAATGCATAAAATGATGTAATGTCGAATGATAAACACGATTGAAAAGGAATCCATTTGCGTTTATTTCAAAAATGTACACAAAGTAAAACAACAAATAAATTAAAAACAAAAAAATAACAACAATTACTTAAAAAAAAAACAAAGATATATATATTGTATTTGGGATATGAATTTTAAGAATGTTTATTAGATTTACGATTTGTTATTTTGTATACATATATGTATGTAGTATAAACTGATCTGATTTTTTTTTTTTGCTCATTAAGCATTTACCTCGTAAGAATTCCCCCTATTTATAGCAAATTTACCATTACATAAATCAATTGATGTACTGTTATAATGTACACACCGAAAGCAAACAAATGGACAAAAACTAATTTAAAAAAAAAAATGATAAGGAAATGAAAATTACAAGCAAACAAAAATCCAACAAAATTGAAAGAAACATTAAGTAAAATGTAAATTATTAATTAATGAAGAAAATTGAAAAATTTTAAAATAATAAAGGGCTTTGTATGAAAATATCTGTATCTGTTTTATTTAGTGAAAAATTTTATAAAAAATAGTCGAGGCGCGTGATATACATATGAGAACTTACAGTCTCTGAGATCCGAGTGTTCATACAGACGGACAGACGAGGACATCGCTGTATCGACTCGCCTATTGATCTTGATCAATAATATATACACTTTATGGGGTCGGAGATGCTTCCTTCTATCTGTTACATATGCAAATTTGCAGAAAAACATTTTCAACTTGTTCAGAATATATAAAAAAATAATGCTCCAAGTTAGGTTGCTGCATTGGCTAAGTTCATAAAGCAGAGCAAAAGTTGAAGCATACCTTCAGGAGCACAGAAGCGAAGGATCATGGGTTCTTCGGAGATGCCAAACTTGTAAACATCTCACACACGCAAGGCGAACAGAATTGTGTAATATACAAAAAATCCTTGTTTCCTCTAAAACTACAACAACGGCTTGTGTTCAGTTGGTCAGTTGGTTCCCGGTCAGAGCAAAATATAGAGCAATTTCCTGTTATCAAAAAACCTTTTAAAGCTGTTGAAAGAAAAATTCGAAGGAAATGGTGCATTAGAATTGAAGGACAAGAACCATTAAGAATTGAAATTGGTCTTTAATTCGACGTCGCGACTTCAGAACTGAACTTTTTAATATGTCATTATGACCGAACGTTAAAATTTCAATACAAGAAAATAACAATAATAATAATAATAATTTTTGTTAATCTATAGCAGAGCCTTTGGCATCATAGAAGCTGGAGCTGATGTACAACTAGGGCATATAATACCATATATGTATATATATATATATATATATATATAGATACACATATATGTACATAATACGATATGATTAATTTCCGTTTCATCCTATGTGCTACGGCCACACATATTATAGAGCTTCTGCCGGAAGAAGCCCATCTTATCCGATTTCGCTTGAACAGCCCTTTTCGCCGCCAAGTCGCTCTTGAACAGAAGCCAATTGCGTCGAGTTTCCGGATCGGCTGGTCCCCACTTCTGGCTGGGCTTCAGCGAATCCACGAAACTCTATGAAAATGCACAGATTATATATGTATGGCAATCTTCTAAATATATGTATTGTTAACTTACCTTGGCAATGCTGCCAGTCCTATGGTTGTGAACATACCACCAGCCCCAAAGTGGAAATTGTGAAGCGCCTATAGCAAAGAGCAGCCAGCCAGCAACTAAAAAATATAAATATGATAATAAATATAAAAGTACATTAAAAGTGATTCTACAAGTTGACGCTTACCATCTCCCGCAACGGGAAAGTATATATCGCTGTACTTGATGGGCGTAATCGTTACCATGGAATAAATGAATATTACAATCATCATAATTGGTGTGAAGATGAGCCAACACGCACGCCAGTAGAGAGATACTCTCTTATTCGACATAAATTCGATGTCATCGCAAAAGTTTGATACACCTTGAAAATATAGACAATTTAAATGAATTGATGTAGCTTATACTTTGCATATATAATAATATTGTGCCAAAGCGGAGGAAAGAAAGAAAGTGATTCTGTCAGTAGAAACCATTTCATTCTTTTCTTCACAAGGGGACTTTAGCTGTAGCTTACCATATATCCAAGCAATGCCAACCAGCTCAAAGATGGCCAAAATAAAGACAACATAGGTGCCACCATAGAAGTCCACCAGCGTTAAGATCCATTGACCACCCTATAGCCAAAATAATATCTGAAGACCACTTCAAAACAACAACAAAAAATGCAAAACTTACGGGTGTTACGTAGACCAGACCCATAAGAAAACCACATATGGATGTTACCAGTGCGACCTTCCAATACTTCCACTTGAACTGATCACAGATAATGGTCACAATCGTGCTCTGCAGCGCCACAATCGATCCAATGCCCAAAACGAACAGCATAAAGAAGAAGAGCGCGGAAAAAAGCTGTGGCACGGCATTAAACTTCGAGATGGCGTCCGGATAGGAAATGAATGCCAAACCAGTACCACTTCGCACCACATCCCTTATATTCTCCACCTTTAGATTGTGCGCCAAATTGCCAAGTATTGCAAATATCGTAATGCCACCCAACAGACTAGTTAGTGTATCCAAAGTGGTCACGATCATCGCATCCCTATAAAATCAAATTAATATTAATAACATCATAATTTGCACACTTCTTTTCTGCACACACCTGTAAATGGGATGATCGAAGCGATTATAGGAGGAAAACATAATGATCGGTCCACTGCCGACGGCCAGCGAGAAGAAGCATTGGACAACAGCCTCCTTCCAGACGGTGGGATTAAGCAGTTCACCCCATTGGGGCTCCAGAAAGAAAATGATGCCATCGACAGCGCCCTCCAAAGTGACAGCGCGACCCAGCAAAGTGAAGAGCACCACATAGGGAAATAGTGCCAGGAAATAGGCTGCCTTGCCGGAGCTTTTAACACCACGCATTATCACCAGGAAAATGACAATCCAGGAAACGAATAGAGCAATCGTTAGCTTCCAATCTGGGTTGCCTACGCCATCCGATATATCCGTTTTCTCGTTGATAACAACATCACTGCAAATAAATTCAATATTAATATATTTTATTTATTTTTTTAGTTTTCAGAATGATTTCCATTTTATTGCGATTTTCTGTGTTACTCACAGAAAATAAAGTTCCGAGCTACTTTGCAGCTTCGCTGGGGTATCAGTAGCTCGAGTTAATGCCGAACTACCGTTAGTCATCATAGTTTCTATATATTCGGCTGGTCGGGAGTTAACACAATTTATCCAAGTGTCCCGGCAAGTGGACCACGGCAAATCCGCTTGGAACGAGACAGCCAAATAGTAGAGGGTCAAGGCTAACAGCGATGAGTAATAGCTTATAATGCAGATGGTGCCAAAGGCTTGACCATAGCCGACACCTAAAAATGAGGGGCATATCGACCAGATCTTGACGGTGCCTTGGCTCGTAAACTGTCCCATTATCATTTCCAGATAATACATGGGCTTTCCTAAAGTTGTAAATGTGGCATTAGCTTATACACCTAAGTGCATGTATATCAATATATATTTATACAATACCGATCATAAAGAGCACTATAATATATGGTATCAGAAAAGCACCGCCTCCATTCTCATATGCCGTAAATGGGAAACGCCAGATATTGCCCAAGCCGACAGATACCGATATACACGACATTAAAAATTCCAAGCCATTGGACCAATTGGTTCGCTCGATTTTCTTTTTTTGTGCCTCCTTCTCATTGTTCTATAAAAAAAAGATGTTAATATTTTATATATATTGAATAGTTTTAGCAATAATTACCGAACAATCGAAACAGTTTTCAGAGTTTAAATTGAAAATATATTCATTTTAGATACTAGAAAAATTGCCTATATACACACATATGTATATTATAATTATATTTAACATATGAGCAATAAAATCTTTAGTACAAACAAGTTCACTTTTGGAGTGAGGTAAGATAAAGGAAGTCATAGAAGAACCATTGCACAAATTCAACCGAAGGACGTCGAAGGAACCATTTCAATGTCCAAGGACCGCCCCTAGTCGCTTAACACAGATATAAAAACTTTATAATAACTGTATATATATATATATATTCCTGTACAAAAAGTATTTGTAAGCTGACGAATATGTTCCCATTTCTTTTGGACTATTTCTGCCGTCATGTCAGCAAAGATACTAATCGAAATGTCAATCGTCACCAAAATACTTGTATGATAACAACGTGTACATAGACATTTTTTGTTTTATTTGTCGTTTTAAGTGTGCACATAATTCCCGAGCAACAGTTAATATTTGAGCACAACAAACACTCGGAATACCAGTGCGCAATGTTTAAATAAAACAAACCTGTTTCAAGTTCCAAGTTGGCAATGCTGCGAATACGATCTAGATAACCATCCACTACATATGTATGTTTATTATGCCGACGACAGTGACAAGATGTTTGAAAATGTCCCAAAAATTAAAACATTTCATATACAAACACAGACAGAAATACCACATATGCTGGCATACTCAAGTTTGGTTAACCTTGCACCCAAATGGAGCTTACTTCTATCATCTATCTATCTTGGCCAACAATTAAGATCAAAATAATTGGGTAAATAAATCTTGATCAGCATCAACAGCCGAACCGTGTGGATTTCAATAGCTAAGACCGGGTCACAGGGTAACTACTAGTCGAGCTCCCTTTCGACCAATATACAAAAGCCAGAGATTGTTCCGTTAGCAACTATATATGACTTGTCTCTTCTACAGATATGTGCTTAACCGTTAATCGCATTGCTCATCTGATCAAATTTCAAATTATGTCACATTGTTGAAAATGCATACAAAGATATATGTACATATTTATGCATATACACTCAATGAATATATACATATAAAACACCGTATCAAAATATTAACTTAGGCTAGCAACATCTCGGCAGATATAAACTTGTCGACTTGGATAACATTCAGAGTGCGTTCTATCGGCGATGGGGCAAACATTGCGCCACATATTATTGGGCATATAGAACAATTATTTTATTGTGCTGTACTACCAATGACGTTAAGTAAAGCAAAGCCGCGCAGGAAATAAATCGCAGTTAAATTATTAAGAAATTTGATTTATGAATTCGGATAAGATTACAATTGCTTTGACAGCGCGTGACAATTAGTCAACTTGGGCCACGATCACAATCCACATCCAAAGGAACCAACGAACCCCCAATCAAACAAAGAAAATAAGGAAACAAAGAAAACAAGTAATTGGCATTAACTTGGCTGAAATACGACGCAGCTGTGACAAATGCTGGGTAATTATACTAACCACTCAATTTGAATATTGCACGCGACTTTTTCGCATTCACAATGAGTTCTCACTTATGTCTGATTAAACCCTGGGCCTGGTTACAGCACAACATTGGCAACAATCAAATCGGTTGGGAAAAATACTTAATAAAAATAAACAAGATTCCGCTGAATGATCGCTCTTATGACAGTGCAGAAACGAAAAGCCCCAATCAAAATGCAGTGACTCATTAATAATATATGCGATATGGATTTATACACTTGCATTGTGGTTTTATACATTGCATCAACCAGTCGAAAACCAGTTAATTAATCAGACAACAAATCAGCAGCCTTCTAAATTATGAACTAATAATAATTAAAAGGAGGGTGTCTCACAGGATCCGGAACCGGAACCGGAACCGGAACGGCAACCTTACCTTACCGATTGAAATTACGGGAACCAATATTATTAACCAATATTTAAATAAGAAATAAAATATTTATATAATTTCATAAGCTTTACATCCCAGAACCGGTATCGAAATTCGATTCGATTTGGCGCCCTGTCTCAGAAACTTTGATCTTTGATCTTACTGATCACAGATATCATAATAGGCAAGCACATACTCATACTTTATTCTAGTAGTTATTATAGATATATCGTGTATTGCTATTTATTTATAATGTTAAATTATTTTCTATGATTGCAAATGCTGATTTTCTTCCGGAGAATATGCATATTTAAAAAATATCTGACATTTAATAATCATATAAGTGGTCTTAATGACAATGTTCTATTATTGTTTGTACAGCTTTTAAGTATTTTCCAGACAGTCTGTTAAGATACAAATACAGATACAGATACCCCTGTCTCCTTATCATGTAAGGTGAAGGGCCAGCGACAAAACGAAATTAAAAATAAAAAAAAAAAACAGAAAGTAAATAAAGACAAAAATGTGCGAATATTTTTTATTGAAGTTGAATGTACAGATAAATGTTAATCGAGTGGTTTGCTTAATCAAAATGTGTAAGACTTGTCCTAAAAAAAGATTGCACTTTATTGTATTTTACTCAATGGCATAACCATAATCGCATATCAATTTGTCAATACACTTGATTTATTTAGGGTACTAAAACCAGACAAGATCTCCAATGATCCACATAGATAACAGCACTTTGATATGTATCGTAATAATTGAAATTTAAGTGAGAATCCATAAAGATCTTAACGATCCACATAGATAAGCGTACTGAATGAGTAGATAAAAAAAAGCTTCAAGTGTTTTCAATACAGATACAATCGAAATGTATATCTCATACACAAAGAGCTAAGTAAACTTATTTTACGATCTGTTGGTTTAAATACATTTTAAACTTTCATATCTCGCAATGGGAAATACACTATATGATCTCATCGCATATGCATATAGATGTTAAAATAGATATACTGCCAATGTGATATTACAGAGGAACTGTAATTGTAATTTACAATTCATGTTTGACAAAAGTATTCGTGTAACAGCTTGGGGAAACACCTTGTCATAGTTACTATCTCGTGCAATGAATTATCAAGTAAGAACAAATCTTTATTCCCCTTTTCTCTGTCACAGGCTGTTAAACATTATCTTACTAGTTTCATTTATTTACTTCATTTTTGTTATTTTTGTTTTTTTATTATTATTGTTAGTAGGGCTAAGAAATGCTTGTGATCTTTTCCTCAATGATAAGTTGCCTTTTGGCACATTATATGTTAGCCAATAAAATCGTTCACTTGCTGAAAGACATTTGCGCTGTAAACTTGCTTTTATCGTTCACTTAGTATACGTGTGCATGACTGTATATAATTATCAAATATCGTTTTTAACAATCTCTGAGTAGATGTCTTTTGCACTCATTTCATTTGTACTCTACCCGTAATATTCAATCACTTAAATGGCGCGGGACAGTTCCATTAACTAGAAATTGACTTCATGGGCGTACTTAACGAAGGGAACCAAAGATCTAAATTAAAAATTATGCGTCATTTTAAGCCAAGACATTTACGAAAGCTTTACAAAGCTTCTTTTGAGTTTCAAGTGTAGATTATTGAATCGCTTAACTTGGTTTTCCTTTGTTTAGTTCCATTAAATGCAGTTTTTTATTGTTTTATATGCATGTGAATCTAATATATACTTAACTTTATCCCTTGAGTTTCAAATAAAACAAATTTTATAGATTTTTTTTCGTAGCATTAAAATGCAATAAACAAAATTTGATTTGTTAATTAAAGCTGTAATTGGCAAGGGATGTCCCCCAGCGGACGATACCGCCTACGCCCAGAAAATCAGCTTAAAGCAGTGCTAATTAAAATGCAGCGATTGAAAGGAGAAGTGGACGGGGGCACGGAAAGCATTTGTGTTCGTTCATAAGGTATGCGGAACTGCAACTGGAACTGGTACTCACATCTGTCTTGTTGTTGTTGTTGCTGTTGCTGTTGCTGCTGTCGTTAGTGTTGTTGTTGTTGCTGGTATTGCCTTGTGGATTACCATTATTGGCCCCGTTCTGTGGCATTGTCTTTAATTCCATGTTGCAAGGTGTTTATATTTTTTTTTTATATTTTTATTGTATTTTTTCATGCACTACCGCACATTAAATAAAACAGCAAAAAAAAAAAAAAAAATTTATAATTTACAAAAAATTAGCAACTAGTTGGAATGGAAATGGAAATTATAAACGCGGCGTAAATAATAACTGTTCAAATGATCGTTGTTTGTTTAATGAGTTTCATTAATGTTGAATCGAATAAACAATGGCCGGAGTCGCGAGTTGAGTTGTGATGCCGTGAATGCCACGGCTAGAACTGAACCAGCGGCAAGCTTTGAGCGCTTTAAGAACCATCCACAAAACGACTAACTAAAAACGGCAAACAGAGTCAAACAAGCGTATTGCAACTGAAATCAACAGGTACAACGGCACCGTACGGCAACAGGTGCGAGTACATCTAACGGGTACACAGCAAAAAATTAAGTCCGTACTCAGAAAGTTGCTTATTGCTCTTCTCTTTGAAGTTCAGCAATTTCGGATGTTCAAAACCTGGAATGCTCTCTCTCTCCCTCTCCCTCTCTCTCTCTCTCTCTCTCTCTCTCTCTCACTCTCACTCTCTCTCTCTCTCTCTCTCTCTTTATTTGAATTATTATACATCACGTGGAGAAAAATACATTTTACATGTTATTTATAGTAAGAAGAACTATAAATCTCGTTCGTATATGAAATACGCTTATAAGGCTTATAAATGTAGTCTGCATAAAGTGTGAATTAAAAATGAATTAATTAACATGCAATATATAACTCTTGAAAAACGTCATTGCATTGAGAGTAAATTTAACTCTGATTTAAATATTTTAGCTAGTTCAAGAAAAAAAATATATTCCTATGCTTTGAGTATTTTACACAACTTTCACTAAAAATGTCAACTTGAAATACAAATACTTCAAATTGCCCATTACTACAGACAGCCATTGTTTTTTAGTTTTTATTTTTTCTCATTTGTTCTGAGTCCATGTGCTTAAGTAAGTTAGGTAAGGTTAGTGTATAAATACAGTTGGCGTTTAAAAAGCGTTAAATCATCCAACATCATCGTCATCGTCATCATCATCATCATCATCAAAGGCAGCAACAATTTGGGCATGCGAGATATGAAAACAGAACTTCGTGTGCTAATCGTGCTTTAATATGAAAGTGTTAAGGAGCGACACAGACAGAGGAAGCGGTGAAGAGCAAGATATACATCATATGGCGGGGCTCTTCAAATAGCTATGATTAGGATTACTGAAAGCACTCGAAAGTAAGCATCATGGCAAAAGCGGGAATTGACGCATTGACGCATTTCCGCATTATTACTAATGTGCGGGTATCATTAACTATTATATACCCTATACCCAATATAAAAATTAACTAATATAGTTATTGATGCACTTCCTCAAGATAAATTACCTGATTTCCTCATCAAATACAAATGCGCGGGTATCCTTAACTAGAATATACCCTATAACCAAGAATAAAAATGCACATTATTGCCGAAAAAACAGTAAATGAATTGGCATTAAAGCATTTCTTGAATGACTTTACATTTTGTTTAACAATATCAATTTTTCGAATAATAATAATCAATAAGACATGGGAAATACATATGCCAAAAATGCAAGAATTTGTTGCTTTTTTTATTATGAGGGAGCTGAAATGATTATCTTAAAATTAATCATTTGGATTTTTTGACTAGTTCGATTTTCAACCCTTTCTTATGGGCGCCATTTGATAGAGTAATCAGATAATAATCGTATTCAATAAAATTGGAAATATTGGGAATCAAGTCCAACTACAAGTACAAATACGCATTTGGAATATTGCTTAGCAATTGAAGTCCGCATGCCGATAATAAAAAATAAATACCGCGACCCAGACGTAGACAAAAACGCAAAAACGTAAGAAGTCGATAACGAGTTTTATAAGACATATAAAGTTGACACTGTCCACGGTATACTAAGGTTATTAGAAGCATAAATATGTGGAATAGGTACGAATCATTTATAACTTCACATTAACCAGAACCATTAAGGAATACATGTGAAAAACAAAAGACCCAATTAGATATCGAAATACAAACTATTTGCACAATTGGCAACAAAGTGAATCAGTTAAATATGGTGTTCTCGAGGGCACACAACAGATAAAAAAACAGCAAGATAAAGTTTGTAGATTTTCAGTAGTTTTTATTTTTAATATAGTTTGCATTTTTATTTTATATTTAGTTAATAGCTAAGTTTTGTAAATTATTTTCACTTCAATGTGTCTATAAATTAATTCTTATTTTGTATTTATCGTCTCAGCATTACTAAATTAAAGAACAAAAAAAAAGTAGAATAATAACACAATAACTAGACGTTAAATTTAGTTTTAATATGTGCTCTCAATCATGTCAGTTTGTGTGTGTGCTGGTGTTAGTGTATGTGTTAGTGAAAGTGTTAGTGTATGTGTAAGTGTGTGTGTATTTTTTTATTTTATTTGATGTGTGTGTGTGTGTGTGAATATGTCAGTTAATCAGTTATCAACAATTGTACAAGTGAACATTTTTACATCGAGAAATTAAGACACTAAAAAGTTGACAACTTTTGCGTATATTTATAATAATAATGATAATCATAATCATAATCATAATCATAATCATAATCATTATGATAAGTAATATGTAATTTATATGCTACATAGAAGTATGTATTTATATAAGCTAGATAATAAGTATAAACTTTATTCAAAATCAGACAATAAAAAAAACAATAATCAAATAGCGCCGCACTTTTTACACTTCTACAAAATTTGCACTACAATTTTTTCCTTCTTTTTTTTGCTTCTTTTTTAATAGTTTTTTTTCGGTTTTTTTTGTTGTATTTTTATTTTTTTTTTGTATTTTGCGTGAGCCACTTGCGAATGGAGTGAGAAAAAACGGGGGAAACTCTCAAAGCTCCACTCGCTGCACAGCGAGAAAAAACGAATGGGATATGAGGTAGGGGGGAAGGAGAAAATAAACTCAAAAATTAAAAATGAAAAAACAAAATTGTAGGTAAGCAATTATAATAAAAACAAAATGACACGTCAAGTCTCATAAGTTGAAATATATATCTATATAATTATATACATATAATTACACATGTATTGTATGTAAGTATGTAAAAATATCATCACTTGTACGTTTTTTCTTTACTAAAAACTTAATTAGCCTTTTGGCAAACGAATTTGTTTAGCAATTCAAAATATAAAAAAAATAGTTAAATAAATAAATGTTTCCTTTTGTTTTTGCTTCTTTTTTTCTGAGGGGAGTGGGTGTATGTATGTGTGTGTGTGTGTGTGTGTGAAGTTATCTAAAGGTGTATTTTTGTTTGTTGTTTTGGTTATTTGTTGTGATATACGATATACATATAGATACACATATGCAACGCTTATTCTATACAAAACACGTCTAAAATTGTTGCTTTTCTGCGATAGAGACACACATCGTACATAATAATGTTAATGTTACTAAACTCATAGCACATCATTCTTCTGATCTATACATAAACATACTTTGCGGATTTATGTTCTTGCATCCGTTTGTCAACTGTTATTTTTATTTGTATTTTTTTTTTCTTTTTTTTTTTGTTCTTTTTTTGTGATAGAGAAAAATATGTTGATTGATTTGAAATACATTTACAAAAGGCATGATATATATTAAACTTAATATTCTGATTTTTTTTTTATCAATAAACTCTTTGGCCCACTGCAAAGAGCAGAGTTTAAGATAAACAATTACCATTTCTATTACCTATATATATATATATATATATATATATACTCTATATATATATGTATGCATAATGCTAGTTTGTAAACAATTATTGTGTTGCTTGTGTCAAATTGCTTTAGTTGTTGTTGCTACTTCGTTTTTCTTCTTTCTTTTTTCTTTTTTTTTTGTATTTACATGACTGCCTGAAATTCTAGATATAGCGCAACTTTCTCACAGGGGGGGATGTTTTGGGGAACAGGGGCAAAGCTCTTAACAATGGCACACACGCATATATTGGTCTGGTCTGGTCTGGACTCAATGGGAGGCAGGGAGGTTGGGAGTGAGGCAAAGTAGTAACTGTTTACATAACTGCATATGTATGTTTGTATGTTGGTTTATTTTTCTGTCGATTTGCCTGTTGTGTTAGTTTGTTGTGGTTGTTGTGGCTTATGAGGGGCGGCATTTTTCGTCTTTTATTTAACGTGTTAGTTTATGTTTTTTTTTCTCTCTTTTTTTATTTAAAATAGTACACATTCTTGAAGTATGATTGTACTATTCGTGCGTTGAGTAATATGATCAGCAATTGGACTGAAAAGTATACATCAACTTTGAAGTAGTAAAAGACACAATATGCCATTCATTTATCATTAAGTTCATCAATATAACTTTAATGATTTTTCACATTCATTTTAATTTATAATTGCGTTTGCAAAAACTAAAGATTGTTTCATATAATTATGTACACACAATTGACATAGTTCAAGTTAAAACTTTCCAAAAGAAAAATTAATTTCCTGTTTTTTTTTTTTGTTATGATATTTAAGAGTGACTTTTATAATATGTTTACATAATATTTAAATAAGGTAAATTGATGAATTTTTGCCTTGACTCCTTTTATATTTCTATTTAAAAAAAAAGTATTTACACTAAGTATTACTACTTATTATCTGAGTATGGTAATATCTTAAGCGTTTCGTTGGTTGTTTTGTGTGTGTGTGTGTGTGTGTGTATGTGAATGTGTGTTTGTGTGTGTGTGTGTGGGTATGTGTGTGTGTGGGTATGTGTGTGTAAAGGTATGTGCGTGTGTGTACACGTGCTTTGGGTGTGTGTCCCAAATGCAACTGCCGATAATTTGTTTGCATCGTTGTGCCTTAGTGCAAAATCCTAAACATACACAGCTTATTGACGCAGCAGTTGAATCCCCCTAAACACATATTTAACTAGTTTAGTTTTGTTAGTAGTTGTTGCCTATTTATGCGGGAGAGATCAGCAAATGGATCAGATCAAGAGCTCAACAAACAAATCGAAGAGAGGCGCATGCAACCGATAAAATTGCTTGTATTTTATATTTAGTATGATTTTGCTACATATATATGCATGTATGTGTTGTGAGTGTGTGTTACCTGTTTAGATGTGCGTGTGTGTATGTGTATATGTGTGTGTGTGCGCGTGCGTGTGTGTGTGTTTTAACAATGTGTTACATGTTTAGATGTGAGTGTGTGTGTTTGTATGAGTGTTTTAACAATGTGTTGCATGTTACATGTGTGTGTGTTTTGTTTTTCTTTTGTATTTATATAGACATTATATATATATAGATATATATATATATATTTATATAAATACGGGCTCTAGGCTCAGTCGCGTACTACAACATTCTTTTTGTTTTGTTTTGCTTGTTTTTTTGTGTTTCTTCATTTGGGGGAGAGGGGTTAGGTCATTTCGGCATTTTCAGTTGCTGCTGTTGTGGCTTTTGTTGATATTTCAGGTTTGGTTGTTGTTGTTGTTCTTGTTGATGTTGTAGTTCCTATATTTTGTTTTGACTTCCTTTTTGTCGTTATTATTGTTTTAATGTTCATGTAGGCTGTTAATCAGGCATCTCGACCCATTTTGCGAGATTTCTAGCGACAAGTTCCTTATTGATAAAAATTATATTCTGCAATAACAAAATAATATCGATTAGTTTGTCTTGCTATATTTAATAAAAATAGATTAAGCATTTCATTTACTTAACTAACTGATCAAGCTTTAATTATTAACTTCAACAGCAACTGAGCTGACGTAAATACAAAACTTAGTCTCCTTTGAATGTTAGATTAACTGATTTAAGAATTAAATGAATTGCTTTTAAAATATTGATAACGATACAAAATTTATAGTTATGACTATGAGCAATAGTAAACCAATGCAATTGTTAAAATATTATGGAAACAAATATAAACATTTAAACCATGACAATTATTTGCGAATTCAAATAATTCATTTAGACATCAAATTAAATTTTATGAAAGCCGAGCGAGATGCAAGATGTATCTATCTATCTATCTCTCTCTATCTCAGACAAGCTCTCGCCATCTCTGTCTCCGTCTCTGTTCGTTTTATACTCACATTTGGACCTAGAGAAGCAAATAAATAGATTTCTGGTATGTTATGGCTATTGTAGCCGGCGACTTGTGCTTGCAAGACAATGCCTTTGGTTAATTTGTTGAGGATATCAGCCGCATCGGCCGAATATGTATCATCTAAACCAAATGCAAAAGATAGAAAGAAAAAATAAATTAGTAAATATGCAATGTTTTGGTCACAGATGGAGAATTGAATAACCACTTACCGATTGGCTCGATGTTGGACAGTATGCATTCGGTTGCCTGAAATGGCAATGCCATAAAATCTGTCCGAATTTGACGCAATGCACTAAAGCTGACATTCATGTAGCCACCAAAGTCTAAGAATTTGATAAGACAACGCTCCACATCGTCGGCATCGGTGTCAACAATCTGCACACGATACCAAATCCCATTGATGGGCATCACACAAACGGCGCTAATCTCAATGTTTGGCAATAGTGGTGCATCCATGGTTGAATAACTATCGTACATGGCCTTCTGTAGAGCATGCAGTGATGGATGCGATGGATGCAACGGATGCTGGATGAACACATGGTCTCCAGAGAGCACAGCGCTGACCACAACATCATTGTTGATGCCTTCGATCAGATTTAGCTACAATTATACAATGTATACGCATATGAAAATAAATATATATTTACTATTTTTTTTGGTTTTGTACAATTGCGGTTAAAATAATAGTCTTGCTGCTTCTCGAAGCATTTAATAGAAATATTACTCATTTTATGACGATAAAATCGACACCTCTTCAAAATCTTCAATATGAGGGAAAAACTTCAATTCGGCAGAAACAAAAAATGTTGGATTTCTCATCTGGGAATGTTTTCAAATACAATTATTTTCCAAATACTAAGCGTAGTAAAATATAGCCACCTTTCATATCTAGTTTTTAGTTCACGATTATTCCACTACTATTATAATGATAAATTTCAATAATAATTTAATACAGAATATATATTAAATATATATACGAATTATTAAATTTAATGACTTTCAGTTTTTTGCTAATAAATTTGATTGCTATGCCAACTTTTAATGCTTACTTATCTTCAGTATTGACTGCTTGTGTTTAAAGAAAATCATCATAATTTGTTAACTATATTATAAGTATTTTGTTTAACATTTATCAAAACATATGGTTTTGGTACTATTATTTTGACCGCAACTGTCTATATATAGATTGTTATCGAGATAAATCGATAACTGCAATAAGTCTTTGGTAAGTCGTGCTTCAAATTGAAATACCTTTGCAAACATTTACCAAAATTATGAAATAGTATTTCATTTTGAATTATACATAGATTCATGATTTAAGAGATCATTTAGCAAATTAAGTTTTAGTAGTTTTAGTAAATCCATATATTGTATCTGTATCTGTCACACAGTTAAAGATACAATTTCGTCGAGCTTAAACTCACTTGTAGATTATAGAGGCTTTCAGTCGAAAGAGGAACTACGGTTTGCGGAAGCGCATAATGGATTCGTTGCATTGTGAAATTGGGATAGCGTCTAGCTGGCAAACGTTGGCGTATCATTGCCAAAGCGGCATCGATCTCATTCTCTGTGCCCTCAATGGTGCAGATGCGCAATTTACCGGATGAATAACGTGTCTTGCTTAGCACCACATTTGCCAAAGTTTTCGCCTTAATCTGATTGATGAATGTCCGTTTGCGTCCATACAACTGGCCAATTAGGCCATTGGGAAAGTAGAAACGATATGAGGTCTTCACGCGCGTTGTCGCCTCCGAACGTGGCAGGCTAGAACCCTTGCCCGAATCACCCGATTGTACACTGCAAATGCTCAGCGATGGACTTGCTGCATCCACATTACGCTTCTGATTGCCATTGGCTGCTGCTGTATTTTCTGTGTTTGCATTCACATCCTTGGCTACAACAATTGTTTGCTCCACGACAGGGTTATCCTGTTCCACCTCAGCCAGCGCAGTCTGTTGTGGCACACCTGCAATTGGAGTTAGTGCTGGAGTTGGAGCTGTTGCTGGAGCAGTTTTTGTTTCCTTCATCTCCTTTTTGGGCTCACAATTGTTGTTTGGCTCGCCAAACTCCTGTTTGGTGTATTTGCTCTCGAGAAACGAATTCTCTGGCGATATTTTGGGTGTGCATGTGGCCTTAATCACAACTGGCTCCTCGCCCTTTTGATTGATTTTACGATTGTAGAATAAAACGCGATTATTGCTAATCGAATCGGGTAAGTCCCTGGGCGACGATAAATTCTCAAAATCTTCATCGATGGAGCACAGCTTCTTGTGTTCGGCATCCTGAATTTTTGATTTCAACATTTCTGAGTCAATTTGCTGCTGTTGCTGCTGCTGCTGATGTTGGTGTTTGCCCGGCGATGCACGACCATTTTGTATGGTAATCGGTGCCGATTTGCCATATAACATTGTATTTGGGCTATCATTTTCATTGCCATGATTCAGCGAACCATTACCGTTAACACTTATGTTCATTGACTTTGTTGTGGCTCCTCCTCCTACTGCATTATTTGGCAATTTCCCATTTTGTGATTGAAGCCCATTCATTTTAATTGATGGGTCGACGACGTCATCCTTAACTTGCTTCCCATTGGCTTTAGCATCATCATCGTTTTTATCTATACGATTTTTATTTCTACGCCGAAACCAAAAGACGCCGAGTATAAATGCTACACCGGGCAGTGACAGAAAGAGTAGTGGACGACCGGATACCATTTTCGCTGAATATTGGAGAATCTGCAAAAATGGACGCGAGAATCAAAATAAAATTAATATCACTTCTACAGAAAATGCGTAAATGTGCTGAATCTTAACAATACAAATGAACAAAGCAGATGCTTTACTTTCAAGATTGTGACACAATGCTTACTGCTTATTAATAGAATCAAATCAATCATTGAGATCAAATCACATTTCCAAATAAATAACGTTTATGAAAGCATAATTAAAAGAGCATAGTTAAATAATTGAAATTTTTAAACAAATTAAAATTATAAGTTATGCGACATTAATAAATATAATAGTATAATAGACAAAATCGAGAGCTATCCTTGCATTAGACAATATCATCGTATAGTAAACTTTTTATGTTTTGAATATATATTTCTAGCCACATTTTCAAAATATCTTTTGGGGACTAATGCAACAGCATACATAAAAATATCTTGGTATATGGAGTTGTGTAGGATTCCGTTTACGATCCCTCGCACAAGGTATGCGAGCCTGTAAAGCGGGTAAAGAAGCTTTCAGCAACGCATACTTTCTGCATTACAAAATAAGTAAAATGTGACAAGTAATATGGATAAAAGTATAGATTACGTATCGAATTCGTAATGTGCTTTTCTCGCTACTGGGAATGCAGTACAGAGAGAGACACAGAGAGACAGAGAGAGAGAGAGAGAGAGAGACAGAGACAGAGAGTGGGGATGCAATTAACAAGAGTCGCCCGCAGCATATTCAAGTGGAAAGGAAAAAACCATCAACGATTTCTAGATTTACATAAACATGGGATTTGGATGAGTTTTAAAACAAAACGAAGCTGATATTGAGAAATATGCGTATAAATACGCATGCTGTTTTTAATACATTCACTTGCTACTACTAGATAGATAAATATGTTGCAGAAAGTCACAGTTTGTTTGGGTCGCGGCCATCACGAGACCCATTTGGCATCTACATTCGTGTGTGTGTGTGTATTTAGCTGTTTATATATATATTTGTATATGTATGCCTGCGTATTTATAGCAACAATACATAATTATAGAAAATCATTTGAATAACAGCAACGCCGTCGAGCAAACAAATAAGGTGCACAAGGCAGAATGCCACGCGGAAGCAAGCGAGCGAGTTAACAAGTGAGACAGAGAGACACAGATAGAGAGAAAGAGAGAGAGAGAGAGGGGGAGCAGCAAGCATATTCAGATCAAGCGAGCGGATCAGTGTTGACATTTTGGCTATTTAATAGCCAACATTAAAACAAAAAACTGCCTTCTTAAGAAAATTGTAGTTGTTTTTTAATTGTTTGCATTTGAGTTCATCTTGTACAAATACATTCATTATTCATTATTTTGTTTTGTTTCAATACATTTATTTCGAGCACATTTCTAGATTTGTTAATTTTTTTTAGCATTTCTTTTCTGCCTTTCACATACTGGCAGCACTGAAACGAGCAAATTGAGAGTGAGAGAGAAAGGGGAAGAGTGCCATGCATCTCTCTTGCGCCTGCGCCTAGTGTCAAGTGTGAATAGAAATGCCGCAAAAGCAACAACAAGAGGAACAGCAAACGCGAGCAGCTTTGTGTGGCAAGAGGAAGACCAAGAACAAGAATAAGAAAACAACAACAACAACAAGAACAGCAACAAGCATTACGCTGACGGCAATTGTTATGAAATCATTACAAAACAAACCGTTGCTAAAATTAATGAAAACTAATAAAGGCGACTGCCAAAAGTTACAGCAATAGCAAGAGCAAGAACAACAACAACAGGAAGGAGAAGAAATTAATGAATTCACCTTAAAGCTCGACGATGTAATTTAATTGTTTCACATACGCACACACCCACACCACTTATTCGTTAGTTTTCGTAAAGGATTTTTGTCTATTTCAATAGGATTGACTTATATTCAATAAATTCGTTTTATATTTTATTTTATTTTGGCAGTTTAATTCGTTAAAAAAAAACAGTCATTTTTAATTCGTTTAGATTGAAGCGGCAAAAGATTTCGACGCCGGCTGAGCGTTTTGAGCAATTCGAGCTTTTGTTTATTATTATTTTATTTTCTTTTTGTTAATGCGTATCTATCTCCGCTATGTGATGATATCGCCTCGATATGCAAAGGGAAACTACCCAAAAAGCGCTTCTTTTTTTTGCCATATGTGCTGTGCATGTGTGAGTGTGTGTGAGTGCGTATATGTGTGTGTGAGCTTCGCACCCCCTTCCCCCACCACAAAAGAGTAGAAGGATCGTGCGATTGCTTCGTTTTTCTATTTATTATTTCTAGCGGCTCTTTCCGACACACACACACACATTTGCAATTTGTCAACCATTGCCAACCCGATCCGATCCAATCCAATACACCCACCCAGCGCAAACGCAGTGTCAACAGCCTCAAGAAAGTAACAGGTAACTGTTAACAGTACTGCCAGACTTGAAAACACCCTGTTCTACATTTTTGCAAATCGATAACTATCGAAGCGAGTCATCAAACATAGAACACTCTTTGGCCTATAAGAAAATAGACACAAAATGTTTAACATAAATAATTTATATTATTATACAAACTTGAGAATAAACTTTGCAATTATTTCTCGGAAGTCTACAGGGTAGAAAGTTGATCAAAAGCACAGATAGAGAAGAGCATAAAAGAGAGCGCCCTTCGAGGTATTTCAATGAGCCAATAAAAATGTCAATTTCTCTGTTTTCGTTTTTGTTTTCGTTTTTATGTTTTCTTCAAACCTGTTGAACTGTTAAGTGATTGTTGATTCGTGTGTGTGTCTATTTGTCTATGTATGCACTTTTGGCTGTTTCGTCACCAACAATCTGGCTGGCGGCGTTTTGTTATTATTGATAAGCTCTAATCAGAAAAATAAGGTTGCAAAGGCTGCCACTTTGGTCCAACGTAAATACTCAGCTCAGATCTCAGCTGTGAAGCATTCTTCCCACAGAAAACTGGAATATTACAGTTACTATTACTTATTCCACGAATTGCAAGCAAGGCAACATTGCCACATACACAGAATTGTAAAGGGAAAAAATACAATTTTAACAGCTTTAAACAACTGTTAAGTTTAAAGAATGTAAATATACATATGCAACAATGTACATATCGTGTGTGCTTGCGTATCTGTTTGTGGGTGCAAAATAAACAATGTTTGACATTTGCCGCTTGACTTTGAACTTGCCTGGTGAGGCCCACACACGATTCTTCTGCTGTAAGTAACAAATGCTACAGTAAAATTTCCATAACATATATATACGATTGTGTACACATTTATGTATGCGCATAACATTTTTTTTGTGGTCGTTAAACTAGCTGAAGCTTAAATTCAAGGCCTGCGATTTAAATTTAACTCGTTATCAAAGGGCGCACAGAGAAGTGCGTAGGAGAGAGAGAGAGCGAAGTTTATTTTTCTATTAACACACGTACGGAAGCAGTTGGAAGAGAAACAACAAAAACAAGAACAACAAACGTAAAATGTTTGTTGCTTTACTTTGTCCAACACTGCCCCCCGCACCCACACCCAACACCATCACTCACTATAACCTCCCTCTCTACCTCGCGCTCTCTCTCTCTCCTTAGCTTTGTCAACACACACATTCGCTACAATCTAGCAACGTGGTTGCCGATCATCTGCTTGACAAAAATGTATTGTATAATCGAGCAAATAAATGTGATATTTTGATTTCAGACCGTTGTTTTTTTTTTTTTTGCAACGCTGGCAACAAATTTGTTGCGTGAGGTTTTTTTTAAACTTGTTCTGCTTATTAAAAGCAAAGTAGTTTAGTAAACTTTTAATTGAAGCGCAGCTGTTGCGAAAACCGTATAATAACAACAAAATAAAAATACGCTCAATATTACTTAAATTTGTTGTGTATGAAAATTCCAAAGCAATACCAAAGCAAAAATGACTCAGCTACAAGAAGAATTTTCCACACACAAATTTATTATATGCATGTATATATAGATGTATTTTAATGTATTTAGCTATAGCTATGTAAATAAAAAGGCATAGATATATATATTTATGTATATATATATATAAGCGAGCATGCGGCAAGCCGACAATATAATTTTCATTGTGTAATCGCATCAAATATTAAGGACCCATAAGTCTCCAGAACATTGATCTTAAATTTACACACACATATATATATATGTATATACATATACATGGTCAAATTGACAGGCGGCACAAATTGAAAGCCGCATGTTTTTAGCAAATTCAACAACAACAAGGTGTTGCCACCTATTGATTATGTTGCGCATTTTTTGCACTAGCACACACACAATCACAATTAAGAGAGCAAACAAAAAAAAAAAACAAAAAGAGCACATAATATAGCAAATGATTTTCGCATTGTCTTTGGGTGTCTTTTTGAGAGTTATTACGCATCACTTTACAAACAAATTTCTTTTGCAACATGACACCATTTTTCCCATTTGGTCTGTGTGTTTGTGTCTCTGTTTTGGCAACTGTTTTGTAGTAGGTTATGTTCCGCGTGCTCAAATGTGCGCTTACCTTTTGAAACCAGTGGGGTAATTAATATGTTTTCAATTGCTTTTCTTTTAGCTGTTTGAAGTTGAAATGTTTTTTGCTTTTTCACTTGGCTTTTTTTTTTTTTTTTGACTTGATTGACACGAAACTGGAGCGTACAAAGCAGCAGAAATTAAACACGTGTCTACGTCTACCTTTTACATATCATAACATGGCCGGCGAATACAGTGTTGCCATCACTGCGCACGAACGCCGATTAGCGAAGTAAACACACTCTGCCAACTCTGCTTTATCGAATGAAACGCATTATTTTGAAAAGAAATCACTTTGGGAAAATATTCGTGGTTGAATTGCTTTTAAATTGTTTGCACAAATTGCCAAAATGCGTGTGAATACGCTTAATCGGGCTGAATGACAACACATTCATGAACAGAGCTGCAATGAGTTGCAATCGATGTAATCGATAAGCAGAGAGCTGACTATCGATATCGATATTTACAAAGCAGACACCAGAAAATCATTGATTTCAAATATATCAGGAGTATATCAAATGCTATTCATTTTGTAGAGCTGAGGTTATTTAATTCTATTTCTTAGATGACGTATCGATAAATCAAATACATCTCTTTTTTCTAAGTATATATATCGATATGTCAAAAGCAGTCAAAACATGAAACTAGGTGTGCGAGTGCTGCCACCTATCAAACTTATCGTTAACTTTAAAATAAATGACCAAAGAATTGTCCACATAGAGAATAGATTTTAATGTCAAAATCCAAAGAAACATATACCCATGTAGTATCACACCAAGGTAACTTACAGAATCGAATCGTTTGCAAAAGGCATTCTTTGTGTGGTCTGGCAACGCTACGCTATGTCAGAGCGCATTCGGTTTCCTGTTTGCTTGCTTTGACAGCGCTCTTTCTACCATTTGACAGCAACTGAGGTAGGTCGACGACAAAAATACTTGTGTTCAAATTCCAAAAATATTACATACATCAACGAATTGTATGTGCAACTGATGTGTGCAACATAAAGTTGAAACATTACCAAACAATTAAACACAATTATTGCACGTTATCACTGAACCAAAATTAACTAAAAATTGTGTTTACTTTTTTATTTCGTTTTTCGCTTCCAGTGACAATGGCTGTCCGCTACGAGTTGTGCATTGGCCTTAACCGAGGCCACAAGACCACCAAAGTCAAGAATGTTAAGTATACCGGCGACAAGAAGGCCAAGGGTATGCGTGGCTCCCGTTTGAAGAACGTAAGTGTTGAGAATAATAGGCAAAAAAAATAAACTTGCATTTTTGTTTACATTTGATTGATTGATTAACTTTTGCCTTTCTTTTCACGCATAGATTCAAACGCGTCACACCAAGTTCACGCGCGATCTGGTTCGCGAGGTCGTTGGCCATGCGCCGTATGAGAAGCGAACCATGGAGCTGCTGAAGGTGTCGAAGGATAAGCGCGCCCTCAAGTTCCTCAAGCGCCGCCTTGGCACACACATCCGTGCCAAGAGGAAGCGCGAGGAACTGTCCAATATTCTCACTCAGCTGAGGAAGGCTCAGACTCATGCCAAGTAAAGTGGAGCAACACCAACAACAGCAACGACAACTACAACAGCAGCAGTAAACTGTGCGTGTTTTTTTTTTTACGCGGTGTTTTTTTTTATTGTTTAAATCAAATACATTCGCAAAAAAAGTGTAAAAACTGCAACTACAAAAATAATTCTTATTAGTTGCACGCAACTAACCTTTAACAAATGAAAAATTATCTTCAGCAATAGACCTGTTGATATCCACTCTATCTAAAAGTCTTCTTTTTTGAACGGATAGCAAATTAAGCAGCACTCAATTGATATAGGAGCTGTATTTATACCATATATTATATGGAGATGTTGGATCTCGACCCTGAAAGTATATTTATATGTATATTCCGTATGAGTATCAGAAGTCAAAATCGATATATATATAGACCTGCACCCGCCTGTCTGCTATGCAATCAAATCAGTTTTCAAGATTGATCTTGATCAAAAATTTACCAAAAACTTAGATTTTTATATTTTCTAGTCTGTAAATCACGCACATTGTTCGATTTATGTTGACAGACTTTTGCGTGAAGTATTCAAATGTCAGAAAAATTCCTCCATTTAAGTAAATATATATTATTGATCGGTCGAGTCGTTGTAGCCGGTGTCCATCCCTCAGTCCTACAGCTATTTCTGCATTAACAATATCGGACTTCGATTTTCGATATTCGTTTAAGTGTGCTTAAAAATTAGTATGAAGTATCGTTTTAATTTTTTTTCCCCCTCCAATTAATCTTATTTGTAAGGGAAATTTAAAAAAACACCATTTAAATACTGCGTTATTTAATTTGAGGCAACGAAATGATTGACTGGTTTTAGTTATTGTTCTGGGCTTAGTTTAGATTTATTGAACAAGATGGATGCATTTACGAATGCTTAAGAATTTGTCTTAATACTTAAATGAAATGGGTTTATTTCTGCAAGTAATGCTCTTAAAATTGATACAACTCCGAGTTTGATGTGCTTGTCGTGTGGTACAGTGCACCATCCAACTACAGTGCACACTCGTTAAATGCACACACACATATAATAGTAGGTGTGTCTGTGTGTGTGTGTGTGCGTATGGCACTTGTAAATAACTGCAGCTGGAGCTGGGAACCGGGGAACGGAGGAGTTCTTAAGTGGTGCACATGGAAGAATGCAGAATGCTTACAAAACTATTGAGTACTTTACTTGATGGTGCAGAGCAGGAAATAGATTAAGGGGTCAGGATTAGGGATAAAGCATTTGGAATTACGAATAAGGATGTTAGGCAGCACCATTTAGTGAACACAGCCGTTTTGTGTCGCTTCGATTGAGGAGGATAGTTTCAGCCGGATAGATCTCATCAGGGATCGTCGTCGGTATCATCATTTAGGCTGGGCAGCGAGATGGTCACCTCACCGATGAAATGTGCCTCATTCGCATCATTGGAGACGATGATGCGTTCGTATTCGCTACCAGTGAGTGGATTAACTATCTCATAGCAGCTGCCTGTCAACGTTTTTGCATCCGTATCCGCATCATTCTTGATATGCGGCGCAAGGATCTGTTGGGTCACCTCCAAACTCTCGATGCGCGTCATCTCCAAGCGATAAAATCCATTCTCATCCACACGATATGTGAAACGCTTATGGCCGGATGGCAAACGGAAGCCGTGTTTCTTGATCAAATGCACCGACAGGGAGTTGCCGCTCTTGAAGAAGCGTTCGCAACAGTGGCACGCATAGAAGATCGGATTGTTGCCGTGTACCTCCAGAAAGTGCTGAAAAAAATAAAATTGCAGTCTTAATTGGTTTTTCTGCTTTCCAATCAATAAATCACATCATTTAAACAATAACATTTCTTTTATATATGGATTTGGCGATTGCAGCTGCTTACCCTACGCATTTGGGTGTAGGTGCGCACCGAGTACTGGCAGCCGGGATGCTCGCACTGATGTACCATCTTCGAGTGGACAATTTGAACGTGCTTGGCCAGATCGGATTCGCGGACGCAGCGCGTATCGCATTCGCTGCACTTGAACGGCTTGTCCTTGAGATGGCGATAACGGATGTGCGTCGTCAAGGAGCTAGCCGAGCTGCAGGTCATGTCGCACATGGTGCACTTGTAGCAATTCACATGCCGCACCACATGGCCCCGCAACAGTTTCTCCGTTGCAAAGAATTTAAAGCACTGTTCGCATTGGAATTTTTGAGCTACAGCGAGAAATAGAAAGGAAAATAATTATATAAAAAAAAAATTATATCATATAAAGAAAATCCCCTAAGGACTTAAAAAAATTGGAGCAATCATTTTTCAACTTAACTATAAAAATGACTGCCAACTCTAATTGTGCGAAATGATTCAACAACAATTTTGAAGTCTTTGTAGAGCTCCCCTCCCAGACAATTTTAAAACATTGTTCAAATCGAAATTGTTGCCATAGATTGATAGAAAATAAGAACTTAAAATGATTCCACTCATTTTTCAATCTTGGGTCGATGTTTTTCAAAAGGATCACACATTGTAAAAATGATTGTGAAACAATTGTGATAAAAAAAGATTCACAACAATTTTAAATTCTTTAAAGTACTCTGCTCCCCTGGTCCTGGTGTCCCCACCCAACTTACTATTGTTGTCCGGCTGCCGGCGCAGGTGATCAAAGAGCGTCGTCTTGGTGCGAAAGAGTTCGCCGCAATGGAAGCAGGCGACATGCTTTTTGTTCGAATGCGTGCTGATGTGTTCGATGAGGCGATATTTATTCTCTAGCTGCTTGTGGCACAGATTCCAGTTGCAGTGCGTCTTGGGTCGTTCGTCGTCGGGTGACTTTTGTATCTCGTACTCGAACGAGGCGTGCTGCACAATGTGATCCTGGAACTCGACGATGGAGATGAATGAGCGAAAACAATCGCTCCAGCCGCATTGAAAATTCTGCTTTAGTTCGGGCAGCTTGTCACCCTTGCGGGCGGGCGCATAGCAGGCTGGTATCTCCGGATGCTGTTCGCATTCGTACTTGCCCCTGAGCAGTAGATTCATATAATAGCCATGATAATAGCAATGCCTCTCGAACTCGATGCGGCAATTGGTATTAAAATTGCAATCATTCCACATGCATTCACATTTACCCTCCTGCTCCTCCTGCTGCTGCTGCTGGTGGTGCTCCTCCAGGTGGATGGCAATGTGGCTATTTAGCTGCCATTCGCCATCACAAATCGTTTGGCAATCTTGCCAAGCGCAGCGCAATTGCAAACCAGCAACTTTTTTCCGTTTGCTCGTTGACTGTTGTCGCATCATGGTGCGTTTGGTGTCCGTAATTAGTGTGGTTTTTTCCACAGTTCTTGGTTCTGTGAATTTGTTTGCGTATATTGGTTAATAAATTGCAATTCCTGCAAAAAAGAAAAGAATAAACACAATCGCTATCGTTATGCTTTTATCGTGTGCATTTTCAAAGTGTACGCGAATCGATATTTATTTGAGTCAGTGTTAAACTATCGCGTGCCTTCCACAATGAACGCGTATCGATATTTCAGCTAGTCTTAAAATTGCTTGCTATTTATCAACAATTTGTTATGCCTTGCCTGTCGAAAGCACCAATATATCGCTCAGCCGGCTAGCTATCGGCTCAGGGGTAGTTCGACAGCGATATATTTGAGAATCAGTGCGCGCCGCTCACTCACGAAATAATGCGGCAAAAACGGCGTCCAGCCTATATTTCGTTTACATTCGAATGTCAACGCCAATATTTTGGACGACACTGCTATCGATATTGCAAATAGTTTATATATCACTTGTTTCGATATTTCACGAGCAATTACATGTTTATCGACGTGCTGTTAACATTTTTATGCAAGCGCAATTTTCCCTCCAATTTTCATGATTTCAACTTGCTTATGCTTTAATAATACTTAAAGTTGCCTATTTTTTTTTAAATTAAAATAATGTTTATTTCAGTTGGCACAGCGTGTGCCCATTAAATAAGTTTCACTATAGTCTGATAATATTGAAATATTTTGAAACGCCTATTTTAATTTAGTTTTTACATAAGTTATTTTAAATGATTTTATTTACGCCACTCACTGCTGTTTACCAACATAAGTTTCGCCAACAATTTTTAATTTCCATTTTCCTTTTCGTTGTCTTCAAAACTAATTTAGACTCATGCTTTATTTTAAACTATATATATTATGATTTCTATATTAACTCCAGCTAGATTCAAAAACCGATACTAGCAGCAACAATGTGCACAGTTGGGCTTATAGACCCGGCATTACGTAGGCAATGTTGTCCAGTGTCGTCGCCAGGTTGGTGCTCAATTGTTTCTTATTCTCCAGGCCAGGTATTTGCGTAGTCATGCAGAGCAGCGGTCCCATCGAGCAGAGCAGGCTGTCCAGCAAGACAGATAGGCTACCGGAGAGAGCGACATGACCGTTATGTTCCTTTAGACGCTCGCCAATCACCGTCAGACTCTCGCCGAGCAATTTCAAATGGGCAGCGGCATCGATTGCCTCAATGCCCGACGACTGCTGCTGCGCCTCCTTGCCCACATCCAATTCCTGCTGCTGCTGCAATAAACTGTTGGTGCCTCTGCTATTTGTGTGTTGGTTGGATGTGGATGTGGTTGCTGTTGCTGCTGCTGCCGCTGACTGGCTGCCTGCCTTCGTGCGTGTGTAGCTGGTGCGCTTCTGTCGGCTCTGTGCCCAGGTCGATGGCGACATTGTCATCGTTATCGCTGATGATGATGTCGCCTCAACTGGTAACTGACGTCGATCGGCTGCCAATTTCTTGGTGCGACTCGTCGTCGGACGATTCACAAACGTTGTCTCTGTGGCATCTAAAGCAGCAGCATTCCCATTGCTTGTCATGGATTGCATCGTTGTCGTCGTCGTCGTCATCGTCGTTGTCGCCGCTGTGTAGCCCATCTCGGCTGGTGTGTTTCTTTCTCGGGTGCGCGCCTTTGTCGCCTGCGATTTGGCCTTGCGTCGCCAGGCGTTCTTATCCTTGTTGGACACATTCGCCCACAATTCGCTGAGGCGGCGCGCTGCATTTGCGAAATCTGTGACAATTATATCGATGTATAAGGATTTGGTTTAAGACTTGGCACCAGTTTTGCTCACCCAGATCGGGAAAGTCACGTTTGCGCACGTCACGCGCCCAGAGGCTGTAGGCGGTGAAGCGTGCCCGTCCCTTGTCCTTGCGCTGCGGCTTGTTGCCATCTTTGAGAATCTTGCGCTTGCTGGTCTTCTCGCGCATATAGAGACTCTGGCGGACACGGGAATCGTTTGTGTAGCATGATGATGCCTCCGCTTCGACGCCCTCTACGAGATCCTGCACCAGTGTGTCAACCTCATCGTCCGAGTTCATTAGAGCACCACGCAAATCAGCGCTGCCACCAATAGCCGGCGCCTGATCCACCTGCTCCATATCGGTGATATTGTGATTGTCCACGTCCTCAATATCATCATCATCATCAACGATAACATCATCCACATCCAGTTCGTAGGCCATCGCCAATTCCTGTTCGCGTTCGCGCAACGCATTCGGTGGTCGTCCACGGCCGGGATACCTTGCTGCTGGTCTGCCTGGCCTTTTGGTTCGCTTTTCTATTTCATCCGGGGACTCGAAATCCAAAAGTTTCGATGACTTTTTGCGTACGCGTCCGCTGCGCGAAATACCCGCAACCTGAAAGTCTACAAAAATTGCCTTAGCTCCAGCTTTTTATACTCTGATCCCGAAGGTATCTAGGATGCTAGGAAATCGATAATAGCCGATATTCACAAATCGATAAAGCCACATAAAGATCGGCATATGCCACGCCTACCTCCGTCGCTCTTCCGCAGTTTTTGACTAAGAGTCGTCAAATTTCGTAGGTTTGTTACTGGTTGCCGCCTTTAAGAACCGATAAGAATTTTTCATGGCCACGCCCACACCTGCGCCCATAATCGCAAATGCCGTTATTTCAGAAAGTGTAAGTCGATAAGCCTGCGTATTTCCCACAATTTTAAAGATAGAGTGGTGAAACTTGGAAGGCAACTTTCTGGTAACTTCCTCCATGGACCGGCATATACATTTTCAGGCCACGTCTACACTACGTTGAATGGCCGGGCCTACTCCGCCTCCCTGAACCGATACACCTAACAGGTGTAAATCGATAAGACCATATATATCACACAATTTGAAAGCTAGAGTCGCAACATCTGAAAGATTTATTGCCAGTAACACCCTTCAATAATCCGGGAAAAAAAAATCTGAAACACAAACACAATGAAAGCCTACATCTTCCGCAATTTAAGAGCTATAGTTACCAAAGTTGAAAGGTAGATTACTAAGATTGTACTCCACGCCAACTCCAGCCCCCCAAAATTTCCAAATTCTCATATCTCCGTAATTTATGTGCTACAGGTACCAAACTTCAAAGGAACGTTACTAGTTTATATCTACCGCAATTTGAAAAGACAAACTTGGACAGTGCTTCTTGGCTACACCCACCTTGTTCTTTGCTGGAATAACTTATGGTTTCAAAGTATTTCGCAGTCGGTTACGTCCGACTGCAACGTTCTGTCTTGTTTTTGTGTTTATTTCAATATGTTTTCGCACTTACCCTTGGTGGCCGGAGAACATATTGTTGGTGTTTCCATTGTTTTGGTTCAATCCGTATCAATTGTTGTTAATTGTTGTAAACGACGCGATGAGAAATCGTTCAACAGCTGTTTTGCAGTGCTGGTCAATACATCGATTTTCTTGCGACAATGAACCGATATATCGATGTTTATGCAGCACTTAATTCTGTTGCAAGTCGGTAACCCTGTGAGGAATAATCGAATACACAATGCCTAAATTAAAATGAACATGTACATTAAGTTAATGATATTTGAAGTATTTGTGACATTTCACACATGGGCTGTCATACTTGCAAGCAACAATTTATCGATTGCATGTCGATACACTGGAATAATTTAAGCGATAACTTCAATAAAATATGTTTCTTTTGAATTTGTTCAGTTCCCAAAAAAAATATATATTTAGAAGTGAAAATGCTTTTCACAAATTAAATAATTGAAAAAGTTGCAACTAAAATTAAGCCTATTGCGGCACATTAATGTGAAGCAATTGTTGTTGATGTTTAATGATTAGCCTTCGTAGCCAACATCAGCATCTGTGTACATTTTGATGGGCTGCTCAGCGGTTGCATTAGTTGATTCCATCATTTCGACATCCCGGCAATTGGCTGCCTGCAACTCTCTTCTGATATCCGCCGTAATCTTTGGATGCGTTTTCTTTCTGCAATATGGTAAATAATTAATCAATTGAGTTTCAAAATGTAATTTGAATTAATTAATTGTTACTTTAACAATTGCAGCAAGGCATCCTTTTGCTCCGAGGAGATGTCGTTCTTGTAACGCTGGGCAAACGTCAGCAGACTCTGATGCCACAGCACTGGCAAATCCCGTCGCTCGTTCTCGAATCTGTAAGCGTAGAGATTAGTAAGAGATTGCAACTGGTTGTGGCTTGAGTTACCTGAGAAAATGAAAGACAGCCGCATCGATGACACGATAGGGCAACGCATAACGCTTATCGAGGAAATAGCGTATGAATATCGAATTGGCACCTGAATAGTTCATCTCACAGATCTTCAGGAGACAGGCGGACGAGTGCAGCACGGGTATCGAACTGCGTGCCACAACACTGCCAAAGATGATCGCCTCACGCAACGTACAATCACCCGACTCTAGCAGCGGCAACACGATGCCCTTCATAAATGCAGCCGGCTTGAAGAGTGCTCGCTTGAGGGCATTGTACAGATGCATATTGAGTTTCTTGTATTCGCAGAGATCGTCGCGAATGCGCGGCAACAGCACCAAATTGTAGAAACGCTGGGCCATCGCCTGCGACAGGACGGAGCAAAAGATTCGGGTGCCCTGAAACATGGCGGCGGCACTCCAATTGTGCGGCTCCGTTATGAATAATATTTGCTCCCAGTTCCTCAGCTTGGGTATGATCTTGAAGGCTTTGGGTATTTTGCCGCTGCGATAACGTTTGAGCACATCGCGTACACCCTCGTACATTTCCTTAACCTTGGGATCGATCTCCTCGATCTTCAGCGAACCCTCATCGGAGATTTTCGTATGGATATCGGCGCCCTTTTCCTGTATCTTTTGCATAATCATCTCGGCCAAATGCTGGCTGCGTTTGCCCTCCTTTGTTGTTGCCGGCTGTTGAAAGCGTTCGAAGGCAGCGACATCATCATCATCCATATCCAGGTCGGTCATAAAATCAGTTTCATTCACTTCGCCCTCTTCCTGCTCGCTGGCATCTTCTGTAAATGTAGCCAGTCAATTTGTAAATTGACAAAAATTATTGTTCAATTGAAACATACTCAAATTAAAGTTGACATTTTTTCTGGGCGTCAAACTTGGAAAATTTTCTTCGTCCAGCTCCAGTTGCTGTTGTCTGGCTGCCGCCAATATTTTCTGACTGCTCTTCGCATCGATATTCTGTTCATAAATATATGTAATTATTAAATAATATTAAATACGCAGCGCAAATTTATGCTAAGTTGCTTGACTTACTGGTGACTCCTCGGCGCGCAGCTTGACCTTATCCTTGTCCTTGTTCTTCTTCGGCTTGGTTACTTTGCCCTCGATGATTTGATTCTCTAAACTGACATTTTTAATAATCGCCACGTTCGATTTCTTTGGTTTGCCCATTTTTTGTGTTAGGCAAAAGAAAAGGTTTTATATTAATAACAACACGTGTTGTAATCGTTATTTATCGTTATTGGGTACACCCTGTTATTCGATTAAAACGCATGGTCACCCATCTTTTTGACAGCTGTTGTCGGCATGCTTGCCTTGGAGTATATCGATATTGAGGGATTTTGATAGAGATGTGCAATACATTGAGTTTTGATAACAAACTACTAGAATAAAGTAATCTTATAAGTTAAAAACTAACACTAGTCTCTACAGTTCAGTGAAAATAGGGGTTATATGTGCGCTGGACTCTGTATTAAGGGCTTGGTTATTGTTAATGTACAATCGATTAACGTTTGCAGCATATCGATTAGTCTCGATGTATCGATGGTTACTGCATCCCTATTTCCTTTCCCTTACCTAGCTGGGATTTGACAAGACCGATTCTTTTTTTTTCTGTGTTGATTGCAGCAAGACCAACATAATGAAGGTGTGCTAAGATTTTGTGAAAAATATTCGAGCGAATGCCGTAAACATTCATAAATATTGTTTAAAACGCCTAGCGTAAACACTAAACTAGTGCAAAAATCGAATGATGCATGCAAAACTCAAATGATTGCGCTGCAAATCAAAGATAATTTCGATCACGAATGTGAACTAAACAATAATTTTGTTTGTTTTTTGTTTGTTGTTTTGTGATAATTGCAGCTGAACGTTTCCTATCCCGCAACGGGATGCCAAAAGCTATTCGAAGTCGTCGATGAGCACAAGCTGCGCGTCTTCTACGAGAAGCGTATGGGCCAAATTGTGGAAGCCGACATCCTCGGCGACGAGTGGAAGGGCTACCAGCTGCGCATCTCTGGCGGCAATGACAAGCAGGGCTTCCCCATGAAACAGGGAGTCCTCTCGCACGGTGAGTTCACACAACAAGAAAACAATTTTGGAATGCATATAAACATCTCGATAATTGGGTTTAGGTCGTGTGCGTCTGTTGTTGAAGAAGGGTCACTCCTGCTATCGTCCACGTCGTACGGGTGAGCGTAAGCGCAAATCTGTGCGTGGCTGCATTGTGGATGCTAACATGTCGGTGCTGGCTCTGGTTGTCGTCAAGAAGGGTGAACAGGATATTGGCGGTCTGACCGACACGACAATTCCACGTCGTTTGGGTCCCAAGCGTGCGAGCAAAATCCGTAAGCTTTACAATTTGACCAAGGAGGATGATGTGCGTAGCTTCGTGGTGCGTCGCCCATTGCCCGCCAAGGATAACAAGAAAGCCACATCGAAGGCACCCAAAATCCAGCGTCTCATCACACCAGTGGTGCTGCAACGCAAGCACAGACGCATTGCCCTGAAGAAGAAGCGTCAGTTGGCCTGCAAGGAAGCGGCCGCCGACTATGCCAAGCTCCTCGTGCAGCGCAAGAAGGAATCCAAGGCTAAGCGCGATGAGGCCAAGCGTCGTCGTTCTGCTTCTATTCGCGAGTCGAAGAGCTCCGTGTCGAGTGACAAGAAGTAAAACTGCAATGCAAATTGTGTGCAGCCACAAGCAACACCAATCTTGTAACATCTACCCACATCGTATAAGAAACACAATTGTAGCCGTTTGATAATAAATATGTCAATGGTCTAAAGATATTCCCCACGCTCAACTCGAATACATTCATATTTTTTTTTGTTTGTGTGTGAACTTAAACCGTGAGAATGTCCATCCATAATGGGAGCTGTGCATCAGTGGGAGTTCCTCTTGTAACTTCTTATAATGGCCCCATCAACTTTATAGTGTGTAATAAAAATAATTGAATGGAACTCTTTTGCCATCCTGATAATCAGCAGCAGCCAAGTCGATGTCGCCATGTGATCCATAAAGAATCTGTTCCGTTTCAAAGCGAATGCATCTCAAATTGGAATAATCTGTCGATTTTTTAAATCCATTGTGGAAATTTAGATCTGAGCAGCTGGTCTCTGGCTTGCTGGTCTTCAGCATGCCTAAGATAATAATTCTCTACTGTTACAACCCGATCTAGTTTCCAGCATTATTTGAATTGTTGCTTTAGATTACATCTATGATATAGCCTTGATTAGCCGCAAAGGAGATCATTTGAATATAATCTTGGGTCTATTATAATGCATTATATCTGGATTTTTAATATTATGTGAGATAATCCTATCGGAGATCCCAAAACGTGCTTAACATCATACCCATAAACGAGAAGAATATCAGCAACGGCTCTCTTCTAATTCGTGTGGATCTCCCAATCTTACTGCAAGAATTACAGTACAGTGGTAGCTCTAGAATTGGAACTTAAATATTGCATTTGAATCTAACTTTAATCTAAAGTTCTTGTTTTATTTCTTAGACAATTTATTGATTATAATTAGAATTTAAACAAGAAAGTAAAGCTTAACATTGTCGTTATCTAAATTTCCATTTAAATTAAAAGAAAAAATGGCGATGAATTGTTCCTATGAAAGCTATATGATATAGTAGTCCGATGTTAATAATTGCGAGGGGAATACAAATAAGCGTAACTGGAAAGTTTAGTTGGAAACACGACCACTTGGCAAACGCAAAAGCCACTTTCGACCGATTATTCCTATGGCAGTTATATATTATATGGTAACGCGATCTTAACGTTTTATGGTAACGCGATCTTAACGTTTTTTTTTTTTTTGTTTAAATAATATAAACACAATAATTCGCATATTGGCTAAGTGTACTTTCGATATCTTGGCAAAGAAAATAGTTGTTCATACAAGAACTCAACTGTCGAGCGGTTGTTACAATGGCAGTTATATATATATATCGATATAGACGTATGTACTAACTGTAGTACAAAGACGGACAATATATATACCTTCTATCCTCTACACGAATGGATAAGAGAACTGGATACGTTTCCGACATGGAACTTATAGAAATTGAAATACTCCACGATCTGCTATAGCTATACACATTTATTTAGGGCTTAAGAGCAATTGAATTACATATTTATATATAGTATATAATAGTATATCTATGTAAATATATATGTAAAAAACAATAAGAATGTTTAATCGCGGGCAGTTGGCGCTTAGACGAGCTTTCCACAGCATACACACACACACACACACACACGGAGAAAGAGAGAGAGAGAGAGAGGGAGAGGGAGGATGTGTGTGCGTGGTTATCGAATGGAAATCGATCTGTGATTTAGATCTGTGATCCCACATAATTCTTTATGGAAGTTATCTCTGGGCTGATGTTGCTTCGCTGTTGGCTGGCAGCGCTTGCGTCTCGTACTCTGCCAGTTTGGCCTCCTGATCCGCCAGCAGCTCGAGCAGATCCTCCTGATCCTTTTGTGTGGTCAACTGCAATTGGCTGGCTGCATCGGCGCGTTGCTTCTCGGCGGCCAGCTGCTGCCGCAGTGTCTCCAGCTCCTTGGTGAGGCGTATGTTCTCCGCGAAATACATGTTGGCCTGATACCGTGCCGCATTCAGTTCCTCCTGTGGCTGCGCCGCCTGCTGCTGTTCTTGGCCAGCAGTTTGTGCCGCTGTTGCTGCTGCTGTCAGCTGTGCTTTGAGCAGAGTATTCTGATCGGCCAGCTGCGATTTAAGCGACTGTTCCTGACTGATCTGCTGCTTCAATTCGTCATTCTGATCCTCCAGCTCTTTGTTGGACAGCTGTAGAGATTGTATTTGCCCATCCATGCCACGTATGATGCCCTTGTACTGAGCAACAAGCGCCGATGCCTCCGAGCTGAGCGTCAGTTCGGTCAACTCAATGCCATCAACATCAAAGCCCGACACCAGTTTGGCAATCAGTGCCTCCAATCCCTTGTAGAGTTTACAGTACTCATAGTCGAGCAGCAGCTCACTGGCGCCCTTGGCACGGATCTGGGGCTGCTTGCAGGCCCGACTGTACGCCTCGTGACGTGACACTTCGCCCAGTTTGTTGCAGAATGTCTCCTGGCCAATGCGCTTGATAATCAGCTGGCTGATGTCCTCGCGTCGCTGATTGGCCAGCGAATTGTCATTGAACTGTATGCAGAGACCCATGAGGAAGGCGCACATTCCCTGGACAAGATATTCGCGCTCATCATGCTCATTGGCGCACAGCTGGGCCGTCAGATAGGCCATGGTGCCTTGCGTATCCAGCAGTGCTTTCACAGCACTGGGACAATGGGCCAACCAGACACTGAGTAGCATTAGGAGACCCACTTTGCTCTGGATGCGATAGCGTTCCTGTTGCATCAGATTCGTACACTGTTCGAGCAGTGTAATGGGTCGCTGTCCACCTGGTGTGGCAAGCAGTACACGCAACAGCTCTTCCTTCTGGGCAACATTCTCGACAAGCGTATGCATAATGGCCACCGCTGAGAACCAATTGGCCAGTGTGTCCGTTGAGAAGAGCCCGGTGCAGAGCAGCTGGCCAGTGGATAAGGAGCTTACATCCGTTGTACTCGACGGCAGCAGAGTTTGGACGACAGCGCGCTGACCATCGGAGTTGCGATACAGGAAACACTCAAAGCAATAGAGCACGGCACAACGCAGCGCCAACAATTGTTTCTCATTGATCATGGACATGAGAAGGACGACAATGGCGGGACGTGGTGGCTGACTAGGCGCCAGGACGCGGCTCAGTTCATCTTGATTATCGTGATCGCCACGCACCACCTCAGCAACTGCATTGATCGTTTCAGTCAGTATGTCGGCTGGAACACCGCTGCTCATCAGTATGTCGCAGAGCGCTTGGAGCAATTGGGATTTCTGCATGACACGCTGGCAGGCGTTGACTACCTGCTGCTGGTTGCTGGGCGTTACGAGGGCGCGAACCACCTGCAGCATACAATGGAAATTCGACACCTTCTGCGGTGTCCAGCCGCTGTCCTCCAGTTCGCTGTTGAGTATAAACATGGGCGCCAATCGCTGTATGTAGGAGCCCTCCTTGAAGAACTGCTGATTGCTCGAATTATTTTTGAGCAGATTCAGTAACAGAATGAGACAATCCTCGACCACAATGCCACCATCCGAACAGCCCTCCTCCCGCACAATATCGAACAGGCGATCGAATGCATTCTCAAATGCCACAATTTTCTGTATGTTGGAATTGCCTTTTGTCAGCTCAATCAAGAGGAGCAGCACATCGTTGCGAATCACCTCACGACTGTCAGTCAGCAGATCCATTAGCTTGGACACGCCCATGGGGCTGACAAGCACCAGATCTTGCAATTCTCGCGTCTTGTTCGCAATCAGAGACGTTATCAATTGAATTGCTGCACGTCTCACACGAAAATCATACTCATCGAGATAGCCCATGACGAGGGTGACATGTTCGGGACTCTTTATGAACATTTCGGTGAACTGTTCGCCCACATTGACAGATACCGCTGGATTGTCGGCCTCCTCATCGAATTCCTCGCTGGTGACAATATTACATAGTGTGTCTAAGGCATAGCTAATTATCTCAGCATCCTGGCCATCATTCTGCAGCACCTGCACCAGCGGCGGCATACCCTGTGCACCAACCTCAATACGATATTTGCGCGAGAGCGCCTTCAATGCCCGGCAAGCATCGCGACGATCTTCGAGCAGTGTCGACGAATAAACTCGATCTACCAGTTTCTCAACGGTTTCGGCTGCGCTGGGCTGTTGGCCCGGCTCGGTGCTGCCCAGCACCGTTTTGATGCCGCTCTTCAGGAACTCCATCCACTTGCTTCTTCTGCTTGGCTCGACGACGTGTTCAATATGCTATATTTAAGCTCGCATATGTATCTGACACGTCAATTTTTTAATAAAAACAATATACCGCCCAGTGTGTACACACAAACCGATAGAAAATCAATGTATATATATGTATATCGATATTCGAAACAATTAAAGAAATTCAATTAATACTTAAAGCTGCTGATTTGTTTTGCTGATGTTCAATTTAGTTGTGCTTCTAATATTTTTTTTAAATGTTATCAATGTAAAGGGAAATAATTCGAAGATTGCAAAATCGATAACGAAAATTGCATTTGGCATTTTTCTGTGCATTATGCAGCATTGTTTATTTTATAGGCAGTGTATACTTATTTACTGCGCTGGCACAGTGCAAGCTGCCGATTAATTCAAATATCAATTAAACTTGTATTAAAATGCACTAATTTATTTGTTTCGTTATAAATACTATTTGATAATTGTTGGTAATTTGCATTTTTTTTTATTTATATGTTTTTTATATATTTATACTTCTCATGTTGTGACTATCGATAGCAAAAATCTAGTTTTGGTAATTTTTAGTAGCAAAAAGGCAGCATTATAGAAAATTCTGCGCATAGAGCAATACTGGTTAAATTTTTTGTTGTATCTTTTGACTGTTTTTGTTTATTATGCATTTGTTTGCATCTGAGTTGTTAATAAAAATGGATGCCACAAATGCCGCTGCCTAAGTGAGCAACAAAATGAATGCCGCACAATTGGTGTGTCTTTGCCTGTGGCCGTTGCTCGCCCTCCACACGCCGACGACCTTTGTTGTGCAGGCAATGTGCCCCAAAAAATGCAGTTGCAAGAACATCTCGGAGAACATTCAAAGCTTGCGTGTTCGCTGCGACGAGCAGAATATTGATAATTGGAAGGAGCTGAATTTTGGCGACGATGTCCACAACATAGTCAGCATGTAAGTTTGCGAATGCACAAGCTTGATGTTTATGTCGATATTCCTTCATTTTTATATACATTATTTTTTATGGGGGACTCTCAGCAATGCAAGCAAAAATTTGATAGGACAAATAACAGAAGAGGATTTCAAGAGCTTTACGGAACTGAAGCGTTTGGATTTGTCATCGAATCTGCTCAGCGAATTGGACAAGAGCACCTTTGGCAATAGTCTGCTAAATGTGGAACGTTTGCGTATCGCCAATAATTCTATTAGCCACATTTATGAGGGCACCTTTGAGCTTATGCCCAAACTCAAACAGCTGTAAGTAACTCCTTAGCCCTATTGAAGTGTGGTAAATTCTAAACGTTTTATTTTCTTACATTTATACAGCGATTTGTCCAACAATCCGTTGGCCTGCGACTGTGGATTGATCTGGCTGATTGCTTGGTCGAATGCACGTGATATTCGCTTGCAGCCGGCACCAAAGTGCGATTCACCCATTAATTTTCGTGGCATGCCGCTGAAGAAACTCAAAGTGGGCATTGACTTTCGATGTGAGTCGCTGCTGCAGCCGCTCCTGGAGCTGGTGCCCAAGCAGAATCAGGTAAAACCTATTTACAAGCATGCAACAAGAGCTCTGGCATATCAAGTATATATATATATACCAAAATCTACATCTCACAATATCAGTTATTCAAGTATATAATTAAAATATATAATTATCCACAGATTGCTTTTGAGGGCGATGAACTGCAGCTGAAATGTTATGCGCCACGCGTGGCTATTGGAGCGCCTCGCGAATCTGAGGATTTGCCGACACGCGCCTATGTCTTCTGGGGTTGGTCGGACAAGATACGACAGCAGAACTCCACCGATGATATTATCTATCGCGATCCGACCAAAGTGTTCAACGATGTACATCTGGAGACGCGACACTCAACGGATTCCGGCATACTCAATTCCATCTTACGCATCGGGAGTCTCACACAGAATCATACGGGTATGTGGGACTGTACGTTGCGCAGCCAGCAAGCGAATCTCTCGCAATCGATCGTTTTGCATGTGGTGGCAAAGGGAACGCTGTACTGTGATGCCATCGTTACGCATACGAACAAGGGCAGCTATCATTGGCCACGGACAATGCGCGGCGAAACGGTGCTCCAGGCATGCGTTGAGGAGCCGAGCGATGTGACCCAACAGCGACGTGCCAGCCACGAATGCGCCAACGATGGCCACTGGCAACATTTGAATACGGAGAGCTGTGTCTATGTCAGCGAAACGACGCGCATTTTCGAACAGTTCGCCAAGGTGAATCTGACGCTAACCAAAGGACAGAATGCCTTGGAGATTGCGCGACGTTTGCACAATTTTACGCATATACAGACGCAGCTGCACAAGATACGCGATCCAATGGATCTGGAGTATATAGCGCGTACGCTGCTCAAGTATCTGGAGCAATTGGAGGCGCATCAGCAGGAGATTAGCTATCTGCTAATGGACATTGTATCGCAACTGCTGACGCTGCCCGGCAAACTGTTTGAGGCGGCCCAGCTGCAACAGTCGACGGGTCACAAACTGTTGCACATTGTCGAAGCGTCTGCGTTGCGACTCGCCAGCAGCACCGGCAGCATCAGTGGCAGTGAGAGCGATTTGAATGGATTTATTGATTGGCGTCGTCAAATGTCGCAACGCAATATTTTCGTGGAGTTCTTCAACATTAGTCTGGAGCAATTTCTGAGCATGTCGTGCGTGTGGCTTGAGGGTAGCCAGCGTGGTTTGCAATGCAATAGCGGCAACGATACCATACCCATGTATGAGCACGGTGACATCGATGCCGCCATCCAAGTGCCCTATCAGGTGCTCAACGAGCAGCTTTCGAACAATGCGACAAGCAGCAGCAGCACCAGCGGCAGCGGTAGTGGTGTGCCGCGAAATGTAAGACTGATGATAACGCTGCATCGCAATGCCAAATTGCTGCCCAATCTGCAGTCGGCGCATAATGAGACGCTCTCCTCGGTTATCATTGGTGCACGCCTGTACAGCATCGAGGGTGAAGCGCTGCCCAACGGCAGTTCACGCCCGGAAAATGCTGATAACGATGATGATGACGATGATGATGTCAATCTAGAGCACGAGGATGTGTATCAGCAGCGTATAACGATTATGCTGCGCGCACATCCGTATCATGATGAGCGCAGTGCACCGCTGCCAGCATGGTGGGATGCCGAGCATCAGATGTGGAATACGCGCGTCTGCCATCAACACTATCAGCATCGCACCCTCCTCATGTTTAGCTGCAGTCGGAGCGGCTATTTTGGATTGCTGCAACGGGCTGCCTATCTCAATGACTATCGCAGCGAGTTGGCTGGTGCTCGCTTCCGTCACGCCCCCCTGCCCGTGTATGTGGGCTGTGGTGTGTTGTTTGCGTGCGCCTGGTTCAACATCGTCACCTTTGTCGTTTTTGGCTGTGCCATACGCATCAATCGGGTGCAGCGTCATGCACTGGTCAACACATGGCTGGCGCTCTCCACACTCTGTCTGGTGTTTGTCCTTGGCATCTATCAGACATCAAATTTGCTGCACTGCCGTCTATTTGGCCTCCTGCTGCACTATCTCAGCTTGTGTGTGCTGCTCTGGCTGTGCGTCAGCTTGAGCAGCATGTATAAACGCTTGACGAAATCGACAACGGCCACATCGCTGCCGGCTACAGTTGGTCAGCCGCTGCAAATGCGTGAACCGGCGGAGCCGCATCAACGCAAACCCATCCTTGGCATCTATTTGGTTGGCTGGGGCATTGCGCTGCTCATCTGTGGCATTAGCAGTGCCGTCAATATGAGTGAATATGCCGCCTACAGCTATTGTTTTTTGCACAATGCGACGACAATGAATGCTCTGCTTGTGCCCGCTGGCATATTGCTGATCTTTAGTGGGATCTTGGCGCTGTGCATCTACTATCAGTTGAGCCAGCAGGCGGTGAATGTGCTGCAGCAGCAACAGCATCTGGGACAGCGTCAATATTCCGATAATAATACTCAGGCCACGGAGCACATCGATCTCGACTGGCTGGATGCGAATGGCGTCAAACAGGAGGCGGCAAGCAGCTCTGGGCTGCAGCTTCAGCTGCAATTGCAACTGCATGAACAATATAGCACTTTAAGCAATCCATTGAGCAGCATTGTCGATGACTTTGAGCGCTCCAACATGTCCCATTTGCGGGGGCATTTCATCTTTCTGGTGCTGTACGTGGCAACCTGGCTGTCGGCCGCGTTCTACGTGCAACACGAGGAGCAACTGTTTGTGCTGTGCTTTGTGGCCAGTTGCGTTGCACTAGGCCTGTTCCTCATCCTCTTCTACAATTTGACGCGCAACGATGCACGGCAGGCGTGGACACAGCATCGCTTGCCACGGCCCACACGCCTCGTCGCCTACAATAATACACAGAATGGCGGCCGGGCAACGGGCGCAGCAGGCGTTGGCGGTGCAGCAGCGGGTGGAGCAGCTATGGCAAATGTGAAATCAGGTGGTGCTGCCATGATTAGCAATTCAATTGTCGCCTACAAACCAGCACCTGGCAGTCTTTACGAGCCAAACAATTCGGCGGGATCACGCTCGAACAGCCAGTGCTCCAACAAGCAGCGTAGCAACAGTGCACGCAGCATGCGCAGCCAGACGCGCAGCAATGGACAGATGGACTGCACCACACAGCAACTGTTGAGTGGCAGCAATGCACCCAATGGCATTACGATCATCAATAATACACATGCCGGTGGCGTTGGGCAATCATCGAGTGTGGGCGCAACAGCAGCAGCAGCAGTCGGGACACCAACGCAATCTCAATCTCACAGCCAGCAGCAGCAGCAGCAGTCGAGTTTGCTGCATGTGGTACCCAGTCACGAGAGCATACCCAGCGCTGAGATCTTCTACAATCCGAATCAGATTAATGTCGCCCGCAAATTCTTCAAGAAGCAGAAGCGTCTCGCCAAACGCAACAATTTTGAGCTGCAACGTCAGGCGTTACCACTGCAGCAGCTGCACAGCCAGCACAGTCTGAGCGATGCCAGCTCCGAGCAGCTATATGCCCGGCATCACAATGCGATGACACTGTTGGCCGGCGGCAGCAAGGTGAACAATACGAATCTGCATTATAAATCCGCCACGGGTGCCCAGCAATCGCCCATTCTACACAAGGATCATCATCAGCATCTGCAGTCGTCGGTCGTGAAGCGTTTTGTGCCCGCCACCAAAATATTGCAGGCGAACATCTATACGAATATACCGGAGACGTTGACGCCGCAGCACGAGGTGATTAAGTTGCGACAGAGCACGAGGACGCCATCGCTGCTGGACGAGACGCTGCACGAGCACGACGATGAGCTGTTGACCGCCCAGGAGGATGACGATGCCAGCTCATTGGATGAGCATGCGCCCCTGTATGCCAATACGATGCCAGCGACGCCACAAAGTGAACTCCATCCGCACATCTTTCGCGGCGAGCGTGGTGCACCGATTAGCTCGACGCCGGTCAAACAGCCCAGTTTGGAGGCAATGAATAGCTTGGGATTGCCGGACCCGTGCATTGAGGATGTAGCTGGTGCTGGTGCTGGAGCTGCTGCTGCCGAGGAGCCGCTGTTGCAGAAGCACGAAATTTATGTATCGAATTCGTTGCAGGTGACGAACAGCATACGGCTGGAGGATAACTTTCCCAGCGTACTCATACGCTACAGCCAGCAACAGCAATCGAAATCCTTGAACAATATTAGCGATATGCTCGCGGCCAGCACAGGAGGTGGCACGGGCACCGGAGGAGCGGGCGGCAAGCAAGGTGATGGCAATGGCAGTGGCACTGCTGCCGCTGACCTCGAAGCCAATGGGCTGGGCTCGCTGGCCGGTAGCAGCGCCAACTCAATGCTAACACAGATGTACTCCTGCTCCAGCAACAATCTGGCCCAGCTCCAGGGAACGCACAGTGCACGCAGTCGAAATGCTGTTGTTGTCGTTGACGGCGATCATTTCAATCTGCTGCCGAACAGCACACGCCTCCTATCGGGCAGTCCAACGAATGAGAGCGATCTGAACTATCAGAACTCAGAGATTAGCATTCGCAGCCATGGACTCTATGCGCCACAAGCGGATAACGATCTGAATTTAACTCTAACCGACGACTTTCGCTGTTATCAGTCATCGAATGCAAGCGATGCGGATGTCGATGTGCTCAATGAGTTCGATGATGAGTTTGTGGCATACAGCGGTGGTGGTGGTGGTGGTGTTGCGACCAATGGCGACGCACATTACCAGCAACTGCATCATGTGGTGCTGGCTGGCAATGGCGGCAGCAGCAGCAGCGGTGGAGAGGCAATTGCCGAAGGCATCCATCTCGATGAACTCGATGGCGATGGCGATGGCGTTGGGAATGGCGATGGGGATGGGGATGCGGTGAATGTGGATGAGGATGATGATGATGAGGAGGCAATGAACAACTCCATCGATGAGCTGTACGAGGCCATCAAGCGTCGCAGTCCACTAAAGAGCTGCAAGCAGCAGCAGCAACAGTTGCCGGAATCGCATTGCTCGCCAGGCGGCTCGGACAGATTACGCAGAACACAGGAGCCGCAACTGACCAAAATCAATCAGAGTGCAAATCTTAATCAAATTACCAATACCTATACCAATCCCAATGCCAATCTTAATGCAAATTCGAGCAACAATCATGAGAATCTAAATGAAACTGTGGAAGATGATAGCAGTCAGAGTAGCGTCATTTCCTACATTGATCCTAGAGCGAACAACGAGCAGAGTGCTCGCAACAATCCTAGTTAGCTATAGATCCTAATTATATATAGTTATAGTTACAGTTTCATCTAACACACACACACACACAAAAACACATCCATGAAAACGATTTACCCTCCGTGCTTGGCTGAGTGCTTGCAATTGCCAATGCCAAAGTATTCCTGTCCTCAATAGACTCTAAGGCATTTTTTTTATAAGTACTATATATATATATATATGTATGTGTATATGTATTGTATTTGTACTTTTATATGCTTAATTACCTATATACACAATATATATATAGATATATATATATATATTTATACATGTTTAGCATAAGTCGTTTCGCATTTATTCACCAACTATTCACTTGACTCTAATATTAAATATAAGCGACTATTTATTATGACTAAGTTTAATACTATAGTATTCATATATATATATATATATTTATAGTCTGTAATCACTGAGCACCAGCTTAGTGCTGTAATGCAAAGGTCAGCAAACCAATCCTTACAAACTATATGATATATATCATATGGTATATGAAATGAGATTATTATCACATTTTGATAAACAACACAAAACCAACAGATGTGTATTTAGTGTAGCATGTAATAACAACGAGCAAAATAACTCAACTAAGCAACTGAACTCATTTAAATATTAATCAGTTTTTAAGTGTTTTAAATGTAGTAACCATTCTTCTGTGTATTATGTATTTTGTATATTTACCAATTTTAAGTGCAAACAAATGAAACGTTTAGAAATCGACAAAAAAACACAACACGAATTTTTATTCATGTCATGTGAAAAAGCAAATAAAATGGGGGAAAATAGAATTATTAATATGCCGCTTTAAACAATAGTTCGATCCAAGTCTTCGTTTGTTCTAATTTTCCAGATATAACAACTAAATACTAAATAATTGCTTTTTTTTTGGTTTTTGTAAAGAAATTACAAATGTTTTGTTGCTTTTTATTTTGGATACAATGAACACATTTAACAGCTACTTGTAAAGTAGATACATTCGTAGGTCATTCGTTAGCTGGACTTTCGCACAATTGAGAGTCCGACAATACAATATTTATACATATATATAAATACCTATTTAATTTTAATGAACAATCAAGTGGTTAACATGTTTTCAGTAGTTGGAAGTTGGACACAATTTAAGATTAGACGAATGTGCGCGAAGAGGTGTGTGTATGTGTGTGTGTGTGTGAGTGGGTTATGTGTCTGTATAAATATTTTAACATATCACTTAAAATTTAACAAATAACGTTTAAAAAATTTCAATACGCATGCTTAATACAAATATTAATTATTTGATATTGCTGTGGATTAACAATTATTTCGAGCGCCTGTGCGTGTTTAGATACAAAATAACATTAAATATTCGATATAGATGTATATCCATATGTATATGTATTCATATTCATGCAACCATTTAGATTCCGTTTCCGATTTCGATTCCGATTCAGATGCTTCGTATGGACTTCCAGCGTCGCAGCAGGAGACACGCGGATGTCAATCCACTGGAATATTGGCTAAATTCACTAATGTTTATGTTACGCGATGGAATGTCAATTTTCTCCTTTAAAGTCTGTATCGAATGAATAAGGAATATGTTTGTTATATATATATATTTATAATAAAAGGTGTATGAGTAATAACCTTATATGCTTCTGGAATTTCAGCGGGTGATCTGTAGACAAGTGTGCCATTGATATATAACATATTGGCGGCACTCTCCTCGGGCAATGTTAATTTCTGATACGTAAAGCTTGCCTCACGCTCCATGCGCTTAACAATCTCCTGGCACGTGGCACTCGTGCTCACGCAGAGGACATCCGGTCCAGCCATGGTTACATAGTACTTCAGTCGCTTCGCACCATTCACCTGTAAATACCAAGGACAAAAGTTGAATCCATTACACTTGTGATGAAACGGGAGTGATGCCAAAACAAACGCACTCGAATGGGTGTAACAGGATATTCAGGATATGCCATGGCGACAGCACGAGCCCCCTCCTCATTTGTAAATGCCGAGATTCCAATGAAAAACTCACGACCTGCAGGCATAGAATTAATATATATATAAAATTTCGATTAAGAAATTCTATAACGAATTTGGCATTTGATTTCCGATTTGCGATTTACCCGTGAAGAGGACATCACCGCCATCCAATTGGGCATGGGGATCATCGATTTCGATGACTGGAATGTCTAGTTCCTTTTTCAATATGATGGCCATGCTTTCGGCCTCCTGGCGTCGCTTTGCGTTCCCCGAGCGACCAATGAGTGCAACGCCATTGCAAACAACGGCGCTGCTCTCAACGAACACACCCTCGGGCAGATCATCGTCCGGCGGCAGCTCAATGACATCCAATCCAATTTCGCGCAATAGTGCGCAATATTGTTCGTGCTGTTGTTTCGCCAATTGCACATCAAAGCCGCCTGTCTCCAGTAATGCATTTGAGATTCTACAAAATTTGAATTGAGACGAATTAGTAGCAATCAAGTGATGAATAAACGAATTATGAATGAATTAATTCACGCCTTCTCCATTTCACGGGTGGGAGATTCACACACACACACACACACAACACAAAAAAAAATATATATATACACCATCACTCACCCCAACAAATAAACCAAGCTAACAACCACATCCCTGGGTGCCCCACCCAAAGCAACCACTTAGATACGATGCTAGGCAACTAAGATGACCTAATTTCACTTTGCTGTTGTGCCCATCCCCAGGTGTGATGCGCAGCTTGGCTTGGCGCCACTTACCTGGCAACAATTGCGTGCGAATATTTGGGAGACATTTTTTTGCGTTGGGTGGCTGGGTTGCTTGGTGCACCGGTTCGCGGTCTACTGCTTCTGGTTGCCACCAGAAGATATATAACGGAATTCCAATGCTTCGTTTGTGTACTCGCCGCCGAGGCATGCCATTCACTCGTTTCCGCGCACACGCTGGCAGTCACAGCGGACACACAGTTTTACTCTGCGGCACGTTCTTTTGAAATCATTAACATTGTCCGCTTGTTGTTCTGTTAAATGTTAAGCGTATCTGTTAAGCGATATCATTTGGGTGGAGAATAATCATAGCACGTTAGACAAAAGTTTTCATCTATTTTAAAGTTCGTTTGAATTAATTGCAGACTTCTTGCTGTGGAAATAAAAGAACAATCAAAACAGATGTTTGTTGATATTTGCCACAAGTACGGATAATTCGTTAACAGAAGGAATGTTATCGCATTTAGCTTAACACTAGCACAAAATGCACGTCATTTAACAGCAGCGAACTGCAAGCGATCACGGCGGCAATGCACATTTTGAACGATAGGTGGCGACAGTTGTGATTCAAAATAGATTTCAGTGTGAAATTAACCCAAAGCACAAAACAATCTAAATTGATTTTTGAACTGCACGTAAAGCCCACAACAGCATAATAGCACTACAAACGTTACTGACTAGTAAATCATTTATGGCCTGAGTCTCTTTATATCACTTTACTCACCTGATAATGACTGATCTTAACTTTTCAGGGATCAGAACCTCAATTTGCAATTAGCCAAAACTTTTTTGTATACCAAATACTACAAGTATTTGCACTGAAAATAAAGTGTTAACGACCTTGACCTGCAACTTGACAATTGACATCAAAAAATGACTATACCTTGCAATCTATGGTTAATGGTGTACAGAATGGCTATGTTTTTTTGTTGTTTTTGAAAATGAAAACTGTCTTTATTTGGTTACACTATCGCATAATTATCTGTTTATTAAGTAACAATCTTTAAGCTTGATAAATTCACTTCATGTACAAATAATTACATTAATATAAAAAAATATATATTCTAAGAATCCAGACAGTAGAAAAAAAAATTAAAAATTAAAAAGAAAAATAAGGAAAATATGAACTGATAAAGCTGTTGAGACTTAAAATTAGTCATTGGATGTTCCAGTTGTGTTTGAATTTGTGATAACTTTACTTCTTGTCGGTATCGACGTAAGTGTCGAGAAAATCATTAACCAATCGCATCGCCTTCTTGGGTATAATGCGACCAGCTTTTTCCACGTACAGAAAGTGACGTGGTACGGACGCCTCCTCCAGACCCTGACGCTGTGCCAATATAATGGAGGCAGCCGCATCTTTTGATGCCACCAGCTTAAGCAGACTTGGGAAACGGAAACGTGGATTCTTGCACAGACCCGTATCGATCATATATGGATAAATAGTGGTCAGCTTGATCTGCAAGTAGCATTAAATAACACAAATATTAAATAATATAATAATAAACAAAAATAAAATAAAAAACATTTCCCTCAAGGGCTGGTCTTGCAGTTCATCATAGAAACACATTTGAATACCATCCTGCATTGAACTAAACTAGTTTAGTTTATATATATTTTTGAATTTTAAATGCTGTATTAATCTAAAATTTAGACAAACAAATTCATTGCGGCCATAAATGGTGGCAACAAATGGAAATGCAGTATTCATATTTATGGCCGTACTTACATTGGTCTGAGGATTCTTCAGGCGGAGCTCCTCGGCCAGGGAAGACATGTAGCCGCGAACGGCGAACTTGGTGCCGCAGTACGGGACGAGATTGGGCAGGCCAAAGAGTCCTGCGCAGGAGGAGAGAGCAACAATGCTGCCCTCGTTGCGCTCAATCATCTCGGGCAGGAAGGCCTGGAGCATCTGTGGGTGGAGCGTTATGCATTTAGCAGCGAGAACGATACAGTTAATTAATTCAGAGCCAAACACCTACCCACAAATTACCAAGCACATTGATGTCGTACATGAGACGCGTCTCCTGTTCAGTGTGCTCGAGTAGCGTGTGGCACGGCATAATACCGGCATTGTTAACCAGAATGTTGATGAAGCCATGATCTTTGCGCACTTTGGCTGCCAGTTCCATAACATCTTCACGCTTGACAACGTTGCAAACATAGCCAAAGGCAGTGCCGCCAGCCTGTTTGATCTCCTTGACGGTCTGTGTGTTTGTCTGCTCGTTGACATCCCAACAGATGACCTTGGCGCCAAGTGATGCATATTGGAGGGCCATCTCCTTGCCCATGCCATGTCCGGCACCAGTGATCAGCACAAACTGACCACTTACATTTGCCTCCGCCCGTGCAACGAACAGCTTGACAAACTCCTCGACAATTGACACCCAGAACTTGATCACCAGCACCACAATATCAACGATGAGCACCACATAGTTGTAGATATCATTGTTCTGGCCACCGCTTCCGGCTGAGCCATCGCGACTGTTGTTGCTGCAATTACAATCCAAATATTACATACGATTTTCTATTTATTTTCTATTTTTTTTGTTGTTATTTTTTTTTTGGGCGAGGCTAAAAACAAAAGGGGGAAGTGCGTGACAGTAACTAATTGGACGCTGCTCTAATCCATTATTAAGTACGTATACACTTGCGCAACGAGACTTTCGACTCCATTGGGTGTATCTGTGTATATAATTGATTGGCACGAACAGTCTATCTGAGCTATACATAGCATTTATTTATCAGGATCCGTAAAGCGTTTTTTATTAATCTTGCTTGTTATTAAAGCTATGTAATCTGATCCCGCATAATCAAAAATAATAAGCACTTAAGTTTTTTTTTTTTACATATAGATAACAACGATATACTATAAAATTATACAGTGTGCAAGGGTATTTAATCTTCGGCAGTCCGAAGTAAAGAAATCTCGTTGTATCTCGTATGGTTTCTATATATGTATGTCTACTGTAACGTGTCCATAGGTCTTTAGGTCTAATATGGTCCAACTCGTGAGTGCGACTGTGGAGTCCCACTTATGAGCATCCACAGCAACTTTAAAACTCATTCGTATGCTTTTATTATTTTTATCTCTGACCAGTCGACCTTTTTGGCTTAATATTGTTTTGAGCATTCTGAATGGGGTTCAGCTATGGTCAGCAGTTTTTTATATTTTATATTTTGTATTTTGGTTTGTTGTCAGCTGCTGCTGCTGGCCCATATTACTCGTATATATAATTATCTTTATGCAGCTGTGTGCGCGATTTTGCGATAATGACCAAAAGTAGACGAAAACCTCGTTACACATGATGGGCATAGAGCAAATAATCTACATATGTATGACATGTGCTTTAATCAATGCCAAAAAGAAAAAAGAAAAATATATATATATATATATAGCCCTGAACCTGAACCTGACCCTGGCAACCACAAGTGTTACCGCTAACCCGAAACCTAACCCTGGTCATGACTTCGGTACTTTCTCTGTACCTTATGAAGAACACGCCACAATTTTCGCCCCCGCCAAATGGTATCAACATTAATAAATTTGCTGATATGATAAAATATTACAAACTTACCGCGAATTGCAACTCTCTCGCTCTCGTATCTCTATCGCATTCTCTTCACAAAATGAATACCTGATCAGCCAGTCTATCCCATGTCAATCACTGACTGCCTGTTCTATGCGAACTGAGCAGTAAGTGCAACTATTTTACTCAAACTTGGTACAGCTGCTAGCTTGTGGCCGAAGGTGTCGCATAAACTACTTTAAGGCCACTATTTAACAAGGTAAAAGCCAGGCTTAAAGTTCGCTTTTGTCCGATATGTATTTGCATAAGTTGAAAGTTACACCCACAGGTTAAACGCAATTACGTTTGCAACTTCTAGGGTTGTTTTGCCACTTTTAGCTTACTAAGCCGACTTATGGCAATTACTCATGCCGTCATTAACAGTTTATTAATATCCCTCCGGCTTTCGGCTCACTTTATTTTAAAGATAACAAAGTAAAGTTTGATTGTTAGGGTCAGAGTTCTATTAACAGTTCTTATCGTGGCCCCACTTCTAAATACAAAAAAAAAAAAAACAAAAAAAACATACACTCGCTCACAAAACGTGTCATCCGAGGAAATATATACATGTTTGCATTTGTACAGTAAAAAAACATAATAATAGTGGCCTAGGCAAGTATGCCCAGCTAAGAGATATCCTACTAATAATGATTGGATGAATGCAAGTGCAAACTATGCAGATAACAAAAATTAATTTAAGTTACACATTCTATTATAAAGTGACTCAACCTAGAAATGTATTTAGTTTTTTTTATTTCTTTTTTTTTTTAAATTGAGTCAATTCTACTTTAATCAAAATTCTAGCTCATTTTTTTCTAGGTGCTTAAGGACTATACAGTTTGAAAAAGAATATCATGAAATTCAAGAATATTAAATAATATTTATTAATATTCTCGTGTTTCATAATATATATATTCTTTTGAACCTCTAGGCATCTTAAATACATAAATGCATATTTTGTATTAACTATGAACCGCAGCTTCTTATAAACACTTTCACAATTTTTAGTATACCCTATTAAACAATTTATTGGGTAACGTGTATGAAATATAATTTCATGTGTAAACAACTGTCTAAAGTCGATAAGATTATTATTTTCAGCTGCATTTGGTGTTGCTAGCTGCCGTTTGGTTGCTGCTGCTTCTTCTTCCTTTATTTTTAGATTTTTAATTTGGATTTTAGTGTTTTTGTTTTTAATTTTATAGTCGCATATTTTTACTCAATGTTTTTGGTCACGTACTCGATTTGGTGTTAAGTGTTTTTCTTTTTGTTCATTCTAATCTTTCTTACTAACCTTACGGTTGTTCTTGACATATTTATTCCAAGGATCTGTTAGTGCCCTAGGTTTTGCCTTAATCTTCTGGCAGCTTGTGTCAGCGAACTTTGGGAACTTAAACCGTTAGCGCCTGTTAACGAATTCAAACTGAATTCCCACAAAAGTAAATAGTACGCAATGCCGGCAGGTCGTATGAGTGATAATTTCTTTATTTGAAAAATTCACACAATCACTCAGAAAACACTCACTCTCACACACACACACACACAGCTACACACCTACAAGAGAGTGCTGGTTCTATCAACATTTTGTATGTGTGAACAAATGTTTAGCCCCACTTGAATGTTGATCTATATAGAACTCGAGAGTCTGGCGACTCTCAACGTTGAGTGAAAAAAAAGCCGGGCAGATCAACGTATGAGTCTGAGTGTGGAAGTGAGTTCGAATGAGTGAGTGTTTGTGCATTTGTGTGAGTGTGAGTGTGTGTGCTAGTGTGTATTAATCAGCCGCCGATGATTACATGCTTTTTTTTTGTAATATTTATAAACAATGGAGGCCTACTTTTTGGACTTGAGGCATATTTATACTCTATTAGAGTAATCATTCATAAAAAGAGTTTGTCAAGGAGACTTGTTCAGCTGCAGATAAATATATAGTTCAAGATGCAGATACATACATATATATACACTAGAATCACTCAAACCTAAATGTTTATTTTGTTTACACTGTAAAAGTTTTGGTTGAAACGATGCTTTCGATGGAAAATGTAAGGCCATCTATTTGTGTATAGTTTATAATTAATTAAACGTATGCAATCCATCGATAGATTCCTATGTGCAATAAGGCGTCATGCAGTCGCCTCTGTGTAAGTCAATACCAACTACACACGTGCCAATTATAAGAATAATAATCGACACAATCCAATATCAGAAGCATAGCTAGCTTCAATTATATTAGTTGCAATTTGAATTTCAAATCAATCTGCTTAACCAACTAGTCCAATTAAAATCATATGTTAAGCACAGAAAGAAATAATTCAATTCAAACAAGAAATACGCCAAAGATTCATTGGTAAAAAAAATTCATTTTTAATACGACAACAAATATTTCGAGCAATTGTTTCTAGACTCAGAAAAAAAAAACATATACAGGAAAACAATTGCCTGGAAATTAGATATATTTTTTCTAAACCTAAAAAAATCTATCCTGAGTAATGCAAACAGTAGTTTTTACAAAGATACAACTAAACATTTGTACTTTCTGAATAATTATGACTAAATATGGCGATTTACAAAAATTTAGGAAGATTTGTTTTATTTGTGTATGACAGCCATATAATATATAGTGATCCTATCTGGTCACCTCCATCTGTATATACCAAGTTTTATCAATAAAGCTTTAAAACTGAGAGAGGTAGGACAGAAAAGCAGACGGACAAGGCTATATCGACATGGTTTGTGATGCTGATGAATATAAATACTTTATGGGATCGGAGACGTCTACTTCAGTGCGTTGCACACTTGAACACAAAACCAGAATACCGTCAAACAATTTAATTGGTTCTAAATAATGATGTTTTTGCAAAAACTGATGCAACAAAATTCTTAATCTTAAATGCCAAACAGGTGGACAGTAAAAAGTAAGTGTTGATTATAATTTATTCATTGATTAAATTGTAATGATTATAAACAATGCACTCAAGGTAATTCTAATCAGAAATGAAAGTAAAAGTCAAACTGAAAGTTGTAAATATAAGCAAAGTGTGTGTGTGTGCCATATTACGTATACGTAGTGCTTGAGTAGAGTACGAGTATTTTAGATTATTATATTTTATTGTTTATGTTGCGCTGTATCTTGTTCTCGCCTGAGTTGCATCTTTGCGCCTCTATTTATTCAATTTGCAATTGCAATTCAAGTGCAACTGAAAACGGGCTACGGGCAACTCACAACCGGTTGTCAACTAACTAAGCTGGGGTGCCAGTCTATTCGTTTATTTGTTTTTGAATATATTCAGCTAATCGAATAATTGTAGCTCAAGTTGTCTCAGCAACGGCGGCTCAGTTGACGAATTAATGAACTGCAAACGAGACGAGCTTTGATAGCTTTGCATTGTTTCGCCTCACCGCTTGCATGAATGCAACAAACATATGAATATAGACTACACTGTGCAACACAATTGTGCAACTTAGACATGCATTAATCGTTAGTCTTATTGATGTTAACGAAACCCCATATAATTAGAATATAATCAAATAATATATGAAATGTTGTGTGCGTCAAATTCTCCTTCTCTGCAATGTGAAAATTTTTCTTACATTTTGGGAACAATTTATGTTTGTAGGGTTTTGGCAAAAGCTTGCTAGTTCTTAGACGATTTTCATTTTAGTGCGATTTTGGTTTGCTCCGATTAAATGATCAAATGATCATTTGTTATCGAACTTTTCGCTCTGTGTATCCATACCAGGCAAACAGTTTGGCTCACTTTACTATCGAATTAAAGAAGAACCTTGCTCTTAACTACATATAAAGTAACATAGATGCAAAGCTCGTAGCTAGCGATACTGTAGATCGTTCTACATTTCCGTGAAATACGATGATGGAGTGCAAAGTGTTGCTTGAGTGATTTGTCTCCGAGTCCAAGTCGGATTTCGATCTACTTTGGGGGTCACGAGCAAGTAAAACTGGTCAACAAATATATCCTCGCACATATATCGTATAACTTACTTGATCAACGTCGTTGGCAATGATCGTTTGCCTGGTTCTAACGGTCAGCTTCTAAATGCATCCACTGAAATGATTGTAATTGTACTAATTTCATGATTACCACTGCATCTAAATTGTGAACAGTTAATTACTGCTGTACTTATTGAGGTAACTCGCGCTGTTTGCATCGGTTTGTGATTGACTAATCTAGCTATAATCATAATTGTCGCAATCTGTATTTGTACGTCGCAGTTGCTTCAGTAATGTTTCATATTCAGCATGACATGACGCTTATAAGTAGATTCTTTGGACAGCGAAATGCCCTTTGGAACAGTTATTAGTCAAGATCGAGAATAGTACCATTAAATCAGAGAATCAGAAATGCAAAAAATAACAATAATAATAATTTAATTTGCCTTTATTATTACTGTTCCATTAACAATATATATATATATATATATATATATATATATATATATATATATATATATATATATATATATATATATTCGGTCTGTTTCTAGACCTGCAGAGTTGAGAAAAATGAGACAACGGCGCTGTCAGTTGGAAGACACTGTCCAAAGGCCTCGATCAGCAGCGGCTCAGCGGCGACTGTGCCCATGAAGTCATCCATTGAAACCTGTAGCGAGCAAATTATTTATTTATTAAACGCCGACTAATATTAATCGACACAGAAAAGTGAAAAAAAAAATAAAAAATAAATTAAAATCAAATTAAGTTCTAATTGATAGAAATATGGACTCCTGAACTGATTACACAATAAAGTCAAGTGTATTATTATTGCACGGCGATTAATTGGGGAGGGAACAGCAATAGCGACGAAGAGTAAAAAGTAAGGATTACAAACTGCTTTAGTGAGTTATATATTGATACATAGTCCCGAATTGGACCTACAAAAGAAGGGAAGATTATCTTGATCGTATAATTAGATCAAGAACTTGAAAGACTTTGCTGCAAGTGAATTGAATATGACCATCAAATATATATTTACAGCCAAGAAGTAAACCTAAATCGTTAACTTCATGCAATCAAACAACCAGAAGTTGAATATATATATATATATATACAGATATAACCTTGCCATCCTTATCCAGATCGAACTTTTTTAGTACGATTTCGACGAGATCTTTGACCCCCTCGTCCGGATCCTCATCCTGTGGCTGCTTGATGAGACAATTGCGGAGCAGTGTAAACATCTCATCCTTGGTTATAAAGCCATCCGTATTGAGATCATAGACTCGAAAACAAAATGCAGCCCGCTCCGCCGGTGTACCACGCAGAAACGTTGACAATCCGATGAGCCAGCCCTCTAATCGCAGCGGCAGACCCTCATGTGCCTTGTCCCAGCTGCAGAAGATGCGCTCCATCAGTATCTCCTCGGTGACAATGTCGAAGGTGCTGTGCAACAGCTCACGGAACACAATGCGATCAATACCCTGCATGCAAGGAAATAGAGACAGAGAGAGAGAGAGAGGGTGCTGAAGAGGAGCTTCTCTGGGAAGCTATCTGAAGCTGAACCCACCTCGACGGCGGCATGTGGCTTAGCAATGGCTGCGCTGGAGGAACTCGATGCGAGCGTCTTGGCCGCATACTGACAATTGGACACCAGCTTGCGATAGATCCGACACAGGGCATCCAATTCATCCCTGTTTAGGCGGGATTATGCACAAAGTATTTAGATGGGGCTTATAATTTGGTTAGAAAATAATTAAAGATCTTTTGTGCTTCGGTAAACAGGTGTTGTTCTGTTAAGTTATCCCAAATTTATAAACTGTGTAAAATGTGAAATCTTAAAATAGAAGTGTTTATTAATAATATAAGTTACGCAAAAAAGTAATAAAACATTTCTCCAATGTAACCCTGCAAATCAGTCGTATTTTTTTCAAAAATGTTAGAAAAATCTGCCCTGAAATTTGGATATACAAAGCCTCGTTTTTAGAAAGGTGCAAACATAAATTTTGCAAATTTACTTTCTCAATTATAGGGTGACTCACAAAAAGTATGTCGATTCACTACAAATTTAGGGCAATTTATTTAAGAGTTTATGCTGAAGTCTTGTGACTATTGTGCTTGTCCCTAATGATATTCAAAGCGCATCTTGATAATAGTTGGTGAGAAAGCTCAGCTTTTAAGGGACTGCCAGTTAGTATTTAAATCTTGTCAAAAATCTATATTGATTGATTTTACAACTTAAGTAAGAAAATATAATTGATTTGTAAAAATCTCACTTACTGATGGGATTTAGGATACCTGACTGGTTATGGTTTTTGTGTTGTTTTACTCACTTGGTGAAGCGCGTCTTCTTGCGCAGATTGTCCAATAGCTTGGGATTGATTTTGCCACTCAGCTCGTCCATTTTCCTCTGGCGCTGCTGCCGTTTGTTCTGCAAAGCAGCCGCTGCTGCCTTCGACTGGTTGCTCGAGTTTCGTTTGCCGCTGGCGAGGAATACTGAAACCGTTTTCAGTATCGTTGTGTTCGCATGTAGCGTGGATCTGGCAGCAGCAGCAGCACCGCCTCCAGAACTAGTTGTAGCAGCAGCAGCAGCAGCAGTAACAACAACAACACCTCCCCCACCGCCGGTGGTTGTTGCCTGCGCGCCATTTGTTACCCCAGCCCCAGCTGTTCCGCTTCCGCTTCCGCCAGCTCCATTCTTGGGTGTAGGTGTTGGGGTGCGACCCCTTGCGGCGCCCGCCTTGCCTGCCAAACGACATTGACATAGCACATGCATATTATTATGGATCACAGTGTTTTTTGCAGGGTGTTCATATACAACAACAAGAACAACAACAACAACAGAAACATCAACAACAACAGCAACAGCAACAATGTGTTAGCTGGCGTTTGTTTGGGTGTTCATTTTGTTCTTCATGTGTCAAAGTCAAATCAATCCTCGAAAGTCGACGCCATCGACACGCAGAGCTTACGCTCCACATATTCAATCCCAACCCTCCCTTTCCGCCCCCGCCCCCGCCCCAGCTCTAGCCAGCCGGCTCTCCCCGAGCATAGCCATTCAATAACATTTCCCCCAATTACATTTCTCTCGGGAGTTGGGCAGTGACTAAGAAAAGGACAATATGCAAATAAATTGCCACCAAATAGATAATAAACTTCGCATATCGCTCATAAATTGACTATAATACAATACACTGCAAGAAATCGATGTGAAAGTTTAAACATAAATACCATAAACATAGATTAAATTTGAATTGAAAGAGTTTCGACTGCACATCATAAATTAAAACTAAATAAATATCAAATTATTAACATAATCCAAATAAATAAATAAAATAAATATATATAATTTTTGTATTCTTCCGGATAATCAGTTTAAAAATAAAAAAAAAATAATAAAAAAAAATAATAATGCAATGACAGTGCTACACTATTATATATGTATATATTCTTGCTAACATCACGAATATGTCATGTTAGTTGAAATGCATTTAATTGAACAAATATTTATTGAATGGATTGATTGAATAATTGGCTTAAAACTGAATAATCAATTCAAAGATCGTATGAATATTCAGTTTTCAATTTCAAGTTTAAATAGCTTAAAGTCCAAGTATAAATCAAAATAATACCGCTAAATGCTGCTTTCAAAATATTATCTAATAATCTGGCATTCCAATTCCAATTTCTCTAGATAATTCAATATACTCGATTTGCTCAGTGTAGCCATTTAAACATCTCCACTCCCTGCACACAGTCTAAAACTTAACCCATTACCAAAGCACATTGTTTTGCTTTGTTTGCTCATGTAATTCAGCAATTGTTCGAACTGATGTCTTGATGTCTGGCTATAAACCCAACGAATAGCCTCAAAACACCACGCCCATCCACATGCAACCGCCCCACACACACACACACACATACCATATTAACCCCAACTTTAGTTCAAGTTGTGTTTTGTTTGTTTTTATTGTTGTTATTGCTGTCTGATGTTGGGCAGCTTAATTTTATTAGTACTTTTGTACTTCTTTTGCAAAATTTTGGATGTGATGTGTGAGTGTGTATGGGTGTGTGTGTGTGTGTGTGTGTGTGTGAGGGCCGCGAAAGTATGCAACAATCGCTCTATATGGAATAACCATATAATTTGTTTATACTCGCATACCCGTTGCCCCAAACAACAACAAAAGCAAAGTTGGGGAACAGATATATCTGCTACACACACACATGTATCAGTCTGTTCACACACACACACACACACACACATGTATCAGTCTGTTCACACACACACACACACATGTTAACGAATTTTTTTTTTATGTATTATCTCATGGGGCAACCCTTTGGATTGGTTAGTTTGTGGCAACTTGATAGACAGACATTTTTATTCGCACTGTCCTTCGTATCCTTTTGCACAACAATTGCTGCTGCCTACGGGGTCAGAGGTCAGAGGTGAGTTGCGCTCGTTGAAAAATTACACAGATTCTGTACAACTGATAGCTTTCGAAGGCTGCAGACTGCAAAGCACAAGCCAATAATAATAATCATAATAATAAGGAACTTTCTTGAATACACCCGCACACACACACACACACAGAAAGAGAGTTTTTAGTGACAACTTGAAAGTTTTTCAAAGTTTTTTGCACTGACACACTTTTTTGAAATACGTTTATTTATGCATATATTATATATATATATATGTATATATAATTGTGTTTTTAAATGATATATTCTCCTACAGTTTGATACCCATTATTGTTAGTCCTGTTGCTGTTGCTGCTGCTTGTTGGCTGTTGAAAACATGAGGCGTTTAACGTTGAATTCCTCGAGTTTCTTGGCTTCTTGGTGCGCAACACAAAAAAAAAGTTCAAAACTTCTTCAGGCAATCAACAAACTCAAGTTTCCAAGGCGAACCGATGAAAAATGTGTGTTGACAATGCAAAACAAAAAAGAAAAGACATTTGTCGGTTAAGCGCCAATGGGCATAAGGTAGGTCCTCTAAGGGTTAAAGTGTGGAGAGGGATCGGCCAACTTAAGCACATTTATTGACAAAACATGGCACACATACACATACATATAGACATATATCAGTGTATACACGAAGTGTTAAGCTGCGTCTCAACCCATATCCGATTGGGGCCATATATAGGTATATGGGTTAGACTGAGAATGCTGAACTTTGTAACTTGCTGCAATTGTAATTAGTTGGCAACAGCTGGAATTTAATTGTTGTATGCTTCAGTCTTCATAAGAGAAAAACAGAGTTAAGACTAACAACGAAAATTATTAGCCCAAATTATTGAAGTATTATAATCGGATTTGATTTGGTCAGTTCAAGACAAAAAGATATAAGCCCAAATTATAGACTTTTTACTTGAAGCATAACAATCAATCGATATTCCCTAGAAGTACATATATTCATATGATTTGATTTCGTTACCAAAGAAATTGATTCCTTTATAGATCCTTTCAATATAAACGAACATTGTTTTGAATCTTTTACTTCTTGTTTTTCGATATATTATAAACAAATGTGAACAATTATCTCTCAGTGATCTCAGCAGTTCATTTGGATCGTGGCCCAAAGGAATTTTCTGGCATGTACTTTGCACAAAAAGTCTGTTTTCAGATTCCAAAAAAAAGGTGCGGGAAAAAACATTTTTTTTTTTATCGGATCTCCAAATGGAATTTGGTATTTTATCGATTTTTGATACGAATTTCGAAAAAAAAAATCGTGTTGTTCATATTACTCTTCAATTTATTTTTACATAATCATTTCATAAACACTTTGTTAAACTTAAGCATAAAATATTTTTAATGTTAGCACAATACATAATTATTATTATAGTATGTTAAAAATAACGTTTTACGATTTTGTTTTTAATTTTATTTTTTCTTGTTGTTTGATTTGCTTAAAAACCGACGCAGGGTTGCCAACTTCATTGTTCGATCTCCTTCTCCTCTAACCGCCCATCCCCCCAAACTTATCAAAGATATATATATATATATATATATATATATATATATATATATATATATATATATGTGTGTAAATTTTAATCTGTTCGTCATTGAGAGTTGTGTATTCTATATATATATACATGTATATATATATATATTATATATATATAAACTGAATTATTTAGCTCCTGTAGAATTAGTATTGATCGGCTGGTCTTCAAGTTCATTAAGTTATGGGCATTTTTTTTTTGGAGGGGGGATTTCTTTCGGAAACTGTGGGTTAGGGGAGAAATAATGAGGAAGTTGAAGAAGACTCTTAACACTCATCATATATAGTAGGTATATATATATATACATTATCGTAAATTGTATTTTTGTTTTTATTGAACACGCTAAGTTAACTAGAATACACAACTCTACACGTTTAATAAGTTTAATTAGTTTCTCTATTAAATATTAGTACTTATTCTTGTTTTTCTCATTGTTTCTTTTGTTTTGTTGCACTTAAATAACTGTATTTTCCGTTCTGTTCCACATCGCAGCGACTTAACTTATTAAAAAAAAACATAATAATAAAAATGAAGACATTTTAAGGTATATATTGTTATTAAAAGAGACAAGAAGACAAAGAAAAAATCATTTAAAATATTTGAATTAAATGTCTGCATAAGAGATGATTATATTTCTTGCTTGTTGTTGTTGTTTTCTTTTTTCGTTTGTTGAATAAATATGTATTTGATAGTCACAGGAGTTAAGATGACATTTAATTAAAAATAAAACACAAACAATATGGACATTTTTTGTTAGATTATTGCATAAACAACTTACTTAATTTTACAAATGTTTAGTATTAGCCAAAGAAAAAAAATAATAGTCATAATATATATATGTATTTATATATCAGCTGCATCAAAATTGGAATTTGAATTTTGATTTTCATAATTTTAAATTTACTTAATTGATTGTAAGCGGTGACATTTTGATTCACTGATTGATTGGATAGCCAAAACGCAAAGGCTACGTAGTCAAGTGGTTATATCGGGTATGTATGTGTGTAGGGAGTGGGAATTATAGGGATATAGATGGGTGTACAAGGTATAGAGATATTACATAAAGCTTGTTCTGGGTTTTCTTTTTTTGGGAAGTGCGCCTACAACTACTAAACAGCTGACAAAAACGGTTGTTGTGGCATATTATTTATAATATATGTATGTATGTATAGCTCTATAAGGTATACACAACTAACGATCGTTATGTCAGCGCGGTTTTTTCTCTGTATATATTCTAGTTTTCTTCTTTTTTTTTGTTTTTGTTTCTGTTTGTTTGTTTTTTTTTCATTAGAACCAGTTGAAATTACAGTTTCGCTCAAATATTATTATCATTATCATTATTTTTGTATGCTTTTGGGTTTTTTGCTCGGTTTTCTTGATTTGTTAGTCAGCTACTAATTGCTACATTACTAAGAATTGTTTCAAATTGTTTGTTTGCTTACAAATAATAACTGCACATATGTATATATACATATATATATGTACATATATATATATATATATATACGTATAGATATATATATATATCTGTACAGTTATTATTACTTATCGAATCACGTTCTTTATATATATATATATTTATATATATATGTGTGTGTGTTTAAATATACATATATATAAATATATATATATATATGTATATTAATTTTTAACTGATTGAATTGCGTCGATCAACATCAAATCGAATCGAATCGCTAATTTTAATGAAGCATTTTTAAGTTGCTGCTGTTGTTGGTGTTGTTGTTTTGTTTTGCATATAGATAGTATAGATAATATAATTAAATTGATATTATAACTCCATATCCCTGGCCTCATCCTCACTATAATCGGACATGCTCGACTCACTGTCGCTGCTCTCGCGCTGTTGCTGCGCCGCTCGCAGAGCATCCTCGGTCGCATAGCGTTGCACATAGTCGGCGACCTTGCGATGATATTCCTCCGGCTCGTGCAGGTACAATGCGGCCGCATCCCGATTCAATGGATCAACGGGATTCGGATATGTGAGCAGCTGTGGCAGAAACGATTCAAATATATTTGATAAATCGTATAGTGCTGTCCATGCCTGATTGATAACATCGAGACAAACTGTGCCCGACGATTCATCAATATTGGGATGATAGATTTTGTTCACGAAGCCGATGCTCGGTGATTTGAATGGATAGTTGTCGGGTAGATAGACGCGCACCTTCCAAACGCCGCCGTCGTACGGTGTACCGGTTGGACCAAAGAATTTCACATGGAATTCGTTGAGGCCGCCAAGGATTGTCACCTCGTGTTTCGATTCGATTAGCTTGATGACGTCATTGTCCATGCGTCGCTTACCAGCACTGGGCGATGACATTTTTGTTTTGGATTTGATTCTTCTGTGGGTCCCTCGCTGCGTTTGTTGTTTATTTTTATTTATTTTAATTTTTTATTAATATACTTTTTTAAAGTGATTTTTCAATAATTAATCAGGAAAAGGATAAGGCTAAGTTGGTGATGGTTATTATTTTTGTTATATTTTTTTTGTATGTAGCTAGTATTATTATTATTGCTGTTGTTCCTTAAGTTGTTTTTACTGCTGCTCCATAATTATTTGTATGGCCATTAAAAAAATCGAAGGAGCAAAATTAAAGAGCTGCAGCTGCTGCTTTCTGCCTGCAAAATAAAAATGAAATTTCAATTATGTTGTTATACATATGTATATATGTGTGTGTGTGTGTATGTGAATTTGTTATCCTTATCAGTGGTTATCAGAATCTCGCCAATTCATCGCATGAATGCATAAATTATCTAGGTCAAATGCCATCTCGCTCGCACTCATTAACGAAACTATGTCAGCTGTGCTGCAGCAGCGCAGCAGCAGAAGCAGCATCAGAAGCTACAACAACAACGTATGACGTCGTCGCTGTCAATGCTGATTGCTGTCTCTCTCTCTCTCTCATTCACCCTTATTCACTCACATGCAGCGCAGTAACAGCATCAGAAGCTACAACAAAGTATGACGTCGTCGCTGTCGATAGCTGCTTGATGTCTCTCTATTCACTGACATGCCCTATTTACACGTCAATACTGTTGCCATTAGTAACAGTAGTCAAAGAGGCCATCAAATCAAGGACACGCTTGCAGTTTCAAATTTGCAGAAATGTTGTTGTTGCTGTTAAGTTGTTGCATACTTTCCAGGGCCAATGTAAAATGTGCATTGGAATGAAATGGAAGGTGTTGGAAGTGGTATTTCCATTCTATTTGCTAGTCTAGTGTTGGTAACAATTGAAATTCTTTCGCTTTGATTGTTTTGTCAACTATCTGTCTGTCTATTTATACCATAAGCACACACACACACACACACACTGCACTTTTTTTTTTCATCATGATGACGACTTCGTTGAGCTGCGGTTGTTGTTATTTCCAAACATGCTCAGCTGTTTAATGTTATTGGCTGACTGGCCATTAAGAGCGACCGAGCGAGCGGGAGAGAAAGAGAGCGAGAGAGAGAGAGAGAGAGAGAGAGAGAGAGTAAAATGTTAGCAGCAACCCCCGTTGTGACAATGTATTTGGTAAGCAACAAATTTACAGAGGGCCCCACGAATGTTAAACAACACAATACAAAGCGTAAATAATACAAATATCACGCATAAAATCAAGAACTAATTTCCATTTAATAATAATACAAAATTTCAATTTATTATTAAGAAAAGCATACTCTAAAAATTATTTAAAATGTGCGAATATTTAGTAGTTGTTGTTTTTAGAATGTGCACTGTATATGCGATATTCGCACATAAAAACAAAGTGCATATTTTGTTTGCTTTTTTTTATATAGTATATTTATATCTTAAGCTCGTTGAGTCAACATGGCGTATGAGTAATAATATATTCAATCGACTTCTCAACAAAGGAACTATTGGTTATACAAGATAAGTATATATATTTATACATATGCTGATAAACCATATAAGTCTTTAAATTTTAGTATTTTTATATAATAAATTACAATATTGTTTCATGGCTTCCAAAACATAAATATGACAAGTGGACAAGTGGATAGCTAACTGTCTGTTCAGCTTACTGGTCAAAGCAGCTCTCTTTTTGGATGAGCTAATTCAATTCACTCTCGTTGTCCCGCTCTCTCCATCTGTTTTGTTATAATACTATTCTACAATGAATTGATGCGCTTTGGCTGGTTTCACTGTAAGCAGCAGACACACACAGACACATACATACACGCTCATAGATAGAGAGAGGGAGCGAACGGGAATAGCTGTTTGTTGTGTGTGTGTGTGTGTGTTGTTATTTGCGTTTGCTGTTTGGTGTTTTGTTTGTTGTTGTTGCTGCCTCTCAGCTGTGTGCTACTGGTATGGTGTGTGTAAGAGCGCCTTTTAGTGTTGTAAAACCCACGCTCTCTGGCTCTGGAAGATCAACAAAAACAACGCAACGTTGACAACACTCAGCTGCAATTTCGTTCAAGACAACAGCAGGCAAATACACACACATACACAACATATACATATACATCGTTGTTTTGTATATGCTTTTGTTGTCTTATGATGATGACACACACTCATATAATACACATGAATATCTGTTATATATATTTATACATTTTTAATAATTAGAAGAAAAAAACGCAGAGCGCAGACAAATTAATTGAAAATGAAATTTAAATTGTATTGTGCTGCATGCTGATTTCTCTGTGTATCTCTATCTATATTCTATTATGACTGTCTGTGCTAACCCACACACCCCCCGCCCCCTTCCTAACCACCTACCCAAGACCAGCACGCGCAGCTGACTGCAATTCATTTGTATTGCATTAACAGTTAATTACGAAACTTTTTTTAAAAACAATTTCAACAATAACACGCGCACAGACAGAGACAGACAGACAAAGAGAGAGAGAGAGAGCGATAACACTTTTGTTGTTATATTTTTTTGCGTTTGTTTTAATATTGGTGTCTGCTTTTTTCTTTTTTCTTTGTTTCTTTACTTTTGTTTGCTGCTGCTTTTGCTGTTGTTGTTTGCGTTCACGTTTGTTGTTATTGTGGCATGCTTTAGTTTTTGGTTTTGCTCTTTATTTCTCTTGTTGTCTACTTCAACTAGTTACTGAAAATTAACTGGCAACAGAGTTTGGAAGCCCCCAGCGAGCAGCGCATGAACATCTGAAAAGGCAGCACAAGAAGCAGAAGCAGCAGCAGCAGAAGCAGAAGTAGCGACGCCAACAACAACTGCGAGGGAGAGAATGCGAACAGAAAAGCAAAGCAAAGCACACACAGAGAATGAGAGCGAACAGACCGCGAGAGTGGGAGAGAGTGAGCTATCGACAGAGAGGCCGCAGCGCGCCAACCTGCTAAGAGAGAGGCCCCCCCAAAGCACATGTACAAAGAAATCATAATAACAAAGCGAGAGCCAAAGCCAAAGCCAAAACAACAACAACAACAGGCCCAAAAACTATACAAATAATATTGGGCAAAGAGCAGAAGCAAAAACAGCAACAACAACAAAAATAGTAGCAGAAAGCATAAAGCAACAACAACAAGCAAAGAAAAGCTATAATCAAGGACAGCAGCTGTAAAGCACACACGACGCTAAATGCACACACACACACTCATATATATACAAAAACAAAGCAAAGTCAAAAGTAAAACCGAGCAAATCCGAACCTTTTAATGCCCTTCATTTTGACGAACGATTTATAACGAGTTCAATTCGATATGACGCACCAGTTTAGTTAGCTGGTTAGTTAGTCTGAGCACCACTCACATACACCCCCACCCACTCCTGCCTTGAGCACAGTTCAAAATTGAAATCGGGTAAATAACTTACCGCATGGCAATTGATTTAGGTGTGAACCTAACGGGGTCAAATGCGAAATGTATGAGTGGAAATTTAAATACATACATGTTTGTGCATGGGTAAGAATTTGTGTATGTATGTGACATGTATGGATAAGTGTATGTATGCGTGTGTCTGTGTTAATGGCACAGTGGAGTAATTTGAGCAAAATTTGGTTTTCGTGTATATAGACAGACAAAAACAATATATTTATGAATTTTTTCGTTTTTTTTTTGTTATAAATTTTAATTAATCATGAAATTTTCTGATTTGTATATACTATTTATTTGTAGATCCATAGTTCTGCACAATTAAAAAAACGTAATAATTCTAGAAAATCATAACTTGGCGCACGAACGCAAGCATTTCGAGATTTCTCATAGGTTTCTTTGTGTGATTTACCATCTTATCCCCCCCTCCCCCCACGCTAACCAATGTAACCAAACAAAACGGTCATTGACTGCGCATTAAAATTAAATGCATAATGAGGCATGCGAAAAAAGAGGGCTGAAATATGGGCTAAGGCCAACAACAGTTCAGATCTGTTAAGAACAAAAAATGCGTATGTGTTTGTGTGCGTATGTAAAGGCGAACACACATGCATAGAAAAGTGCTTGTAACATTTCCGTTGTTGCTTTGCTGATAAGATTTAAAACGCAAAAGCAAAATGCAAAGGCAAAGGCGAAAAGGAAAATCGTAAACACAACGCAATAAGCGTGCAAAAGCAAAGTGCGTAGTAGAAGAGAAGACAAAAACAAGAAATACACACGCACGCATATATATATACATATATAACTGAGTATAAATGTATATAAATAAATGACCAATTTGACACATTGTGTATAACAGTTACTTATAACAATTATGGTTGTAATCCTAAGGAAAAGATTGAAGTGCGAAGCAAGAATAAAGAGACAATAGCAAGGATACAGACACATACAAACACGAGCTAACGGTACAATTCCTAATCTTTGCGTACAGAAGCTAAAAGGCGAAACCAAAAACCAAAAAATAAGAAACTAAGCTAAATACCAACAGCTATTTTAGCTTTGCACGAAATGCTGTGAGCGAAAGAGAGTGCGAGCGTGAGCAGAGAGCAACAGACAGAAGGCAAAACAAAAACTGCAAGGGCTGCCTATACACAAATACAAAAACACACACTAACACAAATACAAAAATACACACACACACAAACATACATGAATAGGCAATACGTAAGAGGAACGAATATTGGGCGTATAAAGCACAATGCCAAAAAATTTTCGAGACATTGGTAACAGTTAGAATCAGTGCAAGAAGGAATGCCAAGATCTCTTTTTGCAGCTGGTCGCACTTAACGGGTGACATTTGCAACCGTTGTTGTTGTTATTTCAGTGTCCCCCCTCACCCACTTAGCCACACACACATGCACAGATATTTTGCAAGACCTTTGCTATTAAATACCGTTGATACCTTTTTGTTATGTTTTCCGTTTTAATTTCGTTGCTGTTGTTGTTTATTGACGTTTGTTGTTGGTGTTGTGGCTGCAGCGCCTTTAATTTTTACGCTTCGATACTTCTCCACATTGTTGTGTACACCGACCGCCTTTGCATTTTATCGCATTTTTCTTTTTTGCAAATACAGCGACAAATGTTTAATTAATGCTTAATGGCTCTCGACACATATGAAAATGCAATGCGTTGCTATCGCTCCATCCGCTTTCTTCCGTTTTCTACCGTTTCTCGTTGAAATATCGTCTGCTTTCCAGCTGTTATGCTCTGTGCAGGCTGTTAGTGCTCATCGATATGAGTTCACATATTCGATATATCGCCTCAAATTAATCGTCACTACTTATCGATTGGAACGGGCCAGTACGCAGCTCATACTATATTTCTGGCTTAACATTTATATAAGAAAAGCTTTACTCCGATATGAGGAATAATATATTAACTACATTGTGCAATTGCAGAACCTTTTAATTTTTGTGTATTTTTCATCCTGTATTACTAGCTTAATATTTTAATAAGACAAGCTTTACTCTAATTTGATGAATAATTCATTTTCTTTTTATTTTGTAATTCCTGAACTTTTAATTTTTTGTTGTGTTTTGCCTGCTCTCTGTTCGTGAGCAGCAGACTGTTAACACCGACAGCAATGCCCGATGCTGTCAAGTGCGGTGTATAATTGGGGCGGTGTGGCAACACTCTGATTGCACTGGCAACACCGCCGAGATGTGCAAGTCGCATATACACAAAGAAAATTGATAAAAGGATTCAAATGAAAATCATGAGATTTGTTGCAAGCAACCATTGAGGAGGCACAACACCCACACTTATCACCGCACCAAGCACCGAGCACAAAATCACACACACAGACACACAAACACACCCAAAAAACGCCAACAAAAATGGTAAGTCTAAGGCCAAAAAAAAGCAAAAAAAAAAAAAAAATGAGTAAAGCCGATGAAAATGGGGCGCAGAGTTTTCCTCAGTGAGTAAGTATTAATCAATTTCATACACCTCAAAACCAAAAAAAAAAAACTAGCATGCCGCCGCATCGATGACGTCGGTGGAGTTGCTATTAAATGAATTCTATCAGCCAACGACGAGCAATGCACGCAAACGGGAAATCGAAACAAATCTGCTCGCCTTCAAATCCCAACCAGATGCGTGGCAACTTTGCCTGCGTGTCGCCACCGCCAGCAACAGTTTCACCGAGAATCAATTCCTATGGTTCTTCAGCACATCAACGCTGGAGCATACGATAACACGTCGCTGGACACAATTGAATGCCGCAGATCGTTTGCTGTTGCGTGAGACATTGTGGCACAGTTATGCTCAGTTGATGGTGTTGAACGGTGGCGCACGACGACATCGGGATACGTTGGCGCAACTGATTGCACTGCTAGGCAAACGAGAGTTTCCGGAACTCGATCCCAATTATATGCAACATTGCATGGAGCTGACAAGGACTCGCTTCAGCCTGGGCATCAATCTGTTGCGTGTCACCTCCGAGGAAGTCGTCAGCAATCGTGGCGATTTGACCACCGAATGGAAACAATACTTTCACTCGTGGTAGGCATTATATATATATACATATATATATATATATATATATATAGATATTTGAGTTTGATTACAATTTACGCATGTGAACCTTTCTCTCCTTGGTGCTCCTCTTGTTTTTGGCTGTTTGTTTCTGTAGCATTTCCATGTGTATACCCGATGTTATGGATCTGATCACCAAATATCTACTAATCGCCGTCTGTCATATCAATGGTAAAGATATCCACACCACAATACCAAACACATTCATGGATTATAGTCTAACCACAGCGCTGCCAAATGACAATCAATTAAGGTTTGTTTTTCAATCATTTTTATTGATCAATCCCATTCAAATTTTTTGTGTGTTTTTTGTTTACTTCACGCAATTTAATTGTGCATTTAAATGGCTGAATTTATATTTCTATTTGTAGTAAAAATCTAAATAGAAAGCTGTTTAGCATAATTTGTTGCATGGAGTAACTCAATTGTTTACCACAATTTAAGCACAATTTTTGTAATACATTGTTTGAATTACAGTTCCTCTGTGCTGGAGCTGCTCGGGTGTGTGCAGCATTTGGTGTCCTGGATACGCACCGAACTGATCTCGGAGTATTTTCTAATGAGCATACTCGATTTATCGCAATGGCGCCACAACAATGAGCCCATCTCGCTGGCGGCACTCTCTGTGCTAAATGAGCTGCTCTATTTGCAGAAACCGTTGCCATATGCGGCGACCTTGATGAACGGCGTCAGTGGTCTGCTGGAGCTGCACAATCGCAGCAAGCAACAGAGCGAAATGTATAGTGATAAATTTCGCGAACTATTGCGTTTATATAGCACCAAATATGCCGGCAAACTGCTCCAAGAGCCCGAAATGCTTGAGTCATTTCTCGAACAGCTCTATCGCTGCACCACCAAACGTGAGTGGGAATCAATTTGTCTCCCCCCCGCCCAATTTGAAAACATATTTTCTTATGGCAGTGCATGGCGCTCTGGATTTTACGGAAAAGTTGGACATTTGGACACCGATCATTAAGGTGATTGCACAGCAGCCATCACGGATGACAGCATATCATGGCGAGGTGATGGTAAAGCTTGTCGATGAGATAATGCGACGCACACAATTTGAGATTAACAAGCCAGAGCTGGAGCTACTTGACAATGAGCTCATGGAGGAAGATGTACGTCCTTGTTGCATATGATTTTTATCTACAAATTGAAATTGGTTTGCAAATTACGTCAGGTTAATCAAGTGCTTTATAACATGTGATAAGCTGTCAAATACAGTTGTGTAATAGTATTTAACAGGCAGAAGGAGGCAGCTCCGAGCCCATTAACTATATATATATATATATATTCTTGATCAACTTCAAAGAGAGCATCTCTTCAAATTTGGTATATAAGTTATTGTATCAAGTTTATCTATTTTTAGTAGCATTAAAGCAGACCAGCGAACGATATAGCCTTCCAATTGATATATGCCATATACCGAGATATATTACTGATAATTTGTTCAAATTATTCATTCAGAATTGGGTATTTCCCAGGCTTATATTGATTCTCATATTATCAGCAGGTTAAGATTGCTTAAGAAAATCAAATTTTGTTAGCTAAATTGTATTTTCATATTGAACAAACAAACATCAGAATGCCTACATTTAAAAGATGAATTCTTCAGGGTTTTAGTCTCCTATTAGAGCAAACTTGGTTAACTATGTGAAACTCGAAAGCAAATTGCAAATTATTTCCAATTTTAGCATATAGCTTATAGTTTGACTAATTTCGTTGAAACACTTTGCAGACACCCACAACGGAGTGGCAACTGTTTCTGGACCAGTGCTTTGAGTGTCTGGCGCTGCTGGCGAGCACTCGCGGTGCACACATCGTGTTCGCCCAGGTCTTTGCCCACTGGTCGCGTCCTCAGACGTATCTGTTATCGCTTGAGCTGGCACTGGACCATGGCAGCGGACGTTGCTATGAAGCAGCACGCAAACTTAAAATGGCCAATATCGGTGAAATATTGAGAGATTTTGCAACAGTTTGTCAGGCTGTGGTGCGTCTGGCGCCGCTAATGGATACGGCACAGGCATCCGCGGATGTTGTCGATGAGATGGAGAGTCAACTGCAGGTGCTGTCGGATCGTTTGCTCCAAACGCTCCAGCTGCTGGCCAGCAATCGCGTGGGCGGACACGATGCGGACAAGGCGAGCTTTCAGACTGATTTGGATAACCTGTGAGTGTGCTTCAAATATATTGGACACTTTGGCAGTTTGTAATTGCAACTGTTGCCGTTTGCTAGTTGTTGGCCAAACGTTGTAATCAAATTTGTACAAATTTTATTCATTCAACTCGACATCGACAAATGAAAGTGCAAAATGCAATTGAAATAGATTTACACGAATGAGTTTCTTATAAGCATTTAGTTTATTATAGCATTGTTATCTGATTCTTCTCAATTATTATCGAATTATAGACCGGAAAGCAAAATATATTTATTTTTTAAAATTATAGTTATACGAAAACTGCCCACCGCCGGACATTTTATTGATCAACTGTATAACTTTCTCATAAAGATCGTATAGGAAACGTATGCTCATTTTTATGGAATTATCGTATTTATTGAGTTTAAATAGAAGTCATAAATTTGCCCAAAAATAATATAAGTCCAGGATAAAGATATAGCCTACCAATTGATGTACTCGTATACTTAAAATATTATTGATTAACTGTGCAAATTATTCATTAAGAATGATCATTTTTAATGAAGTATCGTATGAGACATTGACAATTATATTATATTATTGTATAAACTGCTAATACACATTGATAAACATGCGCATCTGTTTTCTATCTTTGTATATTTGCAGTTACGCTCAAGTTTTGCTAGCCATACGCAGCATATTCCCGCTGTCAAAATCGCTGAACAGCGAACAGCTGCTGCATCGTTTATTTGCCATATTGGGCAGCATATTTGCTGGCAACAATTCACCATCGGCTGCATCGCCGATTGTACAACAGGCGGCGAGCGAGGTGCTGCTCTTCATAGCGACTGTGATACGACCCAAGTGTCTGCTCGACATACCCGAAATACAGAGCCTAATGCAGGCCGGGCCGCGGCTGGGCGCCTCTTTGCCCCGTCACGTGTCCACCAATGTGCACATTAGTCTGGTCAGCTACATGGTGCTGCCGTGGAAGAATGTGCCGGAGCCGCAGCAAGACTATCAGCGTCGCCAGTGGATGTTGCGCGAGTATATCGATGCAATCGCTCGAAATTTCCAGGAACTGGATATTAACGCGGCCGGCGAAAGTAAAGTGGCTGCGACAACGCTCAGTCTGCTTAACATATTAACATCCCTCATCGAGTACTTTAAGGCGACTGGGGCCAATGCCAAGGATATGCTCGCCAGCACCTTTAAGGTGAGCCCAAAAGCAGACGTCACAGACTGTCTGCCAAATCTGATAACTATATCCATATAGCGTTTACCACTTGATCACATTCGGCTATCAATATATTTATCTCACATTATATTTTATTTAATTCGCAAATAACTGCTAGTTTAGCCAATATAAAAATTTCTCTTTTTTTCTTTTGTGTTTGTTTTGCAGCCCATTTTGAACAAGGCACTGGTGATCTTCAATACCTATGGCTTGGGCAGCATTGCGATGGCCATCACCGTGGCGGAGTTTAGTCTAAGCATGCTGCGCACTCTGCCCATTCATCTGGGTGCACAATTCATTAAGGAGATGATAACGCTCTTCATCGATGTCAGCAGCAGGTGCGTCATCAAATCCATTCCTCTCTGTCTCTCTTTCTCTTTGTCTAATTGATATCAATAATTTTGTTTTAGGGAGCAACTGACTTTGAGTGGCTTGGCTGTCATGGAGAAGGTGCTGCAAATGTTTCAACTGATTGTGGAGCAGCCAGGCAGTGCCTCGTTGGGTTTGTTGCCCAATATACTGGGTTTTAGTACGCAACAGATATTGCCACTGTTGCAGCAACAGAATGCGGCAACGGACAGCACTGAAATAACCAATCTGCTCTATGCGCTCTTCGATAGGTGAGTTAGCTTAGTATTATTATTATTATTATTGTTATCCCAATAATTGTGTTTATTTTTCTATTCACAGCGTGCTCACCTGCAAGTGGCAATTTTTCTACAAGAATCAACTGAGCAATGGCCATAACAATGCCAACAATATCAATGGCCAGCAGCAGCAGCAACAGTCGCCGCACAATTTCAATTGCAGTGATAATTTGCATCCGGAACAGTTTATGGCCATTATGAATGCGTATGGCCAAATGTTGGTCAGCGGCACAGACCCCACTAATGTCCGCAGCGTTCTTCTCTCCATGCAGAATGTGAACGAACGCAGTCGCCTCTATCAGCGTGCCCTGTTCAAGGAGCATCTGCTCGCCTCCTTTCAACGTGCTCTCCTCAATCTGTTGCTCAGCGGCGAGGGTGCGCTGCACTTTGATTTAATTGCCCAGGCGCTGTATGCGATGGGTCAGGTGGATCGACGGCAGTTGCACGAGAGCTTTGTAAATGCAGCGTTGCCCGTGACGCAAACATCGCTTGAGGATATATGCCAGACAACTGTAAGATCGATCAATTACAACTACATCTCTATCATTATATTATATCATTATATTTGTTTGCTGCAGGACATTCCAACGTTTACGCAGAAACTGACACAGCTTATGCAGGATGCACATTGTGCGCACCTCAATGAGACAACGTAGGCGACAGCGACTCTAAACGAAAAACAACACAAAGGAACATCAATCCCAACAACCAACAAAGCTCTCCTCTCTCTCTCTCTCTCACACACTCTTTGTCTCTGTCTCATTTTTTATTCTGTCTTGCTCTGTCCGTTTTAATTCTGTGTCATATATTGTTCAATTGGATGTGTGCCTGTTCTGTCTAAAAACTGCCATTCAATCAATGTTTAACTTGTTTCTGACCAGGCATGCTCCCTCCCCATTGGTCTCCTCCTCCCACACCCTGTGCTCAGTTGGTGTGTTCCTTCAAATAATTCGATATATATAAATACATATATATATATATATATGTACTATATATGTGCAATTTCTGTGGTTTTATGACCTCGTCGTGAGTCTATCTAAACTAAAAAAAAAAGAAATGAAATTCACAACAATTTATAAAAGACATTGTTAGCTTGTAATGCGATTCCGTTATTTAAAAGAAAAGAAAAAACCGAAAAAAAGAAAAAAACTAATTTTATATAATATCCGTATATAATATTTTTTAAATCTTTAATTATTATTATAACTATCATCATTATTATTATTATTTAAACGACATAATCACATGCTTCTGTGTCCAACGGCAACAAATTCGATAAAAGTCATATAATATATATATAGCCCAATATACATACAGCTCTATCAGTGCTTACAGATGTATATTTTGGAAAAGTTAAACAAAAAAGTTTATATTTTTATGCAGAACATACAAAGATGGGGTAGCTATAAACTGATTAAAATAGACAAATGAAGAGTCTTCAAATTGATTGCGACTGTGACGGGTGACATTTTCATAGCTTTCCTTGGTATAAAATATTACTTCTCAACATTTGATGTGAGGTGCGTATAGAAATCATATTGTTCAAGATCTCAAAGCTCAGATTTGTCACGTATTCCCTCACTTTGACTCTGTTGTTGGTCCTGAATTATACTTTCGAGACTTGGCTGTAAGAAAATTAGTTAATATTTAAAAAAGAGAAAATGCTTGAACTTAATTTGGAAATCAAATGTATTATTGATTAGGGTGTAGGAATAATTAATCGTATTGGGTTATTATTTTGAACTTTTGTGAATCACATTGAACTGATTTAAAGAAATGTTTTTAAGCTTCAACCAAATGAGTAATTCTCAAATAATCAATTGTTCATCCTTCCATCATTTAATGTTTATTTATTGGATTCCAAAGCTAAACAGACAGTTATAAAAATTAAAAAAAAAAAACCAACCAAATATATTTTTATTTTCAGGATTTATCCCATTATAACCAACTGAGCTTTAGTGCTAGACTGTCTATATAAGCAGAAATCTTTTTTTGCAATAATAAATGCTTTGCGTCTATCTAATTATTTAATTATTTTTGATGCGATCACAAACGTTACGCTTAAGGATCGTCTTCCTTATAATTTCCTAACGGTGTTTTTTTTTTTTTCATGATCAACGAAGTCTTTCACATCAATGATTAAATTCCCAGTCAATTCCCAACCAATTTCGAAATAATACTCAAATTCTTTAAATTTTTGCAGCTCTTTTAACTGCCTGTGCGTTTTGATGTACATACCTATATATTATTTATATATATTTTTCATTATTTTTGGGTTTCATATAAACCATGTGACTTAATAAATATTAAAAAAAAAACAAATAGAATCACAATACATGCTAAGAAAAAAAATGTGAATATGTTTATATAGTTGATATTTTGTAGGAGATAGGAACACCAACCGCTTATACCAAAAAGGAACGAACAAAAATTTAACTTCCTCTAAGATTTTGTGCTAATAAGATTTTTTTTGTATTTTTTTTTTGGGTTTTTTTGTTTTTTGTTTATGTGTTTGTTTTAAGATGCGGTTAACTCACACAAAGTTTGACTCTCTGGCTGACTGTTTGAGTGGGGTGCTGTAGTTTCATTCTTAAATCGGACAGGATATGCGTCTACTATATATATATATGTATATATATATATATAATAGACATATCTATGCGACTGTTTGATATTTGCGCGGCTCCAGGGAAATATTGAAGCCATTCTCTAGCTTCAGAATGATATCGGCCTGTAGCTTAAAGTCCGCCTCGGTATCGGTCGAGTGCACAATGTAATTGCGCACAATCGTCGAGAGGAGCACCTTCAGCTTCAACATGGCATATTTGCGACCCACACAGCTACGCGGTCCGGCACTGAACGGAATGAAGCTGTAATAATGCCTATTGGCGGCACGCTCGGGCAGGAAGTTATCGGGATCGAACTTGGTTGGATTTGGGTAGATGTCGGCGCGACGATGCACACAGTATTGCAGGACGACAACGGTGGTGCCCTTGGGCACCGTATATGGTCCACTTGTTAGCTTCACATCATGATCGAGACGGCGGGCAATCAACGGTACTGGCGGATACATGCGCAGTGTCTCGAGGATGACACGTTCCAGATATTTCATTTCCATGGTGTCGGCAAAGGTGCAATCGCGTTGCATTTTATCACCAAAGATGGCCTTCTGTTCGGCAAACACACGCTCCTGTATGTCCTTGTGGATGCCCAGCATGCACAGGGCAAAACTGGAGCCAGCCGATGTGGTATCGTGTCCCTCAAACATAATTGTGTTCACCTCATCCATAATGTCCTTCTCGTTCCATTCGATCTCTGGATTCTTGGCCATCTCCACCATGGCATCGAGGAGAGCCAAACGACGCTTGGCACCCACATCATTCTCATCGATATCATCCAGATCGTCACGCAGACCCTCCTTCTTAGCGGCTGCTGCTGGTGGCGTGGCGCGAGACAATTTGGGATTGGGTGTCTCCTCCACTTCATCGATAATCGGACGCGATTCGGTTATGAAATTATCCTTGCGATCCTTCACCACCTTGCGTGTCATGCCCAAAATGATATTCATCATGCGGTCACCCTTCTCGCGCAGCTTGGTAAACTTATAGATGGAGTCCAGGCGATACAACAGCTTCACCTGTCGCTTATGGATAATGTCGCACATGTCGACCACAGCCTGGGCATACTCGAAGCTCGTGTTGCCCTCCGGCAGCTTCTTCACACCCATGGCGGTCGAGAGGAGAATATCGACCGTGGTCTGCGACATATAATCGTGTACATCGAATGGCTTGCCCGACTCCTTGCCCATGCGTGCGGAGACGGCCTTGGAGTGATCAACGAATGTGGGCACAAAACTCTTGAGGATGCTCTGGTGGAATGTGGGTGCAATCATCTTGCGATGATGACGCCAATGATGTCCATTACTAATCAGCAGACCATCACCGAACCATGGCTTAAAGTAACGATATTCCTCCGCTTTGGTCAAATGCTGATGACCGCTGAGTATCAGCTCAATATCACTGGGATTGGTGAGGAAGACGACAAGAACGTTGCCCAGCCATGCCTTCATAGTCTCGCCATATTTGTTCAGATAGCCCAGGCCAACGGATAGAATTTCTGCATTGCTCAAACCAACAACCAAATGAGCCATGCCAACCAGTGGCAATGTTGGCGGCGATGGTATATTCTCCACCATGCGATATTCTCTGCTATTCCGATGCCAGTACTCATACAGTGCCATTATCAAAATGGTCCCCAATACGCCAGTTAGCAATGGACTCAAGATGTAGCCACCGCCACCACTCGCCGCCTGTTGCAGCGTCTCCTGCACCGTTTCCACAGACATCCTTTGGTGTGTGTGTGTGTGTGTATCCTTGTCGTTGCTTTTGCTTGACTGATTAACTGACTGAGTTGGTCGACTGGAACGAGTGTCTCGCTGTGCTGCAAGTGCTCAACTGTGCATGGTTTACCCAGCGCTTTGGTCAATTATACTCTGTGAAAGCCGTACGTGGATTATGCAAGTTGACCCTAGTCGGTGTTCAGGTGTCAAGCGTATGCTGACAGTGCTGAAAGTCGATTCGATTTGCAAACCAAATCAATTGAAGAGCCCCCCGGCGCCCCTCCCCTTCCCTCTTTTAATCCAAACCGTACTGCTCCATTTCCCCTCTCTGGCTGGCCTTACGGCTGCCCTTTGGTGGGGCGATAACACGTGTTGTCAATTCTTGTGGCTTGCTGTTGCCGTTGTTGTGGCAGACAACGAAAACTAAGCTTGTTTAAAAGATTTTTTAAAAATAATTTCAAATAATTTTGAAAATTCTAAAAATCCAAAATCAGAACTTGGAATTTATCGTGAGTAGTTCGTGTCGCGTGCGTGCTTCAACTTCCGGCGCGTGTCTCTCATCTCTGAATTCCTTCATTTCCGCAGGATGCTCTGCTGATCCTCTCTCTCCCTCCCTCCCTGTGTATGCAAAGTAGGGACTATACCTGTGTATACCTGTGTGCCAAAAATACAACAACAACAATTATACTACCTGCAACGGAAGTGGGTGATTTTTGCTTCCCTTTCAGCGTCTTTATTTATTATTTTTACTTTTATTGTTGTAGTATTTTGCTTTCGCTTTTCATTAAAATTCAATTTCATATATATATATTTATATATATATATATATATATTTGCTTTTTTGCATTCTCTTTTGTTTTCAACACCTGAACGTGAATGCAAAAACCGAAATGAAATGTGGAACAATGAAAAGGAAGCTGTCGCTTTTAAAGGACTTGCTCCTGCCTGTCTACATCCCCTCACTCCTCTCAACTATCTATGTCTCTCTCGATCTCTCTGTGTGTCTGTTTTTGCTTGGCTTATTGTATGAATTTTAAGTGCACTTCCATTCTATTTATTTACATTTTGGATTGCTTGGCATTGGATTAATTTCGTTTTTATTATATTTTGTATTATTTAGATTGTTCTGTTTGCCGCAAAGCGTGTTGAAAGCGTGTTTCCACAGCTGACAGTAGTTCATAGAGGGATAATCAACCCAAAAACATATCATATACGAAATCTTGACTGCTCGAGCCGACAAAAATTTCAATTTTCCTTTGATTTGAAACGCTGTCTAATTGGCCATCATCAATCAGATATCAAATTTAGATTTGGAATTGGAATTGGGAATGTGGTTTTTGGTTTTAAAGTCTAGTCTATATGGATATAAGTAGATACGTACATGTGTATATAAAATTAAATTAAGTAAATGAATGCGTTTGCATACGCCTGATCGCATTTCATTAATGCGTCATTGTCAACTTATGCTAATTGATGTACACCTAATGAATATATACAGCTGCGGTCAAAATAATAGATGCGCTGGCTTACAAAATGCATAACTTAATTTGTTTCATCAACTTGCGCGTTGATTTCGTTGTCTTTCACAATTTTTACCTCAGACTACCTTGAATAAAAAACCATTTTCGTGCTCACTAATTAAAGTTTTACAAATTCATAATCACCAATCGATCTAGCCAGGATACCATATGAGCTACATTTGCAATATTCGGAATATAAGTTATAGTATACGACCTGTGTTTTGATCAACTTAATGTATTTAAATAGATTTGGTTAGACATGTACAATTTGTTGACATAAATCATACTTATAATATCTTAAGATGAATTTCAATTCGATGACTCAAATGCTTAAAAATAATATTTCGATGTATAGATTAGGTAACCGATCCTCTATTTAAGTGTCAAAATGTATACTTCTTTATATATCAGAAATACTATTTCAGATGGTATATCAAACGTTCCTTAATCGAGATAATATATCTGCAATACAAATTATTTTAGAAGATATGATTAAGATTTAGAGCAAAATCTTCGACTAAGTCAAGTTCATATTGTTTCCACTTGTAGCCCAAACAAAAAGCATATCTTTAAAATTGAAATATTTAGGCTTAAATATTTTTACGAACCTTACCTGAAACCTGTTTTATTTGATCTTTGCCGATTTTCGATTATATCAGGCGACAAATGTAAGAGGAGCTGCTTTCTGGCACCTATCTATGACCATTCGAAGCGAGGAGTTTATTTTGGCAGGTCAGTCGACATGCTCAATCAAGGATGTCAACGATGGCGAATCGAAAAAGGGTTTTTGAGGTTAGGTTTCCCGTTCGGTGTGCAATAAAAACCAAAACGAATGTACAAACTTCCGGCTCTCACTAAATGGGCGCATAGCAGTTTCCCGCCGAAACAGGTAATGGCTATAAAAAAAAACGGTGAAGAAAAAATAAATACTTGGTAACCAAAGACGGGACTCATTTCGGTTGCTATTTGCCTAGCGCAAAAAAGGACAATGACCAAACAGAAAACGTTTGGCGGTATGACGCCGTGTGTGTGTGTGTGTGTGTGTGTGTGTGTAAGGACCTGCTGATCCTTTTATTTTATCCGATGCACCCCCTTCATTAATCTTGTTAGCAGCGCTCGCTGGCTTGAAAGGAAGAGCGGAAGAAACCGAAAGGATTTCCGTTTCGTAATACGATGCTCGTTAGCGAAAAACTGGAAAATTGGATAAGAAAACGTGCTTAAGGCTTAAAAGTGAAAGCCGACACATTTACACACACACACACATACACACACACACATGTAGACATTCTTTCGACATAAGCACAAGCAAAATATTAATATTCCACATTGAAAAGTATCGCCAGCAGCCGCTTCGATGCCAGCTTTAATTTTTGCTGCATTCCGCTTAAATGTTGTCGTTATTCAAACAATGGCATTTGCATTTGTCAAGCAATCGCAGCAATCGTCGATTGGGCAAGTTAAACATCGTCGATAACCTCGCCAATTAATCGCATTACAAAAAAATAAAAAAAATTATAATAATAAAATTAAAAACGTGCTGGCCCCAAGCTAAATGAGGTGTCAACTTAACTTAGTGAAAGGTAACATAATGCTAACAAATATGTATATATATATATGAGCCCGCGAACACACACATACAGCTGCGGTCAAAATAATAGTAGTGCTAAATTATGTTTATGTTTATACCTCAAATATAGTTGGTAAATTATTAACCATAAAATTTATTAAGAAGAAAAATTCACGTTTTTAATTGTATTATTTTTACATATATTTTGTATTTATTTTTATTCAATTATTGTTTAAGTCTAACATTATAATAAAAGTGCTTTCCCTGTGCCCAAATACTATTTCTAAAAACTTGATATTTACGACGTTTTGTACTTGGAAAATAATAGTATTTTAAAAGATGTTTTTGAAGAGGTCTCGATTTTATCACCATAAAAGCAGTTATATTTTTATGAAATGCAGCACTACTATTATTTTGACCCCAACTGTATGAATATATGTATATGGCCAGGGTCCGTTGGGATCAAGGACAAAGCAACTTTTGAGCCGCATCAATATTTTGACATTGCATTCCGGCTGTTGGGGATTGTGCAGCATTAGCTGCGAAGGGGAAGTTGCTGGTCGGTTTTTAGGAATGTGTTTTCATAATTTAAAATTAAATAGACAATAAAACAGGCAACAGACAAACATTGCATTATCGATTTCATAACCATAAATCATTATTGTTTTATGCAAATATCGATCAATCAACGTTGATAGCAAATAACGATTGAGTTTTCTAATTCGCAACTCTAATTTGTATTCGAACTTCTTCAATATATAATTTAAGTAGTACAGATATCAAACATAATCAGATTTAATGTAGTGTTTTGTGGAAGTTATTATTGATAATGTTACTAACATAAATATAGGTATTTGTGTAGAATGTAGAATTTAAGTTGTTTATTTTGTTGTATTATTTGTTATATTGAAATTATTATTATACATATCTGTATAGATATTGAAGAGCATTGTGGCCAAGTTGTACTTTGCTCTAATAGCCTTTTTATCTAGTGGCCATTGATTGATCTGTTTCCGGGACTGTCATTGTCATAATTGTCGCTTTAAAGCCATTCATTCGTCTCTAAAGACCCCACACATTTTGCACTGAATATTGTGTGTTAGCAAATCTTGAAATATATATTTTGTTGGAAAATACTTGTTTGGCACATAATCAAATTCAAGTTGGCAACTATGGCGAGTTTAAGGACGAAGTGTATGCCACAATGGAACCTCTTCGGGGAATACCACGTACAAAGTGTACAATGTGATGAATAAGGACGAGAATGAGGATAACTCAATCAATGCTGCATGGAGAGTTGGTTGCACATTCAACAACTGGCAACAAACCGGCAACAACCGGCAACAACTGGCAGCAACTGGAAACAACTGTCAAATATACTATTGCAAAGACAATTGAGAGACTTGATGACTCAATGTGCACCACCCTGGGCGCATTAGTCAAAACATGAACCAGCAAAAGGACCAACAGCAGCAGCGCACACGTGGCGAACCCAATTCCAGTGACAAGGACCAACAACCAGACGACAGACAGACACAAAACATGTGCAGCCAGGTTTTTTCTTTTTTGGGGCAGCAACTAAAAATAAAATGAAAACAGAAACAGAAACAGATTCAGTCACAGCTAGCATTTGAGTTGAAGCGCGTTACTAGATATAAATATACCCTGTACAAAGGTCTGCATTATGTTACTTATTTATTTTATTTACTTAATGTCAACTGCAGCCAATCGATACAAAAAAAAATATAAATTGTAAGACAATTGATTAAGTGATATTAAAAATACAATGTAAAATTAAAAATGAATTTAAAAAAAGAAGAAATATTTATAAGATTTATTGAAAACTATTTTTACAGCTACTATATAGGTATATACAGACAGTCTGGGGAGATGCCTTCTTGGGTCCCAATGTTATTACCTATATATACATATATATATATATATTTCTGACACAGGCGCATCTGACAACGATTGTCGTAGATATCGTAGACACATTCAGACACATATGCAAATGAGAACAATATGTTCTTATGAATGAACTCTTGACAACTGTTTTTTTTTCCGATTGAATGCTCTGAATATTCTGAATGTTTTGGGGGAGCTTAGGTCAACCGCAGGTCGTTGCTAAGCGGTTTTCGCAAAGTGTTAAACCTGGCCAGTTGTTGTCCTGTTTTATCTGCGTAGTTCTATGCAACCTGCCACTGACCTGGTCTTAAGCGCTTAAGCGTCTTAGGCACAAAGTGCACACTTAAGTGCCTCATTGTCTCAGTGAAGTGCAGCCACTCGACATGGTTGCTAAACTGTCCGATTTGAAGTTGGACCGGCTTTAAAGCCTTAATGTTTAAGCCATTCGAATTGGTTTAATTGACACCGCAAACGTAGCCAAATTTTAAAAACAAAGATCAGTTCAACTCTTGGCCTAAGCCAAGAATTAGTTAAGAGTTTGATGAATGTAAGCGGTACACAAAAGCCAGTAGATAGCTGCAAAGATGCTGCTTACTCCAAATAAGTTTACAGCATGAAATTAGATCTGCATTTACTCAATCTTAAATAAGAAACAAAAAATTACAATGTACATTTTGTTGTGATTTCTTGTAGAGGTTGCCAAGTCTATAAATATCAGCTCATGAAAGATTTGGTTTATTTGACTTGTGTATTATGCATGTTTTTAATTATGTTATATAATTTATGGAATTTCACTATTATTTGACACTTTAAACCTTTTTTATAGATGCCTATGATATAGATGCTGAGTTTAACAAAAAATTACTTCAATGGCCACAAAAAGTTTGGTAAATCTACATATATATTTGTATATATCATACTCCGTTGGGCATTATTATACAAAATTACTTTTACTACTAAAAATACAGGGAATTTTTCTATGATTTCGAGTTTAGTTTGCAAATATTTACACTTTAGCTCATATGTATTCCGCATATCAAATTTCAATTGGGATTCGAAACTGTCATTATATAATTTTTACAAATTCCATAATGATATCACAAGTTGTTATTGACTAAGTCCACTGTCAATAGTTAGTCTGATAACTCTGGAAGTTAAGCAGACTTGAGCATTATTTACTTTTAACTTAACTTTTCATTTACACACAAATATTTATTGTTTTGGTATTTGAGTAACTTTCAACATTTGTTGTCGAGTGTGCAATTTATTTATGTATTTATTTAGCTGGGACTTTGGAGGAATGTAATGTCTGAAAAATGTATGTATTTGAGTGAATATTTAGCCTTGCTGGGCATCCTTTGTTGAATAACCTTCAGCATAAAATAAGTATTGTTCGGGGTCTCGATCAAATGTCGCACATTCATAAAAGCAAATTTGTAAGCGCGTGTTAAGGATCAGCAGGGAAGCACCTGGCTTGTAACGTTATATGCCCAGAAAGAAGAGCATGGCGACAAACTGAAAACCGGACTGGAAATAGCATGTAGGAGCAAGGAGCTGGAGTAGGAGCTGGAGTAGGAGGAGCTGGAGTAGGAGTAGGAGGAGGCCACTGAGCTGCCGCACACGCCAAGTGAGCGCTTGGATAATGAGTTATTACATTGAAATGATTTATGAATATTCAATGGGTCACATGAGCGCGTGGTTGGGGGGCGTGTCCCCTTTAGGGGCGCACAACATAACTGTGCACACAGCTTACAGCAATGAGAACAACAAGAACGGAACGTAACCAAATACAGCAACAGAAGGCCGATTATGGCCATGAGTTGAGGGAGCAAAAGCCGAAGCAGAAGCAGAAACAGGAGCAAGAGCTGTGGGAAGGAGTCACAGGATGAATATTCATCGCAGTGCCTTAAGCCTTTGCTTGCACATACAATAATAATGGGCTGAGCCCATAACGGAGAGCTCAAATTGATTTTTGACAAGCAACGGGAAATTTTTTGGCAGCAAATTGAAAATTTTGAAATTCGAGTGCGGCGAAATCGAAGGTGTAATAAGAGTGAACGAGTGAGTTAGTTGGAGCGAGATCGAGAGGGAGAGCGAGAGGGAGAGCGAGAGGGATGAGGGATGCGGGAGCAAAATAACCTCTACTTTGTTAAGGGGCGTGTCGCATTACCAGGCCCAAATATTAATAAGCATAACGGTGCCACAGTTAGGGATCTGGGATTTTTCTAACGGCGCTGCAAAATGATGAACAGTTAGCTCGAGGCACCCACAAGGGTACAGGCGAATCCCGAGCCTAGACAAACACACCTGGACCCTGGACTCGACACGACTCGGCTGCCTGCCAGTCAGTCAGTCAGCCTGGGGGTTGTAGGCGCTTCGGCTCAGCGACAGACAGACGGACGGACAGACGGGCGGACGGATAGATTCGGGGATGCTCGTATTACCCAAGAAAAGTGTCCGAAGCGAAGGTGAGCGGGCGCAACTGCAGATGCAACTGCCACCGCATTGTTGTGCCACACAGTCTACCCCTCTCTCTCCCTCTCTCTCACACACACTCCTTCCTTCTTATTTTGTTTTTCTTCCTTTTTGTTTTTTTTTTTCTTTTTGGGCAAATGATTTTCTTTTCTTCTTGGGCTATTAATGCTTATCTATGTGTCTGTAAATAATTTTGCATCATTTCGGCCTGGTGCCTTGGGCGCCAGGCTAAAAGGCAGCTGCAGAACACAGAGCATTACAGAAGGGACAATGAACGGAGACTCTAATGGGAGCTTCAACCAATGGCTCTTAATGATGCATATTTATTATATACTTAAAGATGGTTATGGATTCTTCTAGACTGTGGCATGTGAAAAGATTCGTCTTTTTGCAAATATTTTTAGAAAAATGTGTTTCAAAAAACATGTCGAACGATGTTTAAAAGCAAACTAATCAGTTTTGTTTGAAAGTTTTCACTATTTATACATTTTTCACATTAACAAGTTGTGCAAATTTCAAATATTTTATTTAGAGTAAATACAGAAATCTTCCAAATACCAATTCAGGTGATAAGTAAAAATATACTGCAACCTTAACGTATTTTCGTATTCTTCGTATTTCTATAAATTATTAAAAATAGTATAATAATATTTTTAGATTCACTGCACAAAACTCTTCTTACTCTTACCCCTCTTAAATCGATTAATTTTTTCTTTACCATCCACAGAAACCTAAGCTAGCAATAAAATGTTAACAATTTTCAATTATATGTAGTACCCTAATCGTATTCAACTTTAATAAAAATTGCCCTGGGATTAACCCATACTCACGATCATTAGAAACTGAACCCAAATTACTGATCCTCTGCGGTTTGTTGCTCACTCATCGCCCTCTTTGAACTCATCAATATGCAGACTGTTATGATTGTTGCGAGAGTCGTAAAAGTTTTTGAAATGGAAAACGGAACACAGAACCTGGAAAAAGCACTTGCAACAATTCCCATTCCCACGTTGTGTGTGTGTGTGTGTGTGTGTCATTTATCAGGACACAGCCGACTTGAAACTCATTTGAATAAAAAGCAAGCGGGTTGCTCAAGCGAAGTGCCGTTGCCTCATTCCTCATGCCTCATTCCTCATGCCTCATACCATATACCATGTGTCTTGTGCTTTACCAGCTCATAGAACATGGAACCCAACAAATTTACCCAGCAACCAACGAACCCAACAACTACCCAACTAGTGATGCTTGGTCAATGCGTTCGTTCGCTTATGCAAATGTTACCATATACATCGTCTGTCCGTCCGTCTGTCAGTCTGTCTGTCAGTCTGTCTGTCAGTCTGTTTTGTCTCTAACCCAGAGGTCCTGTGTATTCTGTGTGCCCATGTCCTTGCATGCTTCGCCGCTTATGAAAATGAACATGATATGCTGATTTAATATCTGTTTTTTTTTTGTGTTCCCAATTTTTTTTTTTATTTTTACCCATTGCGACGGGACGGTCTGACTAAGACCCTTATAGCCCATACAGCACATATGTTTGCTGCATGTGTGTGTGTGTGTGTGTGTGTGTGTGTTTAATGCTAATGACGCTGCATGTTTCAGTGCACAAAATGGGAAAAATATAAAAACCGTTGGAATATATTTAAAACGTGCTCTAAAATTATACACAACTCAAAATTATTCAGCTAGATGAAATATTTGAAATATTAAGCTATCCATTTGCAGACTTCGATCTTAACGTCACTTGTTAGAAACAAATAAGAGTTTTGAGTTCTACGAGTTTTGAATTTGGTTTTTGGTAAATGGCACTGAAATGAAATGCCTAATGTTCTGGGATCACTTCGCCGGTTGATTATTTCGAACGATCTTAAGACAGTTAAGAATGTTCAAATTTTCAAAATCATTAAATTGCCCTCCTTTCATGTTTAGTTAATTTTCAATTAATCCCAACCTTTTTTATCGTCCCAGCTTGTATACCAAATCGCTTGGAGCACATTTTTCCATTCGTATTCTTTTCATATATTTATATATATTTTTTATTTACATATATTTCACTTATAAGCTGCAATTCAACATCATAAACATTCAACTTAACCTAGGCAAAAAAAATTGTTTGGCTTAGGCTAACCTCAAAAAAAAAAAAAAAAATTAGTATTATCTTCGCTTTGTAATAAAGATTTTGGTTAGTTTTGGTTTATATCACTACGTCGATAGCTACTTTATGTATATATACAGTGGGGTGTTAGTTTTGGATGCCTCTTTCTAGATGCCAGCAACGGTGCCCGAATCGGATTTGGGCGTGTGTGCCTCCCACCAATCGATGGCATCGATCATGCTCTCATCCGATAGACAACCGCCAACAGTTGTCGACTGATCCTGCAGGACATCGGTGAACTCCTTTTTGAAACTGGGCAGACCAACAACAACATTGTCATAGAAGGATGCACCCGATTCGTGGTCATAGAACGCGGGCAGCACCGGTGAGCAAAGTAATGGTTGCTTTTGCTGCTGATAGTTGCTGTTGTTGGTGTTGATTGCTGGCGGGGAGCTGCTATTGTTGTTGTTGTTGTTGCTGTTGCTGGTGACATGCACAAAATCACCCTCACTGTATTCCTGTTTGATCAGTTGCTGACGCTGTTGTTGTTGTTGTTGTGCGGCACACGCCTGCAACAAGAGTTCATTAGCAACGGCAACGGCGACAGGTGAAACTGCTGCAACTGTAACAGCAACAGCAGCAGCAGCAGCAGCAGCAGCGTCATTTGGTGGTTGATGCAATGATGAACTGCCTAGTGTTGTTGTTGTTGCTGCTGGCGTTGAGCTGCGACTGGTTGTTGTTGTTGTTGGCACGGGCGATCGCGATAAAGTCGAGTTGAATTTTACACATTCACCGTTGCTTGTTGGGGCAGCTGCTGCAGCTGCAGCGGCAATTGTTGTTGTTGTTGGACTCAGGCAATTTGTGTCAATTAATGCATTAAAATGCTCCTCATCCTCCAAACTGCTGGAGTTGTCCTGCTGCTGCTGCTGTTGCTGCTGCTGCTGCTGCAGCATATCCGGCGTGAGCAGCTGATAGGTGCTCGTACCGGGTATCCTTATGTACTGCAAACCATTCAATGTCGTCACATTTGGCAACAGCAACAAATCCTCCGGTTCTGGCAATTGCTGCTGCTGTTGCTGTTGCTGCTGCTGTTGCTGCTGCTGCTGCTGCTGTTGCTGTTGTTGTTGCTGTAGTGGTAGCTGCTGCTGCAAGCAAATGCTCTCCTCCAACTCATAGTTGCTCAGCGAATCATCAAAGTGTTCGTCCAAACCATCGAATTCATCCTTGATAAACATGAAGCTATCATCGCCACTCGATGAACTATTCGAATTGCAATTGAGCGGCGGAAAATCAAAGCCCAACAAATGCTCCAAACTCCTAATATACTCGACGGCCATCCGCAGCGTTTCCACCTTGGATAGTTTCTTGCTGGCGCCGCGGCCAGCACCCTGTGCCTCGAACGCCTCGGATACCTCCTCGGGGATGCGATCGCGCAACAAAGCAAATCCATTGTTGACCTGCTTGACGCGATTCCTTTCACGTGCATTGCGACGTGCCACAGCCTGTGGCGGCGGCAATCCTTTGCGTCCCGGTGTGCCCGCTGGACGATTAAGCAGCTCCAAGCATTTGGTCACTGGCAGTTGCTGCTGCTTCTCCTGCAATTGCAACTGCAACTGTTGCTGTTGTTGTTGTTGTTGCGGCTGCTTTGGATTCTTTTTGGTGGTCAGCTTGCTGCGCTTGTTGCTGTTGCTGTTGTTCACTGCTCCAGCTTTGTTCTGCTCATTTTGCATCTTGGACTCGCCCAGTGGACGCTTTCGTGGCATGCTTGCCACATTTGTGGTTGTTGTTGTTGTAGTAGTTGTTGATGCTGCTGCTGCTGCTGCTGCTGCACTCTGGACAGCGCCCAGCATGCCAAAATCTTTGATCTTGCGTATAATTGTATTCTGATTGCTGATGTGCTGCTGGAGCGCATTGGCGCCACTTTCGCTGAGCACATTGTTCACGGTTATTTTGCTGAAGGCTTTGCTGGCGCCGCCCAATGTAGTAACAGCAGCTGATCGACTAACGGTATTCTCCTTGCTAGCTGAATTGCTGCTGCTGTTGTTGTTGTTGCTGTTATTGTTGTTGTTGCTGCTGTTTGTTCTCGTCGACGGCGGCGGCGGCGATGGGCTGAAACTGAGCGCAGCCATTTGTTGTGTGGGTGGCTGGGTGCGTCTTCCAATCCGACACGATCCGATCAATAATCTACACACAGCCCACTATATACACTTTCTCACAGTGTATTTGTTTCTGTCTTTGCCAACTGACTTTGAGCGTGGAGCTGAATTGGATAATTTTAGTTTTGGATAGTTGACAACTTGTGTAGCGTTTTTGCGAGTTTTGTGTGTTCGAGGTCCTTACGGCAGGACAGCTGCTAGCGTTCTGTGTCGCGTGCCCGACCAAAATGTCATGGGGCGTCCTCGCCGACTGAGTGTCGACTGCGACGTCGACGCCGTTCTCGACGCTGGCTGCGCTGCCAACGGAAATGACTTCGTTGACTGATGGCGCACACACAAAAAAAAAAAAAATAATAAAACCGAAAAAAAAATGAATTTATATATATTATAACGTATCCTGCGCTGCCAACGCTACTGCTGCAGCGCCTGCGTCTGCTGCTTATGTAAAACATAATGAAATGAAAACAACAAACGGCATTTATTTCACACACACACACTCACACACACACATGACTTTTCATCCCCTAGGTATTGGGTGTCCTTTCTAGCAGCTAACAGCCCTCGCTTCCTATTCCCTTTTGATCCACACACACACACACACACGCACGCACACCTCAGTCAGTTGGTCTGTCAGTCAGTTTCAGTTTCGGCTTTTGGGAAAACTAACATCTGATCGTAACGACTGCTACAGCAACTGCGACTACGACTGCGACTGCGACTGCGCCTGTTTCTGCCTCCTGCTCCTGCTTTCTCATGTCTCCTGCTCCTGTCTCCTGCTCCTGCTCCTGATCCTGCTCCTGCATATACATATCTAAGGGTGGTTTGTACAGCCCAAGTTTGTGCGCCTTTATATACATATAATCGAACATAACGCGCGTTGTGTTTTTATATACCGCCCCTTGCCATACATAAACACACAGCACTCATTATTATATTGAGCTTTGGCAGCCCTGCTCACGAGATCTTTCCCATACATACATACATACATAAATATGTGTGGATATACATATATGCAGAGACAGGAACAGCAGCGCTGTCGGAGCACCTTGGTTCCCACACAGGCGCATAGATCACCTTATGTTTATTCTTATATATACCCATTCAATATATAGATCAGCTCAGATAATAAATACATGCTAATGTATATATGTACATATCTATCCGTCTATATATATATATATATATATATATATATATATATAAAAAATTAAAATAATATTATTATTTTAATATTATTAAGCTCATTTCCGTAATCTTTCATTCAAAAAGAAAAAGATTATTCCCAAGTTTCACATTGTTTTTGAGTTTTCTTCTTTGGAAGTGGGTCATCCAAAAATCGCATATTTTTCAAGCTTTGTGCTTGTCTACTTCAGTTGCTTAAAAATTAAAGTTAATTGCATAAACTTTTATATTCACCTGCAAATATTGCTTTTAGTCTTGCAACAATCTGTTCAAGTATCTTGCTTTCATCAGTTTTCAAAAAGCGTTGTTTTTCAGATTTGGTCTTTCATGAGTTCTTCTCTTATTGGCTACCATCTCAATGCAATATTACTTCCTTTCATATAATCCTTATGAGTAATTTTAAAGTTTTCTAAAAGTCCTTGCTACAGGATCTGATAATGTTAATTGAATTGTAGTGTTCGCTTGCTTATTGTTAAAGCTTTTCATTTACTTGGCTCTGTTCTTTTCATTTATCGAATATATCGCTTATCGCTGCTGGTTGATGAACTTGAGTGGCTGTGGAAAATAAGTGTGTGTGTGTGTATGTGTGTGTGTGTGTATGTGTGTGTGTTCTTTCTCTCGAGCTCATTGAAGACGTCAAGTCGAGGTAACTTTTCCACTTAATCACTTAGGTGCACTGCCATTGTTTGAGATTTCAGCTCCGTGAGACTCTTATGCTTGTCACCTTCGAAATTGGCATTCTCGTGATGTTCTGCGGCAAAGATCCTGAGATTCTGAGGGTTCTATTCCTTTGCTTTCACTTTTATGGATTGTGAATTGTAGTTTGTACTTTCTACCCCCTAAAGGGGGCAGGGCTGTGCACGATCATAATTCTTAATCATTGCAGACATTTGTCTTTCTCGGCTTTTGCAAAATCATTTGCCAATTGTTGAACTAATTAAAAAAATGTGTATATATTGAGTTAAATTTCTTCAATTTGTATGGTCTATAAATTCTAATTAAAATTGACAGAGCTAAAATCTTGGCAAATGGCCAACTATTGAATATATTGGAAGGGGGCAATTAGGTTGCTCGATGGGTCTGTGGGAAAAAGTGTGCACACTCTGAAGATGATGCTGGAAACTAGTTTGGTAATATTTTTGGGATCGAAGGGCTAAGCCCGAGGGCCTTACTATATACTACATATGTATATGTATGTATATGCATTTATTTGTTGCATGCTACACTTAATTCTTATTTCGGGGCTTTGTGAAGTTTGTTTTCTTCTGCTGTTTTATGCCAGGTAGTTGAACATAGACCTGAAACACAACAGCCGTAGTGTGTGTGTGTGTGTGTGTGTGCGTATAAGTGTGTGTACTTGCTACACAATTTATAAACTTGAGTTCACTTGAAAAGTTCAAGGAAACGTCTTACGTGACGGAAGAGCAAAAGCATAAGGATGAGGAGGACTACCGGTTTGCCCTCGCCGCCTGGCTCTGGTGGTAGAGTAGGCCTGTGCTAGGTCCTTTTTACTTATTACATACCCTTACCGAGGTCTATTATAGTTTTTCCCACGTAATTGGTAACAATTTGCATGTGTAGCGCATAATTATGACTAAAAGTGAGCTGATATTTGTATTGCAATTTCCTATATAAAAGAAACTTTCATTTGAGTTTCGTAGTTTTTTTCTGCGTTTTTTCAAGTCAAAAACAGAAGAAGAATTCATTATTTCTCAGAATTATTGAAAATGTCGGAATGTTTAACATTTAAGGTCAACAAAAATGTGGCAACAAGATATTGGCTATAATTCGAATATTCTATAGATATTTGAACTGTCTTAACTTATGTGCAGTAAGGGTATTTAATTTTCAGCTACCCGTAATCAACTCTACTTTCTTGTTTTCATGAAAAAAGGAGTCAATTTTAGTGTGTGAGTGTGTGTGTTTGTGTGTGCTCCGGATCGCTTTTGTTATTGAGGACGACGACGACGACGACGATGCCGCTTTGACTTGGTTTCGTCCCACTTTGCCGTCGTCACCGCGCGACACGCCTTTAAATGCTACCAGCTATAAGAAGAAGATTCGTACATAAATACTCCTATATGTAAAAATATATATACATATGTATAGATGTATATATCGTTTGAAGGATATTTCCATATGTATTCCCTGATGTGCTCTATGCGAGTCAAGTAGCGACCACCTTAGGCACAGCAGAAAAATTATAATAATAAATAAATAAATGGGTATTTTTTTGGGACAGAACTGATGATGATCAGGAATAAAATCACGATCACGATCACGATCAAGCAACCCCTTTTCCTTTAGAACTTTTGATTATAAATTCAACTAGTTCTGTTTAGGGTTGCAATCTCATTAATGCGCTGTCAAGTTGGGCGATTATTACAGGCATTATAATAATAATTATTATATTTTCATTTTTTTATAATTCAGATTTTACTTGTGCCTTCCGACAAAAAGGGGCTTAACGGCAGACATATGTGCACCATAATAAATATTACAAATATGTTGTGGTCTCTCTCTCTCTCTCTCCAGTCTAACAACCCTTAAAAATGCAAGTATATTAACGTACCACGAAAGTAATATTCAAATAATCCAAATCAATAACTTTGTTAAACTAAACCTATATCCAAACTTGTACATATTTTCAATGTCATCTGGAATCCTATTTGAACTTGTATTTTTGAGCGCATTTTTTTGGGGCGCACATCCTGTCCAGAATTTTGACTTTCATCTTGACGGCGCCTTGAGAAAATTCAACAATTTGTGCAAACAGAATTATAATGGATCTGGCTTGGAATTGATTTGGGTTTGGGTCTTATTTGCATTCTTGGCATTGATTTCACTGGGAATGGGAACCGAATGAATGAACACGAACAGTGGATGAAGAGTGAAATTTGAAATTGGAGCGAAAGCAGATATTCTTTACGTGTATATAAATATACTACTGTATGCCATGCACCCGCTAGCCGTAAATCAATCAAGCAACGCATTTCCCAACACTTTTGAAACATTTCATTTTTATTATTTTTGTAGTTTTGTCTTTGCTCGTTCATAAAATTAGCTTTTACTTGTACTTGGTTGTAATATGATCGAGTTGTTGAAATATGCAGTAGTTTCCATTCTCATCCCCGTTCTTGAAGAATTTCCTCCAGCTACTACTTGTCGTCAACTCAAGTGCCACTCCATATAGAAGCCGTGCATTATCCTTGTCCCTGTGCCGTATGTCCTGTTGATTTACTTTCGGGCATCTGTGCGCAGTTGTGCGTACATAAATTTCAACTTTTCCATTCCAGATCCTTCTATTTTGTTGTTGCTTCTTTTGAGTTGGGCACCGTGTGAGGAATTATGAATTTATGAGTGCACACTTTGAGCATTTTTAAAGGAAATTTGCAACGGAAATCCCTTTATGCAGCTCACCAACTTCACCAAAAGTGTCTCAACTCAAAAAAAAAAGCCCTTGGGGGTTCCACAAGAAGATGTCAAGTGGGAAACGACTGAAATGTAAACGGAAATTGAGAGCTTAAGCTGCAGATGAAATGAGAGAGAGACATAGTTAGAGATTGAGGTTGAGAGAGAGAGGGAGAGGGAGTCAGAAAGACAGAAATAGATGGCAACTAACCAGCCATACCTATATCAAAGGTGACTCGTTTTTCAGAATCCAGAGCTTTTTAAGTAGGGCTTGATCTCTAGATCATTACTATATTTATAGTTGGAAATGCGATTCTGGCCCGAAAGGCATGGGTTGAAGTTTTCCAGAGCAATAACTTGGCCAATAGTGAACCGATGTTCAAAAACCAGTACTTCTTAACCTTTAGATAAACAATGCCAGCTACAGCCCCTATATCTATAATTTACCTAGACACAAAGTGGCTTACATTAAAATGTATGAAAAAAAACACAAATATTAAGAATGTGATTTAAAGTTGATCTTACTCCATCAGAAGTTGATCAAAATCAAAATCAGAATATTCTCTCGATATATAATTGTTGCTGTTCCCTTAACCAACAACTTTGAATAGTCTTCATTTGTGGATTTCGGGGTAAAAAAGTAAGCGGCATGCGCCGAAAGTGTGCGTTCGTGTGGAAAGCGATCTGCGTCTGGTTTTTGTTTTCGTTTTTTTTTTTTTTGCGAGAGGACAATGGAAATGTGGAATGTGAAAAGCGAAATTTAAATTGAAATTTTCCAATGCATTCAGATTTAGGTGGTGCATGGGACAAGGACAAGGCGCACGTGCGTGCCGGATATGTATGCAAAGGTATGAGGAATGAAATAGGCTACACACACACACACACACACACACGCACGCGTACACTGAATGCCAATGGGCATTGGGGGTTGACAAGGACAGTTTATTTATTTTTTTTTGAGAGTAGTACTTTATACAATAAATTATCGTTCAGCGTCGCCTCGCCTCGCCCTCGATTCAATCGGAGTAAAATCAACAAATGAATCTATGGCTTGGCTTTTTTTTTTGTTGGGTTATGGGCGCAAAAAGCATTGCATTTAGCTACAGGACACGGGAATGTGGACGGTGCTGCGACCGGTTTTGACGCCAACAACAACAACCATAGCGAGTGGGACCAGGGGTTTATTATTATTATTTTTGTTGTTGTTCTTGTTGTG